TGAGTAAATGTTCATCTATAATTGGTGATTGAAATCTCTCAATCTTAATTCTTTGTCTTTTTAATGGAGATCGTGGATCCATTTTATACACTTTACGTTTCTGAAAAAAAAATTTTGTAACAATCATTTAATATGCAAAATATGATAAACATTTGTTATTTACAGCTCTAAATTTTTTAACACAATTTCTTTTGTTCAAGTTCAATCCCTATAATGAGCAGTTAACGATTATCATGCTTTTGTATTCTCATAAAAATTCTAAATATATTTAGGAATTACCTTTGCAGAGCCTCTGCCCTTGCTGGTAGATTCTGTATCTTTCTCAGTATCATCACTATCCTTGCTAGTACCAGCACTATCTTTATCTTTATGATCCATCTTAATTTCTACCTGTTATCACGGTTATATAACTACAATGTAACATACAACTTGTCATTTAATATTAGGTACTGGTACCTGAAAATCATTACATTTACACTGTCCCAAATCCACATAAATTATAACAAGTGGTTGCCTAGCAAGATACGCCCACTTTCCTCATACATTTTCAGTATATCAAGGGCAGTCACCTATCTGTCAAATCATACCAAAAATCTAATTTGTGAAAGATATTGTTGATTTAAACAAAGACACATTATTTAATAAAATTCTGACATAAACTGTCACCTCTATCGCCAACAAATTTTGATGAGTTTTTACTAAGTCATGGGCAATAACTCAAATTCTGTTGATGGAAAAATTGTCAAATTCAATCTTTGACTAAGATCTCATCATTATAAATGATCATACCAAATTTCATTTAAATCGGATGAAAACTTTAGTCTCTATTGTGTTCACAAACAAATTTTGACACGTTTTTCATAAGTCAAGGGCAATAACTCAAAAACCGTTCATCGAAAAATTGTGAATATCAAACTTGTCCGAGATCTCATCAATATAAATGTTCCCACCAAATTTCATTCAAATCAGATGAAAACTGTAGTCTCTATCGCGTTTACAAGCCAATTTTGAAGGACAGACAAGGGTGACGACAATAGACGTCCACATTATAATGCGGGCGTATAAAAATCATACCTAGTTTCATCAAAATTGATAGAAACACTAGCTTCAATTGCGTTCATAAAGAGATTAAGTCACAGGCAATAACTCAAAATAGTTCATCAAAATCAGGCATAACATAGTAACACTTGACCTATCAAATTGATTCTAAATCACAAAGACTTGAAAGTCACGACTAGTGCTCAAATTAACAAAACGGTAATTTTGGCGTCTGCATATTATACAGATTCACTAATGTGGAATACAAAAAGATAACCTAATGAGTACCAATATTGCCTTAAAAACAATGGGACTTTAGAATATTTATCATTTGTTAATTGTGTTGGTGTTTGTTTAAATTCTGAGGGTTCAACCACTTTTTATGGTGTAAATTTCAGCATTCCAGCAATATCAAACCAAATGCTCATTAAACTGTACAATTATGCAAGATAGTAAAATGACACTTAATACAGATAAGAATATTTGAAGCAATTAATCAGATATTATTATATAGTATCCAACTGATTGGCTAAGGTATATTATGTGGCTTTTCTAAACCATAGGTATCTAAACTTATATTATCTAACTTATATTAAGTCACAAGCAATAACTCAAAAACTGGCATTGAAAAGTAGCCAAATTGCAAATTGTGTAAGACTATCAGAAATAATAAATTCTCCAAAATTTATTGAAAACTGTTGTTTACAAATAGATTTTGAAGAGTTTGAACTAAGTCATGGGCAATAACTCATCTGTTCATTGAAAAATCTTGAGATTTGACCTCATTTTAGATCTCCATCTGATTAATCACATGATTTCATTCAAAATAATCTGAAACATCTGCCTCTATTCCAGCCCCCGATAGCCAAAATTAGCAGGGTTGGCTAGTTGTCCGGCCAAAACCCAACCCTGAAATCAGCTTCCAGAGGCTGGAATAGAGGCAGATATTTTGGACTACATTCAAACAAGATAAAACTGAAGCTTCTGTTGTGCTCACAAGAAATTCTGATCAATTATGTACATGGAGGACGGCAATGTACTAAATAGATCCAGCTCCAGCTAGGGTGGGGTCCGAGGGTCTGGACCTGGGTAGCAGCAAGTAAAAATTAAGCCCCAGCAAAACCTTCTTCAATTCAGCAGATATTGATTCATTTGAAGTGTCTTAGTACAAAATCAAAGATTTAGATTTTGGTACGTTTTTGGCACATCCAAATTGTCAGAAATGAATTCTCTGGGCCATTATAAATTTTTCAAAATTGTCTGAGCACAAAATCTGAGCCCCAGCACCAATTCATTCCTGGCGATGGGGCCAACAGTAAGCAATTTAACAGTAAATTCTGCACCATTTGGGCTAATGAAGATGGGAATAAGAAATCCTAAGGTCACTGTACTATATTGTTGGTGCTAATATTTTAATTCATATAGAATTAGTCAGTGATATGCAATTTATAAACTTAAGACAATGTGACAATAAGAAATGTCATTACCTACACATGATCCACTAAGTGTCATGTAAGAATATTTCGGATTATATTGTGCAACATTTTAGATAAACAATCGCGTGTTCTTGCAGAAATTTAAAAGGATAGCAAGTCTGAGCAACAATGAAATGCATCATTAACGAAAACACAAGCAACTATAACTACTAATCGATATGCACATTTGCGAATCGTGTCTACAATCTACTATGAAACCAACTAATTACCGAAATCAGCCGGCGTCCACAATCACATGGTCGCCATTTTCAAAACTCTTCTGTTCTCCTCCCGATTATAATTATTAGACAATACAATTAAGAAATTTTCTCATTATTTTCACAAAACGCATTTGATAGAACATATGCACTGAGAAAATACTTTTCTGATTGTCTGAAAATTTTATAGGGCTGAATAAAATAAGAAAAATGACACCAGACAAAACATGTTCATCAAACTCAACAGCCATAACATAGTGACACGTGACCTATCAAATCGATTCTATATCACAGGGACTTGAAAGTCACAACCAGTACTCAAATTATTATAACAGTAATTTTGGTATAGTTTACAGGGACACGTGTATCTGCAGATTAAACAGATTCACTAATGTGGAATACAAAAAGATAACCTAATGAGTACCAATATTGCCTTAAAAGCAATGGGACTTTAGAAGATTAAATTTATCATTTGTTAATTGTGTGGGTGTTTGTGTTTTTTTAAATTCTGAGGGTTCAACCGCCACTTTTTATGGTGTGAAATTCAGCATTTTAGCAATATCAAACCAAATTCTCATTAAACTGTACAATTATGCAAGGTAGTAAAATGTCACTTAATACAGGTCAGATTAATTAAGCAATTAATCAGATATTACCTTAAATATAGTATGGGACTGACTGACTAAAGTATCTTATATGGCTTTTCTAATCCATAAGTATCAGACTGCTCGGCTTAAAGATGGGTTCCCTCATTTTCATTTATGAAAATCAGAATGCTAATACTTATATGAATAGAAAGTAGAAGTGTTTTAATGACTTGGAAAAATACCAGTTTGTCTATAATTAATTCATAATTAGCTAAATTAGAAGAGAATTAACAGCAGAATTCCAATGAGTGACTGATCAAAAAAGGTCATAAAGTCTTTTTTGGTTTATCCAGACTGTACATACAGGACATTATATGATTGGTTAAAACTTAAATTTTATGCAATATAAGAAAATTATGATATGATAAAGAATACATGCTAATTCATTAGAAACACCAATTAATCAAATAGTTTGCTTAATTTGACACTAAAAAATAAGGAAACCCATCTTTAAGCATATATTATTTGGCTTCCATCAGCTACAAATAGTGGCTCATCAAAAAAAGCTTGATTTATTCATAGATTTATTCAACAATTTACATTTTAACAATCACATTGTGTCAATAATATCACAGGTTTCTGACAACAGATAAATACTGTTTCCACTTCTAAAAAATTAACATTATTATATATCCTTAACAATCGACAAGTTGGCTTAAATAACTGTTGATCTCTCTAGATTCTTTGGTCAGTTACTGACTATTTTAATAACAAGTTTTACACCATGAAATGACATCGTACTGTATCACATACATAATTTTATAAAACATTTGAAAGGCACAAAACGACATTTCTCATGTTCTCCATATATTATATACACAAGTTAAGTATAAATAGATAAACTCTATCATCAATTTAATTTAGTTCAAATGCATATTTTCTTCTATTGAATCTAATATTTCTTGATTGACTGAAATCTGAGAAATATCAATATTGTTTCCAATTTAGTGTTGACTGACTGTAATATGCACTTAAAGGTTAATTCAGATATTTTAAGTTGAGATCACATAGTAGCCAAAAAAAACTAAGAGAAATAATATAAAATATTCACCACATTAAAAAAAAAACAAAGAAATAGCTGTTCAGAAATGCCCCTGAATGTTACAATATATTTTATACAAAACTAAATTGTAATCTAATTCTAATTAGACTGGTTATTGAACAGACAGGTTCCGAAATAATTTAATGGTACATGTAAACTTAGATTACATGGTTATTTATTTGATGTTCATTAATCTAGACCAGTTCTCTTATCAGTTTTTGAGTTATACTACTACTACCAGCTAATACTTGCTATAATGTGTAATCATATTGAATACACACCTCTTCTAACTAAATCTCTTGTAAATCTAGAATTCTCAGTAACTTATTTTTTTTCGTTTTTTAAATCTAGTAAAATTATTTGTAAATGTAAAATGCTTTAAAATATGTGCTTACATTTGAAAAGCAAATGGACGGAATGCAAAGACAATGGACGGATTTTGCAATATATTATAAATCTTGTAAAATATCTTTTCTCTTAAAAAAATAAAAGCTCTACAGATTTATACTGATCTAGCAGAGTAAATAAAAATAAAAATTTAAAATGGACGGAAAAAAATATTGAGCACTTAGCGCCTTTTAAGAGGTCTACCCTTTATATCTTTACATTTAGGAATATGACGCTCTGCAGCAGTGGAATTAAATCTCCTCTCACAGTGAGGACATTGAATATAATCAGGATTTTCAGCAGGAGGGAGTGGAGTGACTGTTCGAATATCACCACCTTTCTTTTCTATATCACCAACTTTTTTAGCATGCTGTATAGTTTTCCTAAATTCATCATGTTGTTTTCTCCAATCTTTCTTAGGCTTGGACTGAAATACAAAATAGTTACCTGTTAATGATAATAGTCACATTATAAAATGCATAACATTAACCGACATTTTAAGCTTTCCATTCTTTAAACCATGCCTATGCAACCAGGAAATGTGCTTTATGTAAATTGGCTGATAAGGAAATTGATGCAGTTAAAAGTTGCAAAAAGTTGTAACTTTAGTCCTACAACAGATGCCTGCCAAATTGCCTATAATGTTCAATTATAAAAATTTAGTTTGAATTGATAAGGTAGATAGAAAAACAGTGGGACACCATAGATTGCAATTTGTACATTCAGATGTATAAAGATGATCATTGAAAATTTTAAAAATATATCAAAGCGAGCTCTCATCTCTTTAAACTTCTATCATAATTTATTGGGTCAAATAGAGAGGTAAATTGTTCAAGCATATCTCATTAGATTTATCTTATAATGTCTCTGAAGTTGAACACAAATGAAGTTTAAGGATAATTGACTTTGACACTGGTTAGGATCAGTAGTTTCAACAGCCAAATTAATATATACCAATGTATTTGTTACTAAGCAACAAGTAAATAATAACTGATATTGTATCCCAATTAATCAATACTTAAATAACCTGCTAATTAACTGATAGCAAATATTCATCAAACTTCCTTTCCTATATTTTATTTTCATTATTTATCCATTTTTAATACACTATCAGGATTGCAATCTGTAGCTTTATCGTTGGACTTTGATGAAATAAAAAAGGAAAACTGTTGAAACAACTGGAATGCAAATACTAAGGAAAGGGAGATATTGTCAAGGAACGGAAAAATGTTACATGGATATGTAATCCATTGGGCTCATGCTGTTAAACTCTATAGAAATTAAACTTACTGGGGTTGATTTCTTCTCAGCTTTCCAATGAAACTGATTGGCTTCTGTTCCCTCTAATCTCATTTTTACAGGATCAAATATCTTTCGTTTTTTATTAGCTGTTTTACAAGCACCTTCATGTTTCTGAAGGCGTTCTTGTGCAAATCTTCTTCCACAGATTTTGCATTCCTTCAATTTGAATGATTGAGTATCATTCTGAGCTGCTTCCTCAGCTGCTTGTCTATAAAAATCCACATCAGGACCAGCAACTTCTTCGAGCTCCTCTGCATTATCTGCTGGTGGAGTGTATGTTCTAGGAGGAGGTCTCCTAGCATTTGTCCTTGGTTTAGCTGGTGGATGAGGAATAAAATTTTGAAGTTGAGATTCCTCTTCTTCGGCAGCTTCTTGTTCTGCCAGAGCCCTGGCACGTCTCTCTCGATCTTCTTTAGCACGACGATCAGTCTCTCTTTTATCCTGAATTCTTCTTTTTTCTTCTTCTCGCCTTGCTGCTTCTCGCTCTAACTTTGCAATTTTTTCACTTTCAATAGCTGCTCTCTTTTCTGATTCTTCTGCTTCTCGCCGTTCCTGAAAAATTGAATATTTTCTCCTGTAATATATAAGCTTATGAAGTGTGAAATTCAATGTTGGTACATTAAACAGTTCAACCATATTTCACTTACACTTATTAATAGCTTTTATATACAATTATACCTATAATATCAAAGTACATGAGTCCAGTTTCATATGCTTTCAAAGTGTAAAAAACTTACCTTTTCCAATCTCTGCTCTTGCATTTTATCCAGTTCACGTTGCCGTTCGGCAAGTTCAGCCAATAATTCATTTTGTTTCGATAACAACCTTTCTTCAACCTCTTCTCTTAAGCCATCATCTGATTCACTACTTAATCTCCTGGTTTTGAGAGCCTTTTTATAAAGTTTTTCTTCTTTCACTCTCATTTGTTCCAGCTTCCATTTATGAAAATCAGACAGTCCCTCTATTTCTTCAATTGGGACCCCCATGAATGAATGTTTTTCATCATTACCAGTATTAGAACCAGCATTGGAACCAAGTGAATCTCGTCTTCCATCATTACCAACGTCATTTTCAGTATCAGAGCCAAAGGAATCCCTTCTTTCACCACCATTATTAGAACGAAGTGAGCTTCTACGCTTTAGATTTTCTAATCCAGCTAAATCAGGTTGAGAATCACTATCATTGACAGGTGAGCTGCTACCTGCGGAACTTAATTCTCCATTTACATGTGAATCTACAGGTTTCTTTGAACCTGATGGAGCACTATATGACTTTATCTTATTGTTTTGCTGATCTTTAGCAATAGGGGGTATTAGAGGAACCCTCTTCGGAGGCATATTTGCTTCGTTTCCATTTTTCCTTGCCAGAGGTGGCAACAAGTTATTTCTGTCTTTTCCAGCACTACGTTTCATTAGGTTTTTTTCTACCATAGGAACAGAAGACCTTCTTGGAGCATTTACTTTGTATGATCTTTTATAAAAGGCCTGAATTTCAGCCATAGTTTTACGATCACCACCTTCAGAACCATCTCGAACAAATTTTCTCACAGGTGATTCAGGATCTTTTTTTATACCACCCATTGGTTTTTTCTTCGTGGGAATTCCTGTTGGCCTATTATTAGGTAGAGGCTTTGTTCTTGGAGCTACTTTTTCAAAAGTTTGTCTTTGTTTCACTTCGTACATCTCTATAATCACTCGTTCTTTATCTCGCATCATTTGCCTATGGAACTGTTCCTTCATCAGTTCAAGCCTTGTAGGCTTTTTACTAACCACAGCAGTCATACCTCTTTGTAAAAGGCGGGGCAGCTTAGAGAGTGGGATACTTCTTTTGTTCCCAGTCATAAGTTAATTCTATATATAGGCTTCTGAAATAAGAAATAAAAAAAAGATCAGATTTTGCATAGTCTTAAAGATAATTTTGCTTACAACAATTAACATATAAAAATTGATATCTGCTTGTTTTTACTGAAAAAAGTCATCACCATGAAACAAAATAGATAAGCTTTGAGAATCCTTACCAACCATGTTAGATTAGACATATCTGAAATTTATTGAATTTCAAGAGTCAAAAAATCAACAGAACAATTAATATTAGCTTACAGGTAGCATTCTCCATCACTGAGACCAAATTTCAACAAAATCAACCTCTATCGTACTAACAAGCTCTTTTGACAAATCTAGATAAAAGCAATTATTCAGAAATATGTGCTTTTTTAGAGTTTTCATCAATGTACATTTAGCCTATCGGTACCATGTTTACAATAATAATAATGATCACTTTATTAGGGTAAGAAATTAGGCTAAAAAGCCTTTTTTGCATTACGCCCAACACAAACCAATTGAAAGTTGAAGCAAACAAGATCACTAGATCAGGCAGTGTTATATAGTATTAGCTTTATAGCCCTTATCGTTTGAAAAATTTTGGGAAATGACATAACAATTTATTGGCATGTATTACAGACATTCATAACAATCAAAACATAACATAACATAATAGTAAAATAAGATCTAACTTGTATAAGATCTTTAAATATGAAATTGACAACAAAAAAAATCTCATGCCTTTAAAGCCTGCTTTCTTCAATTTCCTTTAAAATTAATTTGATACCGATCTCGGTATCTTTAATTTCAATCCTGGACAGTAAGCAACAAAGCTATTTGGAGCTTACTACTTGAATACTTAAAGAAACTTTCAGGAATATCTGTGTTTGCAACTGCAATGTGGTGCCATTGCGAAGTTACATCTTCTTTCCTCAAATTCTTTCAATATGTAATTAACAAGTGAAAAACGTCACAGAGAAAATAGTGACAATCGAAAAATTTCACAAAAATGTAACCATAATTACCTAGGAGACATTTCGAGGTTCATGCTATATCCAACTAGATATATGTTCAGTATCGCTAACTTACTACAAATTAACATAAATCGATAACTGATGGTATTTATTTACTTTCTGATCGTGAAGATTGTATTGGAATGTAATGTGTCGGCCATGTTGTTGACATGCGCCAATGCTTGGTTACGTGATTGTTTTTAGATCTAATTAACCAGACGGGATTGGTCCTGAGATTTTGACGACTGTTCACTGAGATAATCCGCGATAAATCAGTTGTCCAATTATGTCAACTAGTATATTTACACTATAAACTGATCAACATGTCATTAGAATTAATTATATTTATATTAAAAGGCCTTTAAGTGGTTTGTATGAATTCGACCAAAAAACTCGATTGTCCAGTACGAAATTATTAACGAATATTACGTATCCTATTATACTCATAATGGTCCGTACCCATTGATTAGTTGCAAAAGACATTCATAATTAAAATTAATAATAATTATAATTACAATATCAATCCTCTTTAATTTTATCATAGCATAACATTTGAATATTACCCATCTTTAGAGGCGTACTGAACAGACTTTTTTTTACACTTAAACGTGTTTTCCTAAGCTTAGAGTGTACATCGACATAGTTTAGTTTTTTATGGTATAATATTGATAATTTAATCAGGATCTTTTAAAATCTTAAGCACATATTTCTACCTCTTTACAAAGCTTTAAAGAAAGCACAAACCAACATTTGCAACAGTAGAGATGGCTTTAGTTTTTCATTCCTATTTGCTTCTACTTACATTTGAATGTCACCTATATATTGCTATTTGTGGTGTTGTCATACATTAGTGAGATGTATTTTATTACGAGCTAACAAAGTGCAAGCATGAAAATGTAACATGTAATTCTAGATGATAGGCCTACAAGGATATATCAGGTGTATTTCACCTCTTTAATTGAATATATGCTCAATCTGGCCACCGATTTCAGAACAAATTAATCAGACAATTTTTCCAAGGTAAAATATTTCCTTTCCAGTTTTGCCAAGTGGTACGTCATGTAAAATAAAGAGTTTAATATCATTTTATTTCTCTCTTATTTCTTCAAGCTATCTATCTTTTATTAGACAGAGAAATACATTGTAAATCATTGGATTAGTCAGGAGATTGGGGTGGCCATTTATCTTGTGTATGAATTACTCAAAATTTCGAAGAAAATATGCCATTGAAAAAGTGTTTTGGTGATTTTTGTTCACAATGGTGGTCAGATTGGGTATTTGATGAGTTATAGAGGTGAAATAACAATGGTATCTTTCGGAATTTTTTAACAAGACATGGAGCTGTAATTTGGTAACATGATGTCTAATAACTCTATAATATATGAACACAATTTTATGGATGATACTTTCGTCTTTAGCAAGCATTAGTAATTGTTATCCATAAAATTGGTTCATATATTCACACCTCAATTACTAAATGTCACTTAAGGAAACTCTATAATGATAATGTAGAAATATCATGGTCTTAAATTTGGTACTCTATGAATAATCTTGAAATAAAAAGTGTTAATGTTTTTTCTGGGCCACCCCATGTTCAAAAGCAGGCAACAAACCAATTTGTCAATTCAAACTACAAAAGTCGATTCCAAAGTCAACAACATACAATATAAAGAGAACAGTAGCCAACCTACAAAGGAATTATAAACACAGAGCTATATTGTAATACAGATTGAAAGAACAAAATCATAAAAATTGAATTGCTTTTGTGGAAGTTGGCTACACCATTATGTCACATCATATACACAATAATACAATTAACATGCCGTGATGAGTATAGCAATTGTACTAAATACCAAGGTCAACAGTAGTCTACAATTTGTTCAACTAGCTTGTATTTTTATGCATATTTTTTCATCTCAACACAAATATTACAACAATATTCTTTTAAAGAAATAATATATTTTTTTAATACCATAAATATATTTACATAGATATTCTTAAATGAAATAAATCTTCTTACTCGTATTTGATTAAGAACTTCCTTAGCAATTGTTAGGTTTTATAAGATAAAGATTAATGTAAATAACAACAAAATAAACATAATAGGGGAATAAATAGGCTAACTGGTTTACAGTTTCTATAAAAGGACTATATCTAAATTTATCAATAAACTTTTTACACTACCATAATAACACTTTATTTAAATGAGAGATATTAAGATAGTTACATAAATATCATGTCAATCCAATCTAAACTTCTAAATAGTTTCTGTGTGTGCTATAAACTATTTTCCACACCTTCCTCCTATTATTTGATGTATGAGGTATGTAGGACTTACAGTTTTGCATTATGAAAAACCTCCAACTTTAAAGGCATGCCACAGTTTTTGGTAGTTTTCTTGGTCAAAAAACAATTCTGATTTTTCATTACATTTATCAATGTCACAAATCTGGACAATTTGTGGAATCACCTAAATCTTTCAAAAGCTGAGAGCATCGTGGACTGAGGATATAAATAATAAGACATAAAATTACATATAATGTACATAATAGTTTTCCACTAAAGTAAAAGTAATTTTCTACACATTGTTTACAGTTGAAATTTATGAAAATGATAATATTAATGAGCATGTGATAATTAGGAATGTTTCATATATTGATGCACCATGGTTTAAGTTCCATGAAACAATACTTGACACAACAATAACAAGGTTATTCACTACTAAAACAGTGATCAATGCATTAGTTGCAGAGTTATATAGAAATATGAAAAAGAACATTTCTAATATTTAAAACATACAGAAATTCCCATCCAATGATAACAGCCAAAAAATCCAAAACAATACCTGGATCCTTGTCTTCCCTTAGTACTCGAAATAACTCAAATCAAGACAAGATCGTCAATTGCAAAAAAAAATAATACGTCACACAGTTTCCTAGTAAAATTCTAGATGTCCTATGCCCACACTATTTACATACCTAAAATGAGGATATTCAGAGCCAAATGACATGACAAACATGTCACTAGCTGAATCGACCAAGTTCTGAGTTGCACCCCTTTGCTAGAAATTTCAATGATAATTAGTTTCTTCAAGCAGTTTATACATAGTTTAACCTAACAGACTCTGTGTCTAGTCCTTTTAGTAAGTTATAAGTAAAACACTGTCCTCTTCTCCCCCAAGTTGTATTTTTGATCTTTATTTGGGTTGATCAACCATTATTCTTTCATTAATCCTAATGTTTGGATTAGCCATAGGATCTAGGGATGGGTCATCATCTGTCATTTGACGTCCTAATTTAGAAAATATTATCACAATCGTTATAAAAGAGATTATTCCAATTCCCAAAACAACTATAAATTTCTTCATAACAGCATTTGGATCTTTACGTTTGCCTTTTTCTGTAGATCTGAAAGTACAAAATATAAGGGAATTTAATGAAAATTTAAATAGAGTTTGGCATGCCTATTCTTTATTGAACTTTTTCGATTTCTAACTTTTGGGGATGGCCATCAGCACCTGAGTTTTACTTTTCAATTTAATCGACTACATGATCACAACTAAGTTGACAACCCAATGCTGTAATCTCAGTTTGACAGATTGCGAAAGCCAGAAAAATCCCAGCAAGTGTCCAATGAAGCACTCATGTAGTCACAGAAATTTGAATTCACAGAATAAATAATAGTAGCGCCAACTTAATTAATTTTTGTGTTTCTTCAAATGTCAGTACAGAGAGTAGTCCTTCGAGCTTTATTTGGTCATAATCTTTGCAATTATAGTTTTTTTCTCCAATAGCCTAATATCCCTCTCAGCTATATGAGTATTTCAAAATCCACTTCCACTTTAACAATGATATTTTCCGGGGGATCGTTTTAACCCAAAATTATAGACAGACAAAACTACTTACTTGAACCATTTAGCTAACCAGTTAAAAGCTGGTCTACGTTTATATTTATCTTCATCATGATCATGTGATGTATTAAACATGACATCTTCTTTTGTTGAATCAAATAATTTTCGGGGATCTATGAGACATAATAAGCATTACAGTTACAATTGTCATCATATTTTATAAACTTTCACATGAAATAAAAGTAATCACATTAATGCCAATGAATGGTGATGCATTGTCAGAATTTATTTAAGAATAAAAACAATACAATCTTTCTGCACCAATGACAGCTGATCATCAAGCAAAACCGACAAGTATCATCTTTGCATAGTAAGAAACCCACAAACAAAAATTGAAAAGAACTGCTAAAAATTTTGCCTTTAGTCAGAAAGTATGACGACAATGTACTTGGTGTGGACATTAAATTAAAACTGTGAATGAAAAATCAATTTATGCAAAATACCATTTTCATTAAACAACAAACAAATATCACATCCAGGACGGCATCATAATGTTGTATCATTACAGGTATGTAAACTAAATTTTGTATACACTTACTATTTGATAATAAGCTCTGAGATCTAGAACTGGCTCCAGCATCTACATTAATAACACTGTGAGCAGAAGTTGGTGTACTGCTGTATGGTGGAACCTGGGCACTGGGACGAGTCTGACTAGGTGTAGATAATGGTGTAGAGGATAATGGTCCTGTTTCACTTTTCTTTATTGGTGATGGTGCTTCTGGTTCATCAATCTTGAAAAGAAAAAGAAATTTTAGATACTGAATTCTATATAGAATACCATTAAAACTTTATCAGACCTCTTCTGGTAAAGTGAGCAAGCCCTGCCTCACAAATAACTTCCACTATAGTAATTATAGTAGTAAAGCTTACTGCACAAAATAACATTCATATGAAAAGGGTGCATAAGAGAATAAGAATAGCTCATAAGTGATATAATATTAGAAATTAAAGGGTTTAGATATAGTTGATTAGCGCAATTCTTCACGTTCAAAATAAACCGGTTTAACCCTTTAAAAAAACATATAATAATGTAAGAAAAACAACAATCTTTTCTGGCATCTTTGGTGGATCAGAGACCAAACCCAAAACAGAAATCTGTATCAATACTTAGGAAAGTGTGGTAAATATAATGTAGTAGACAAATATCACAATATTGAATGACAGTATAATTGATTCCTAGGTGTATTTGGAAAAATGATCATTTATATGAAAGTCATTTGATTTAAGAATTACTTACCAAAGGCATTCCTAGTCCTGCTCTGGCCCAATTAACTCTAGATAAGAATGTTTTAATAACATCAGCAATAGGTGAAGCCATATTAGCAGGAGGAAAGATACCAGTATTACATGATGGACAGGTGTAACCAGCAGGGGCTGTATTAGGTGGTAAACTTCTAGCATACTGGTCGAGGCATTTCCAATGAAAAATATCTGAAATGAACATCATAAATTCATTGTAAATTTACCTACAGGTCACATTATAATCATGTTCAGCTCTGAAGGGCCATTGAAATAAATCTTTTATCTAACCCTTCACGCAGCAGATCAATTTGGTCGGTTGCTCATTGACTGAATATGTGCTGACTTAGATGAAATCTAAAAATTAAGCTGAACAATGATAGGAATATAAGTCTGCTACTACAGGAAGGGTTCGATGGTAGATTCACTTCAATAGCCAGTAACTCTTGTGGGCTGAAGACACAGTAAAATTTGCCAAACAAAAAAAACAACAAAACGAAAGACCAAACACATAACAGATATGTATATAAACAGATAAATATTGATCTCATAGCTAAAATGTTGAAATTCCAGAAGCACGTACCATAACACACTAGGCGTACACATTCTCCCGCATTTTCTCCATTTAAACTTTGATTACATAATTTACAAATAGGATTGTAATCACTGTCTTGTAGCCATTGTAGATATGACTGTACAATACACTGGAATTGTAAAATTTTAAGAGATAAGTATATCAATAAAGTGAAATTAGGACAAAAACATAGGATATTAATCAATTATATAGATAGTTAAATTCATTTGCAAATTTATCTTCTAATTAAACTGTCAAATTGAAGTTACTGATCAAGTACATTTTCTATTTTGCAAGTAATAAGAGTTGAAGTTTTAGATGAACACATCACTTTGAATGAGGTTCATCTGCGATTAAATAAATCCAGAAATTTTAATCATACCTAAAAATGACATCTCTATTTAATAAAAAATAAGCTTACTGTTCATCAGCAAAAGTTACTTCAATTTGAAGAGACAACAATAATATAAGGGAACAACAAAACTGCTGCCACTTGCGTCACTTACTGCAAATCCTTTTTATTCAATTGCAGACAAATCTATTTTGAAAACATAAGATAACTATCCATTGCAGTATGATACTGGTCCCCGTGATTAATAAGGAGTTTATACAAACCTTTGGATGATTTGCAACTAAGCAGTGTTCACAAACATTCACTCTATGCTCAAAACAAAATAAATTGGTGACCTTCCTCTTAGGGCATTTACAAAGACCCATGTTGTTAGATAAAATTTAACTTAATTTGCAGATGTCTAATGAATCACAAAACAAGTGGCATCTTTCTTTAGTCACTTCCGTTTGACGTGCGGCAAGGCCACGTTGGCGTATCGTGTAAAGCGAATAGTTTATCAACGTTAAGGTCCAGATCGGATTTTCTGCTATTTTACAGAATGACCAATGTTGTAAAATGCAATTATAACGTATTGGTTAGTTTTGTCACTTCTGATCACAGAATAAGGCGAAAAAGTCAAAATAGTTTCAGCTGTCAATAAACTTCGTCTCCCTTGTTTTGATGTTGCAATTTCGTTTGATTGATAAATGTAGTTCAGTGACTAAGTCTCTTTTGTTCAAAACCATTCATTTGGATTAAATGTGTTAAAATTCCAATCATACGAGTGTTATATCTAAAAATTAGACTAAGGCACACAATCAAAGGTAAATTTGGTGACTTTGATTTTGTTCATTAAATCTTTAGTTCTACCCTCGAATAGTTTTGAAAAGTAATGTACACAGACCGAACAAGATATCAGTAAAGGGAAGCAACTCCGGAAACTTTACTAGAAACTAACTTCCGGTTCAATTGTAAACAACACGTCGATCCACGATAATACCAAAACTCCGATTTAAAGTAAAGTATATACCGCAAAAATGAAATGGTTTGATGGAACAATAACCCAAGCGGTTCAGACGTCAAAATCTCGAAAGTCTGTTTTCATCGTTTATATATCTGGTGAGTTGAAACAATTTGATGTTGAATATTTGATTCTCCTTCTCTCTCTTACTCGTTACTGTCTGTCGAAACTTAGTAGAGTGAGACTGAGGCATAGTGGTGAGGGTCTGATGACTGATGTGACAGTTAGGAGAAAAAAATGTAAATATATTATGTTTCAAACAGTTTACTGCTCCTAAAATTAACCTAAATGCCAATGCCTTAGATAGTTGTACAAATGCAAGCTATCATGTAGTCTAGTTTCTAAAGGAAATTCATAATTATTAGCTTTTATTTTCATATAGCCACTTCAGTTAGGGTTTAATGACAGCCCTCTCAAAGGCCTAACCTGATAAACACTGGGTCACAAAATGCCAGTATAGAGAGGGTAGAAATTTTATTCGTTAAAGCGAACGCCATTGAGTTGTTTGACGAATTTTCAAGAGGGCTGCCGTTAGACCTGAACTGAAGTGGTTATATAAGCTTATAAAAAAACGGAACGAAAGTTTGGTCTAATTTAAATTGGACTGATCATCATATGAAATAATAATTGAGCTTTATAGTTGGTATCTAAGCAGCTATAGTGGTCCTTTTTTAAATTTATGAAGGATTTACACTTTTTTACAGGTGATGACAAAGTTTCAACAGAAGTATCTAAGACTATAGAAGATAAGAAAATAGAAGAATTGCAAGATGAAAATCATTGTGTTGCCGTTAAAATGCAAGCCAACAGGTAAAGCTGATTTCACTGTCCACTGAAGCACACATCTAGTTGGGGGAATGGGGTTTATTTTTAGCACAAATTGATGAAGAAACATTTTAAATTCATTTAATAGGACGATGATGTAATGATGGACTATGTGCAAGCTCAAAATTATGAATGCTAATGTATAAAAGTTGGTATAAAATTAATATCGTATCATTGTTTCTTTTTGATTTGCCATTCGACACCATGTAAGTACAAATACAAAATCCTTTCAAGTTCTTCAACAGCCATTATGTTCTCTGTATACACAATTATGGCAGAAACTTTGTAAAAATAAATGAATGTGATTGTGATGTCAATATTACATTGTGTTTATGAAGAAAAATGGGTTTTACTTAAAAATAAATTGAATTCCTTTCTTTTTTCAGCGAAGACTGTGGATTCTTCTCCCAAATATGTATCCTTATCATATTAAATACAATACTAAAAGCACTTTTATTTGATTTTTTGATCGAGTTTTTCACTCCTTAACAATTTTCACTAGATCCAGTAGTTTTGGTACCATCTATATTTTTTATTGGTGAAAATGGAGTACCATTAGAAGTTGTTGGAGGGTCTATTACTGCCCATGACCTACTTTCAAAGATGGAGAACGTTATTGAGGTTTGATATAGCTATTAATTGTGGTGCTCAGTTGGAGAGTTCTGAACAGGTTCCCATTCTGGCTTCAATTTTTTCCCTTCTATTTCGTCTATTCCTATTCCGCCATTTTGAATTCTGTCTGCACATACAATTTTTTTGGCACACATGGAAAGCATTCTGAAGTCTTTTCCAAATTGTTTTATTGAACGTGCAGTTTATTCCATGAATCCTGAATGTGCAGAACTCTCGAGAGATTTGAATTGATTAGTTATTAATAGGATATAGTCCTTTATTTTATATTTTATGTTGAATTTCAACTATCTGTATCATTGTTAAAATGAGAGTCAAATGTTGGTTTGACTACAATTTAAATAAAACGTAATGGTGAAAGTTATGATATGCATAATATTTTACCTTGCTGATTTTATGGATGATGTCATTATTGATAGATGACATAATCACCATGAACTATATTTCTCTATTTCATAAAAAATAATTATTGTGTTGTGTCCACAATCAATAAGTTAATGGCTGTATTCCATTGATATTACAGCCTGCATAATCTATCTTTAAACACCATTATGTAATATGAATTATGGAAACGACAATTTATATAAGAGATTGTATTGTCTGTTATCTGTATGTCTGATATAGAGGAATTTATTGAAAACTGGTTCTCATTAATTACTCTCATATTCAATACATGGTTATTTTAGTGTTTATTGTATAGTGTTTAATATGCATAATTAATGTGTTAATATCTGTATATAATACAGGGTATTATGGCAATAATAGATCAATATGAGCAACTATAAATCAAATGCAAAATAAATTGATTTTAATAAAAGGATTGTTTATACAATCTGTACAATTGTCATAATATTGAATAAAATTTAGAATCTGACATATTTCAAACTTACATTTATTTGACAATTCTTTTTACCCTTTATACATTGACAGTAGCCGTCTGATTTCTGTGATACTGAGTAATTGTAATTAAAAGTAATTGTGACAAAATTCTTAATGCTTCCCAATATGAGAATTCTTTGTTTCATTCAGACCAATAAAGGAAAAATACCAGCTGAATCTGTACCTGGTTACAAACCACCACCAGTAACAGCTGCAACGACAGCATCAACATCGCAGGATGGTGCCAGTTCATCTGCTGCTACTAATACATCAACATCTACCACACCTAGTCCTACAAAAAGTGAAGATCTCTCCACAAAACTTTCAAAGTAAGTTGTTTGTAAACAACATACTTATCACAACTTCTATTCTGATGTCAATTAGTACAGCTAACCCAACAAATATGACCCTTTTCATTCTCAGATGTGATACATGTATATGGTATTCAGCATGGCAACACTCGAATTTTGCATAACCCTAGCTATCTACACAAAGCTCAACCATTAATGAGTGCATCAAATTATTTCAGAGCTGAAGAATTGATAGAAAAGAGGAGAGAAGAGAAACTGAGGAAAGAGTTTGAGGTTTGTATTCATTCTAGATACTTGATAATTCATAAAATAGACACTCATTTTGGGAGTTTCTTTACTCTTCTATACCAGGACAAGTACTATCAGATTCTGTTAAAGGGCATTCAGCCTAAAGAAAAAAACCAACTTGCCTATAAAATTACAGGAAAGAAAAAACAAAGAAGAAGAAAAGAGACAGCTAGGAAAAGATTTACAGAAATTAAAACAGTTTCAAAAAGAAAAGGAAATGCAAGAAGTACAAGAACAGTTAAGGAAAGATAAAGAAGCTGACAGAATTGCTCGACAAAAAGTGAAAGAACAAATTGCTAGAGATAGGTAAGTGTGGATTCTGACCATCTTGCTTTCTGAAGCATTCCGCTCGTAGATGTTAACAAGAAAATCATTTCTGCAAAATAATGAATTTTTGTTACCTATCCGTTGTTTTTGATAAATTACAGAGCTGAGAGGTCAGAGAAATTCAATAGGGAGAAGAAAGAAAAAGAAGAAAAGGCTAGTGAGGCTAAAAAAGCTAAATTACAAGAAGAACAGAAAGCTGCTGTTGAAGCCGAAGCAAGACGAAGGTAAGTCTCTGTAGTGTTTGGTTTAGGGGTACTTGTATGAGTTTGTCATCTTGTGATTGATGCATTACATGACATCTGATGTCATGTTAGCTGATTCAATAATTTCTATCGATCAACATTTCTTGTAAGCATGAGGCAGGCTAGAATTTTCATGGGAGCTGAATGAAATTTGGTATGCATATTTGAAATAATGAGGTTTGAGCAGCCCCGTTGTTAGGGTGGGGTCAGTGGGGGCTGGGCTCCAGCAAGTAAGAATTTAGCCCCAGCAAAACCTTGTCTAGTTCAGCAGAGAGATTGATTCTTTTTGTCTTTGTACAAAATCAAAAAGATATAGATTTTGTGTACGACTTTGAAATTGAATATTGTAATAAACAAGAACTTTCAGCTTTATTTCTATAAAATAAGATTTCCTATCTATTTTAGTGAAACAGCGAGAATTCAGTTCCGTTTACCTGATGGTTCTTCAATACCAAATAGTTTTCCATCTACAGATACATTACAATCAGTGTTAGATTTTATCACACAGGTATGTCTTTATGCTTGGGAATTTTAAGTTTAAAGGAAAAAAACACATCACTGAACTAGAAAATTGATGGGCAATATCTTATTTTAGACAGTACTTAGAACCTGGCTTAGGGCAAATTTCTCTCATTTTTTTTAATTTTTATAAAATGATTATTAATAATACAACTATTAAAGACATTGTCCATCGATTAGACAATTTGGCATGTTTATAGCTTTGCTGGCCTTTGAAAATAGTTGACATATTTTTTATGATGTTATTGATTATGTTGTAGAAATTGATCAATATATTAACAATATAGTCTATTTGTAGCATGTTGGTGGACCTGTAACATTATCAACTACATTCCCTAGAAGAACATTTGAAGACAGTGATATGAATAAAACATTGATAGATTTACAACTAGCACCTTCAGCTGTCTTAATAACTGTTCCTGTAAGTTTTTACACTAATGTTAAAAAGAGGAAATTCAGTTTTGGTGTTCCTTTAAAACAGTAAGATCATTCTGCAACTGTCAGCTACAGTGATGTAAATAGAATTTAAAAACAAGTACTTGATATTGGAAGGCAACTATCAGATCACACTCTATAGACATCATGTTCATAACATTAATATCAACTCAAGGAGGAAATAAAATTATGATGTGACTGAAATTTTTACCTTTCTTTATGGTAAGGTTGTTCAGAATAATTTGGATTCTAAAATAGGAATTGGTGTTTAAGTAAAATCTTTGAGTTAACAGCATTTAACATTCATTTCTTTTTTGTAGAAACGGTCATCTATTGTTCCAAAAACACCAGGAGGATCAGGAGATATTTTAACTCTATTGTTGGCGCCATTCATGTTCATATTAAATCTGATTCGGTCTCTATTTGGTGGGTCATCAGCTAGTTCTTCTGCTTCTTCTTCTACTCCTTCCTCTTCTTCTACACAATCTTCACAGTCAACAGCTAGTGGTGGTGATCGGAAACAAAATCAGTAAGTTTATATTATCTTTCTTTAAGGGATAAAAATCTTTTATTACATCATAATTTCAGTCCTGTACCTGTGAATATACATTATAACCTATTTTTAGTTTTTGAACTTTAAAGTAGGAAACTGCTGGCTTTGGTGTTGATATGTACTATTTTTTGAATAAGCTTATTTCACATTGATGATTTTGTTCAGCTGTTAATTGAAGATATTTCTTCATTTATTTCTTCAGAGCATTTAAACGACAGACAGACAGTAATATTAAAAGATTTCGTAATAGTCAAGATGATGATGATGAAAATGCCACTTGGAATGGAAATTCAACTCAGCAAATGTAAACAGAGTTGATAATATTTTATTATTTTGTATTACTGCAATATCAGCATGTTATTTGGTGAATCAGTGGAATATCTAGGGTTGTATCAATAAACAGTTTATATTGTACAGTCCTATTACTTTATGGACTAACTAATTATTGATTTCCTATTTCAATATTCTAATTAGCTGGAATTACTATTTGATATTAATGATATTAATAAAATACTGAGGCATAAATTGCTCATAATAATTGTTTTAATAACTAAACAACAGTAATAACAACTGTAATAGATATTAATTATTCTGGATATTGCCTCACTTTTGCAAAAAAAAAAATAACTGTTCAAGCCTTTTCCTTTCATGGTTACAAATTATTTGCCTTTTTACAATTTATTACATAAAATATCCTATCTTTATCTTCAATCTATTTTAAATTGGAATAATTTATTCTTTTCTTCTATTATTAATAGCTAAAGTAAATATATTTTCTTCGTATTTTTAAATATTGATAGAGTAGGTATTTTAATATTCATTCTCTATTTTTTGACAAACTGTTTTTTCAACAAGGCTGCCAAACCTTCTGCTTAACTTGAACTATTTTTTACTGCTAAACTTTTTTTGAATAATTAATCATCAGTTAGTTAGTAAATTTGACCTTTCTACCTTAATGATAATACTGTATGATTTATTTGAGTAAAATCTGCTTGAAGATATCAGATCTTTAGAATAAGGGATATGATGAAAATCTCTAGATAATGATTGAAGATTTATGGTAGAAAGTGTTTTGTGGCAAGAATCATTATACAAGTGAATTTTACAATCAAACAATTTTGACATTAGTTATATATCTTATATTTTCCCCAATTAATTAACAAGAAATGTTATTGAATTGTGTGTATATATGAACTGTTGATGTATATTTGTTTATTTTATTTAAGTATGTAATGAGAATTTTTTGGTGGCTGATGGGATTAGAAAATGTGGTGTATAACATACCTAAGATTAAAATTTCAGATATTAAGATTAGTAGCAAATACCAGAAAAATAGAATTGTTTAAAAAATAAAATTAGTATATCTGGTATATTTAACCGTTGCATAATTTATAGTTAGTCTTTATGTCGCCTAAAGAAATGTCATTTCTTTATTATGCTACAGAAACATTGAATACTTTAGTCATGTGCAATTACGGCAAATAAAGGCTTTTAAACCATTTTCAATTTGTTCTACTTCATTTGCCTAAGATGTTAGTTGAGAATTAACCAAATCCAGGTAAAGGATTAAACAGAATTCTATGTCCATAGTTTGGATGAGGGTGTGGCTGCTATAAACTATATTCGGTTGATCTTTATTCTTGTGCGAGGGAATAACATGGAAATTATCTAACTACTTAAGGGTAGTGTAAAGGACCATACAATTAGTGGTCTAGATAATAAATTTGTTCAGCTACCTTTGTCAATATCTAGAATTCTCTGCATGAATTTGCGTTTTGTGGTTAACCAAGAAAGAAGTGCTAAAGCAACATATGAATGTTACAGAGAATCTGTCTGGAATCAAATATGTTGTCCCTGTTAACTTAAGTTACATCAGACATGCCTGTGAACTGTATGTTCATTACATTATCATCTGTTATGAAAAAAAAAACAAAGAACTATTCAAACAAATCATGCTATTTTATTATCACATCCTGTTCATAATAATCATTAGTTACCATAGTAACCAATATAATCTCACAGCAACATTATAATAGTTGCACCAACAATACATAATACTTTGATTTCAATTATAGTACTGCTTGATTTCAAACAATTTACAACAATGGACCCATATTACAGGAATGATCTTTTTATTTCTCAAATTCAGACAATACTAGGGCTCATTTCATGGTCAATTTACTTATATAATTTTTTTTCAACCAATTACCATGCAAAATATAAATTAAATGTATTCAGTCCAAATATCTCCATTTAAGTTTCTTTATAAATGAGCTATAAATCAACTATGAATTTTGATTTACTTGCTTGTCAAAGGAATGGAAAAAAATATGAAAAGGTTTGCTTGAAATCAAGCAGTGTATCAGTTTATTTATAAGTTATAGGTTTCTTTGGTTCATTCAAGACAGTTATAAAATAGTGAATCTGTTCTCTTTTAAAGATACATTTAAGGAGTCAATTATTCCTTGATCACATAATTGTACAAAGGTTGTAATTTTCACCAAAAGATCAAAAAGGAGTGAGTTGCTATTCTTCAACCAGTGCATAATACATGATTAGGCTGATGAAAGTTTTCAATGAATCTGGGTCAGAGCCTTTAGGATTGCCAATAATAAATATGAATAAAATGTCTTCAGGAATATAATTTAAAGATTTGAGCTCCTTATAGGAGAATTGACTCTTGCAAATGAATATAGAGAACAGGTCAATAGCTCCAAGATCAGAAATATTGTAGGTTTAAGTATTATAAAATTCTCACTCCAAATCTTTCTGAATCCATCCGTCACTCTTATCAAAAAGCTTAATGATTTCACATAATAAATAAGAATTATTGCAAATCTGTGCACCACCATTTTGACACCAAACTATCTAAAATAACATTTGAAAGATTATATTAGCAATTCTAACAACTTGAAAAACTGGTCATAAATTCTAACAGTGTAACCACTAAATAAATAAATAATTCTTCATATAGAATGAATAAAATAGAATGAAGCTCAAGCGGTCTAACTACCGCAAAACAAATTAAGAAATATGTGAGTAACTAGGAATGAAATATCAAAGCTATATTATCAGTCAAACCACTATAAAATATTCTACCTTCACCAATATATACTACTTCTAACTACATCACATTCCTCCCAAAACAGTTTATATTCAATCTTTAACATTAATCTGTACTGGTTTTTTATTACACAATGCAAGTTTAAATCCATCATAAAGTATAGACACATGACAAATTAAAATGTGAACATGACATATTCTATCTAAAAATGAGATGTTTGAAAAATGCATACCAAAAAGTATTTAACAATTCAGAACAGTATTTTGGTTCTTTAACAGCTTGGTGTGTTATAATTTGAGATGAATTTTAAACTATAATTTCAGACTAAAAATACTAAACATATCTACTTTGGTACGTTACTAATATTAACTGTTGGGACTAATCTCTATCACAAAATGAATATATCCATAGTGTTTACTGTTCACTCTATTTCAAAAACAATTAGTAAATCTACTAATAATAAAACAATTAAAAATCTCACAAAACAAATTGTGCATCTTAAATATCAACATAATGCATAATTATTGCAAATTCTAATAATAAGCTTCTTTGATTTATAAATGACATCAGTATGGAATAATATTTAATGGAAGGTATAGAATAACCAATAACATTATATTCAAACAAAATATAATATATTCAATAACTGACTGTATAAACATGAATGTGACCACAAGTTTTATAAACATTGAACTTAATACAACAAAACACAAATATAACATAATTTTATTTTAAATAATAAAAATTCAGATTCAATTCTGTCCAATATATTGTAAGAGACATGGATTTTTGGTTTGAAATGATCAAAATAAATTCATAAATCAAACAAAAAAAATAATGATATCACAGTTACAATTTGATCAAAAGAAAACAATTTTCACCAAATTTAATATAAACATTCAAAACTTAGGAGATAATAGTTTCAATATTTTGAATGTCTGTCATTTTGAGTCTGAATGTTGTTATATATAGGGGGCACTTACTCCATAGCAATCACTAGTATTATGTATGTGTGTGGTTGCATATAAGAATAGCTGTCATAAGTTTCTTATGCAACTGGGTACTCAAGACCATTATTCGCAACCATACACAACTGATAATTGCTTTGGAGTGAAATGGTCATGTTTACGATATGGATTAGTATATAAATTATCTCATGACATTTATTCTGATGTCAAGTCTATAACTTCATCAAAATCATGAAATTGATGAGCTTGTGAAATATCACTTCCTACAGATCACACTATCAGTGTTAAAATGACAATTTAAACATTTAATGATTTCACAACCACTTATTCATTAGACAAATTTATCTTAAAAAAATTATTTGTCATTGAATTTTATCACAAACTTGAAAATTAACTCACAATGGATTTTACATAAAATTATTTGAAGACAGTATAACGTTAAATTTTGACTTAAATCAATGGAATGCTTCTTAATATTGGAATAAGTCAGTAACTGAAGATTAAAAAAAATAATAACAAATATCATAAACTGAGTGTCAAAACAAAAGGGAACACAACAATAAAACAACTCTTTATCAAATTGATATATTTGGTCTTTTATGGTTCTAATAGTCATTTTAGATGCATAGTTTAAGAGAAAAATACTGCCTTACATAAAATATACACTCAATTTATATGTTTGAGCAACATAAATCTGCTGTAATTTCATTTTCTTCATATAAAAATAATTTATTTGGTTATATACAATTATGAAAATAATCTGATTTTAAGCTACATTCCTGAATATTTTTATTCACAATGAAATGGTTGTCTCTATTGTGACTGTACAAAAACAGAATCAAAATTAAACGGTATTCATGAGCTTCTATTTTACGAAATTCAATGAAATTGTAAATTAATCTATTTCACGACGTAACAATTTTGTAAAATTCTTTAAAGCCAAGCTTTGTCTTTTCATTTCTTGAGGGTCAATCTTTAAAGAAGTGAATAATTAGGATTGAAAAATTGTACACAGCAATGTATGAAAAAATCAAATTACATTATGATCTTATTTGTTTTTTTTTAATTCACCTGTTCTTTATGTGCACATTCTACTTGAAAAACTTTGTCAAGAGCCAATTGTGTTAATCAAAACTTCAGGCTTTGACATGACATGAACAAAAACTGTGGAAATGTTAATTGTAAATAATGAACACCATAATAATACCTCTATAAATATTATCTAAACTATATTGTGAAATTTCTATTCTCTGTGCATTGATCAATTTTCAAAAAAAAATTATGTAAATTTTTAATGAAGGAACAAAAATAATGTTCTCTTGTAAGCTTGACAATTTTCGTTCAAGTTCTAAGTTTCATTACATTCAAGAAAAATAATGGTGATCACTAAAATTAACAACCATCAGCAGGTGATATGCATTGTAAAATGGAGTTTTCAAATAATTTCTGGTTCAAAATATACATACAACATAATTCAACAATGGCAAATATAAATTGAAAGGCAAATAGGAAAATAGAAGATCTTAATTACAATTAATGATTGTTATTAATTAAAGATTATTTCATGTGATCATGGTTTGTTTACAGTTATAAATCTACTTTCCCAGGATTGGCCACCAATTCCATTTCATTAAGCAATAATCAATTGATATTCCACTTGCGGAGGACTTTTAGCTTCATTCTTTGAAATGTTCCTGTACGTACACAATATTGACAGACTGAAACCTGCAGATTCAACCACCATGACACAGACACATAGAGTAAGTGAGTGAAAGAAACCACATTTCACAGTTGTATAAATATAGCTAGGTCCTCTACACTGGTATATATCCCTGTACCTAGATTATATTTACTAACTGGTTGTCATATGTGCTGTATGTATAAGTTATTATATACATCAAAATATAGAACTAACTAATCTCACATCTAATAAATATAAAATATCTAATTCTCAACTCTATCTATACAACTATCACTATTATATTAAACTAGCACTATCACCTTATAATCGCAAGGCTTCACAAGGATTTTCAAAACAAATTTTAACAACACAAAAAAATCTATTACCCTCACAACACATTAGATATTTGATAAATATTAACCTTTTTGTAAAAACAAACAAAATAATGAACAGGGAGGGATTGGGGTAGGTAATAACATTGTGTTTTCTCTGGCACTTTTTTCTGTGACAATATGATTTCTTTACAACATAAGGATATAAACCTTTAATTTTTTAAAATTTTAACAACCAAGAAGAATTTGCAAATGATAAATACTATCAATTCAAGAAAAATACTTACTAGTTTATTTCTGATGGTTAGATCAAAACCGGGTTTATTAAATATTATCTTGATAACATTATATCACATCAGGTTCAGAGACGAATCTCTTAATATGCTTTGACTTTCAAACTTATTATTGGATTTGATACACAATAGGTTTATAGTGAATAACACTATTAAATCCAGCATTTAAAGTAGACGATTACAAGAAAATTTTGAAATGGTATACTAAGCATAATATAAGAAGAATTAACTTTTATGAGTGACAATGTTACTAATAAATAAATTTGAACACAATATATTTCATTGCAAAGCTGAGTATGTAAGTTAATGATGGCAGAAGAATAATTAGTCAATTCAAATAACATATTTTATGAGCCTATTTTTCTAATGTTAAAATTAACAGGATTTTGAAGCTAGATTTTGTCTTTTGTTAATTTTTATTAATAAATCTAGACCTAAAATTTGTATAAAATGAGTAAAGCTTAAGATATGTGGACGATTATAAATAAATAAAATATATATAGTTGTTTACCTTCTGATTGTGTTAAATACTACCCCTGTCAAATACTAGATATAATATCATAACATATATATATATACTGTTAACATCTTTAGTTAATTTTATATTGATAACCGCTTGAATTCATACCATACAATCAAATAGATATAATCTTACATAGCAATTGCAATTTTAAACTCATTGAATATAACTTCATTATTATCATCATTATTTTTTAATTAGTATATTTTTAATCATTATTAATAGTGGATTGCAGACTAGACTCTTTACTAATAAAACTAATTTGATTGAATGGAGACAACATAACTTATTAATACTTTGTGTAAAATAAATAATTATACTGGGGCAACATGTTAGAATCATCATAACTTCTATAATATTCTATAATAAGTTTAAGAAATCTGATTGGTGTTTGTAATGATTGCACCAATATTGCCCAATCAGACATCTTAAAATATCATACAAAGAATGAAGAATGAATTCAAATTAATGTTTCTTACAATATATCCCTGACTATTAAACTACATTTCTTACTCTAACCTAATCTGTGATATATCTTTAAATGTCATTTGGTTAAATTATAATAATATATTATAACCCTCTTTTATTCTATTGTGATAGAAATATAGAAATTGGTGCATCGTTGTTAAGTGTAATTAAAAAAATAAGTTAATGATCCCTTGGACAATCTTTTTAGGCACTTTCCTTTCTCATATCATAAAGCTGTTCAAAGTACATATGGCACAGACAAATTGTTCAATTCAGAAGCATAATCCTCTTTTTTTGGCATTTTTCTTTTTTCCTAAACAATTATTTGAAATTAGAAACCATTTTGTCACTATCACTGACATACCACTTTTTTTTTTTTTGTTACAAGAGATTCTCAATCATAAATAAGAAACAGTATCCAGTATCACAACCAGTTTCTGCCAATATCATTAACAAATAACGGTTTCCATCATTATCACAACCGAAACAAATGCAAGAACAATCTTTACTGAAATTCAACCACCTGAGATTCATTGTTTTGATTAAAGACGACCAATTAATGACTAACAAATGATATGTGAAACTACCAACTTCTATATACAATTTGAACACTAATATTAACAAATTCATTAACAATTTTATAAAATTTCTTTACATCTTTCATGTTAAATCTTCACAAATTCTATTTCATTAATTTGGAAAAGTGGCCTGATCAGGGAGTATCTCATATTACCTAATTATGGTAAGTAAAACATCATATTGAAAATTACAGAACAAAACTACATCAAAACTAATTTTAATAAAACTACATTGTGCAACTACTGAAGATAAATTCTAATATCTAATTTAATCCAAGTCATATCTAAATCTATCTGCGTTGACATTGTTGATAAATTGTTGGAAAAGTATACATTCTTTTTTTTTATCAATCCTTATCAAAATTTTGAAGTTTAGAACACATTAGAATTTCCCTTGGCATGATAAAATCCTGTGGCTTTACCAATATAATAACAAAGTAAACTCTACATGTTACCCATCTAATGTTTTCAATATCCATTGAAATAGATTCATATTTAAGGCAAATTTTTCATCTATATGGAATAATTGGTTAAAACAGTTCATTAAATTTCAGTTCATTTCTGAAACTATCATTATATATAACAACTATTAAGTAAAAATATAAATCTAAGCATTGAGTCAGCATCACAAAACATGGAATTGTCGTAATCTCTTAACATATTCATTATTTCTAACAAAATTCTAATATAATATAACTTTATGGTAAATATAACTATTAATTTGTAGTTTCAGAGGTTGATTTTGAGACATCAGTACCCATTAATTCAACTGGATCTATAGTGTAAGGTTTAATATTAACAGGATTTTCCAAGTCTACACCATTTTCACGAATCAATGGATTTCTTTTATCTGCCATTTGTAAAGCTGCCCATTGAGCTGTTCTTGCTCGTTTAATATGAGCTGTAAGTTCACTGATACTTGTTGCTAAAGCTAGAACATCTGAAATTTAATTTTTGATGGTGGCTGAATATCTCACCTAATCTAGTAAGTTCAATTTTATAATCAATCTTAAGTTTATATATTACATTATTAAACTGTTACATTTGTACTTCATTAAATTGTTAACAAACTTAATTTCTACAAATGACAAGGCTTCATGGACATGGTCTAAAAGGCATTAATTCACACTCAGTCACCTCAGTTTTGAGTTTCGGTCGATAAAGCAATTAAAATGAAACTTTTGCAAGACTTTACTGTATAAAATGCTGAATAATTTCTGCTGCAACTTGACAACCTACCTTTATCTTCTTGTTGCCGTGGTATACCTGCTCGATGTCTATTAGCAGCATTCACAATTTCTTCTTTTCTCCTGGCTTGTACTTTACGTATACCTTCTAACCATTTCTCTAAACTAGACTGTATATTTGGATGGATAGTTATACTTCTTAATCTCTGCATTTTATCTATCAGTGTTATGATCTAAAATATCATCGGAAGTAAAATGAATCAAAGAAATAAAAATAGAATGTCTGAAGATCTCACAGCTGAAACTCTAAATACAAGATGATTCAAGTTCTGTTTTTACTATTTTCTATATCGCTCTATAATTGATGAACCAAGCACTATTTTAAGAGTGAAAATATTTTGTTATTTTTCCCCATGTCAGCCTCTGCATCTTGATTCCCTAGATTTGAGTCTAAAATGATACCTACTCTAGCATGTTCTCTGAAGGAATCTACAATCAATCTATCAACTCTAGAGGGATTAGATGGTAGTCTAGGTATAACAATATTATTAGCACTGGACACTTTCTTCCCTGGATTTTGTCTTGCTAACTCAGCTTCAGTCTTCTTTCTTTCTTTCTCCACCCCTTTAAATTGTTCATAACACTCCTCTAATTTAACATGCAATTCATTGGAAGGCCCACTTCTCCTGAAATAAAATTAACTTGTATGTATTTAAAAACAAACCTGCATTTTTGCTTAAACTAACATTGAAACCCTTGCTATGGAACCATATTTCAATAACCCAGTATTTGGAAGAAAGCAGCAACCTCATGGAACATGAACAGGAGCCATAAGTCAATGACTTAAATTCATTATGGCTCATTGTTGTTATTAGTCTCCAGATATAACTTACCTAAATTGTCGGATTCCAGGATAAAAATAAGGGAAATTAAGTACTTGTGGTGGAACATCATATAACAATTCTCCCATAATTGGTGCTACACGACCATATGGATCAACATGAACATAATCTAATCCATCCATAGACAAGGCACCGGGAGGATTGATATTAACCAGAGGTTGGTGTTGAAGATGGGGTGCTAATGGAAAATATGGATGAACTGGAATAACTTTACGAGGATCAACACGTCTTTCTGCTCTACTTTCTTCAAGATATAATGGCATTAATTCAGGTGGTAAAATATCAGTTGATGAATCAAGTCCAGCCGTATCAGCTGACCAACGATCACAATGTGGTGAACTGGTATAATTTGATGATCTGTAACGCTTGATATAACCCTGAGCTCTTAAATGAGCAGCAATTTTCTCTCTCATATGTTGTGGAGTTGATGTATCCATTGGTATTTGCATGGGCTCCTTTTTGATATATTTTCCAACATTTGGACTGCCTAGTTGAACACCAGCTAAATTCTGTTCAATTTGAGATAATTGATGAGGGAATGGACTTTTTTCTAAACCATTACCAGTGTTATCTGCTCCTGAACTAGGTGTACTAGGAGTTGACCAGCTGTTATTACACTGTTGTATTTGTAGTGATGGTGATTGGGTATTGACATGAATTGGATGCATAAAGTCACGATTATGAAGATTTGAATACATTTGACTTCTAACTTCATTCTGAGCCATCTGAGATTGTGAACTGAATGGACCACGATTAACCATGGGATTTGAACTGACAGGTTTCATTGGGTTAATAAATGACCGATTGTTCATATTCACATTTTTTGGGAAGTTTACGATGGAATGTGGAAGAGGAACTTCATTTTGTTGAGAAAACATGTCTTGAACAGTTGATTTCTTTTGTGCTGTTTGAAATTGATTATCCATAGGAAAATGAGACAAAGATCCAGAACGATTAAAATAATGGTCGGAGAAACTGGATTTATCACACTTATTTGTTGCTTGAGAGCTGGTCAGATTGTTAAAAGTTTCAAATGAATTGAAAGAAGAAGAAGTAAATCTCTCATTAAAATTGCTGGTATTTTGCTCGTTGAATAGTGAATGAGACGGAGGTTTGAATTCATCATGTGATGTTTGATCCTGTGATAAAATATTCTGGAATATATTAGAGTCCAATTGTGATTGAGAATTTGATGACAGATATGGTGAAAACGGAGATTCACGTGAATTTTCATCCCAAAATTGTGATAGATGACTTGATTGCTGTTCTAAGCTACCATATGAGACAGAATTACGGTCAGATTTTCCTGATGGGGTACCTTCACTTCCTGTTGACCATACACTGCCACCATTGAAACTTGGAGATCTGAAAGAAGAATGATATTTTGCTTAAAAGATGCCAATGTCTTTGTAATTGTATAGATTAAATCAAGAATGCATACCCAATCAGTTTGAGTAAAAGCTAAGATCATAAGAGTCAAAGTTGTCATCTACAGAAGTTAACGCCTTGATCTTGATCAACAGAAGTCAAACCATCAATCTGCAAAGGTCAAACCTGATTCTGATTTTCAGACAGAAAGAAATCAATGAAGATACAAGAAACATGCAAATACTAGCATTTATATCACTATTCCAACATTACTATAACAAGCACTTACTCATCTAAAGAAAACACATCTGATGTGGTTTGAGATGGAGATTCTTCACATCGTTCAAATAATGGTGAAAATGAAAGAAGGGAAGACTCCTCATCAACAATTTTATTCACAAATTCATTAAATGCTGCAAACTTTTCACTTGAACAACTTGAATTCAGTCCGAGATTAGATGATGACTCTCTATATGAAGAATAATCAGAGGTTGAGAAATCTGCCAATGATGGTGAATAAGGGTTATCCATTGTCCCATTTCCAGGTGGTTTTTGATCTTCTGTGAATTGTGAAGAGTACAATGATAATGTTGGTTGATGCCAGTCTATAAATGGTTCATTTTGTTTGCTGTTTGATGATTGTTCATTGAATTGACCCATTGTATCACTGCTTGTTGTCACGCTTTGGCCCTGTTGAGCAAAGAAAAGTTGTGGTAAATAACCAATCAAAAAATTCCTAATTATAAGTAATATTTAGCTACTTCTTTGCACTATAAGCTTATTTAATTCACTTGTGCAATGCATGAAAAATGCTTTCGTCAAGGCATTTTATTACATTGAAAGTATGATCTTTAATTTTCAGATTCAAATACATGCTGGTGTAAAAGCAATGAATAAGTATTAGAGCATAAAGTGTAAGCTTATATCTCAACACTATGGTTCAACAGTATCCACACTTATTTAACATCAATGTAATAATTTAAGTATGGAAAAAGATCTATATTACAATACATACGGAACACATAAATGTACATTGGACCAATTACAAATTCTTCTGGTACAAACAAATCAACATTTTAGTACAAACCTGTCTGTTTATGTAAGGGAATCTTGAAAAATCTTGAGCATTAATATCCCCTCTGCCATTATCTGACATCAATGTAATGTCTTGATTAGCTGATCTATTCTGTGATATCAAAGGGTTGGGGTTCAATCTGTACCTCTATAATATAAAGTATTTCACATTCAGTTTATGAAAGAATCTAAACATCCAAAAATACATGGCACAATTAAAGTCAATTGAAGTCCAGTTAAGACAGTAAGCAAATCACTGAGCTGAGCAATCCAGCTGACACTTTATTACCGAGCAAACAGTAAGCTAATTCAACAATTACTAGAAATGTACGAAAATTGCATAATTACTTCAAAAATATCTCTAACTAGGAATTTTAGTCACTATTTCTATATGTACGTCTTTTCTATATATCTCAGAGTATATTAAAATGAGTCGTCATTTTAAAATTCAAACACTGATAATTCTGGACAGACATGAATTTGAAGGCTCAAATTTTGACAGTGAGTGAACACTATTACTGATTGGCTCTGCTAAAAAATGCCTTTTTCTCAGACTAAAGTAGGATTGATCAAAACAAATGGTGCACCTATCCCTTTAAATGAGAAGGATGAATAAAGGCATGTGTAAACTTAATTACTTTTGAACTGTTTAATTTTCATGTATTCAAAGATACAAATAAGGGCTCAGGAGAAACTTAGACTATTCTACAACTACTGCCACATTGAGTTAAAAAAAATCTTTTTGTCATTATATAGGCTATAAATCGCAAGCCATTTGTCTCCAAATGACTGGGTGCATACAATATAATGTTTGATGATTTTAAACTTGAAATGAGCACGCTTTCATTCAAGAAAATTGCATGTGAAAATGACCCACAAAAAAGGGTATATAATACAGGTTTCCAAATATTCATATAATGTTTTCATTTGTTAAGTTTAGAATTTCCTTCACCCCAAAGAAAACCTTGAAACAAACTCATAAATTTTCTAATTCATAAGTTCTTAAAATAGGGTCTGATCACGCTTTCTGAAAAAATATCATCACTGCTTTATGGATGAACACTCAGAACAGGCAGGGCCAATTCAACTTTTGTCAGCCTTATTAAGTAAACTAGCCTTATAATTTATCAACCAGCAGATTGATTGCAGTAAGTGCGTAAGAAAGTCTATAGTGAAAAAAGAAAGTTTTTCCCATAGAGGATTAAAGACAAGAAATCCTTCTTTGAAGGATATGATCCAATGAAAAATCTTTCTTTTATAGTCCTGTCATCTCAATCAGATGGCCCGCCATTTCTACTTCCCTATCTCAGCTGTCTGATCTTACATTATGTCATCATTATTTTGTCAGTTGGTCAGGAAACGAGATCAAGTAAACAAAGATTATAACCATTGAATATAAAAAATAAATGAGGTACGACATCATTATCACATCCTAACAAGTCTTACTAATTGTTTGGTTTCAATAAAAAGTAGAAAAGTTATGTCGGGAAGATCAACATTTTTTGTCACCTGTAAACAAATCGTTTGTTTGAGTTGACGTATGGCAAAGAATGCGACTGTCCCAAACAGCTGAAATCATCTTGACACTTCTTCTAATTTTCATATGGTGGCATCAAGTCGGTGGAAAATTAAATAGGGAATTTGTGCATACCTTTTGCTCCAGTCGGTTACCCCCAACCGACTTCATGAACTCTACCTGGCTGTTTTCATAACTGCTCTCCGGATGGGCAACGAGCGCCATGGACGATCATCGTGTTTGTGAAGTATGCTAATGAAGGGCTGTTACATTTCACCCCCGACAAAGTTTCACTTCTAATCGGTCGTATTTGATTCATTTTAACCGTAGCGTAAGTGACAAGGCCACGGTTGAAAAAGATTGGCTTTGTGTTTATCATACGTGATGTTTCGTATGATACTGGTTGCTAATTTGCCATTTTCAAAGTTCTTCATTGATTTATAATATTTCAGATTAACAAGTGGTTTACAATGGTCTTTTTTGTCACATGAAAAAATAATTGAAGTAAATCAAACAGGCCCTTTTGGGTTTCAACTTTGCTATAGTCAAAGGGAAATAATCCAATTTATTGATCAAAATTATCACTGACCACATTCATTTACTCTACTGTCAAAACAGCACTGTTGTCATACTATGCCCAGAGGAAATAATTCATTTTTAAAACACTGCCTGTCAGGAAATTATTGTAAAGCAAATTTTTGATTTAAATATAATCTCTTTGATTTTTTTTCTGTTTTTGATGTAGATTTATTGATTTCACAATACTTTTACATTGTTTAGAATATTAATCTTTTGAAACCATGAATTTAAATAATTTGGAATAAAAGCCTTTTATACACGTAAATCAATGAAATATGATTCAGAACACTGTAAGACGTTAGTATTCTAATTTGACCATTGCATTGTGTTTTCAGTCACAGGTTTGGGGCTAGCACAATTTCTCAAGGGTGGTGGGGGGTGAAAGTGCTCAACTATTTGACATGACAGCTCAATCAAAAGAATATATCATCCGGCTTCTGCATAAAAGAGACATGTTTCATCATTTTCAGGGGTTGATTTGGGTCTGAAATATATGTGTATAATCTTCAAATGTACCAAAATCACATACTTCATATAAAAATACTTCAAACTGAGAATTTTACTTTCTATTTTAATGTCTTTGTTATCACAGAGTTTAAACTTGGATGATCCTAGACAAACATGGATTTGAAGGCTCAAATTTCGATTGTGAGCTGTGAACACCATTACTGCTTAGCTCATTTCAAAAATCCAATTTCTGTGACTATGATGATTTGTCAATAAAATGGCGCACCTATCCATTGAGGTGATTATGACAGGACGTTTCTTTACTTCACAGTCCAAAAACTTCCAAGTGGTGGCAGAGGAAGTGTAAATATTTCTTAGATGAGGCCTGATGAGGTCTGAGTCTGGGTCTGGTCAATCATTATTCAGTCATTTATGATTTTGGAAAGTGAATCACAAAGGGGCATATTTTTTTCAGCTTTTAAGAAATAAATAATAATTTCATTTGTCTAGAAATAAACAAAGTACTAACTATCCGAGTGGAAAAACTGAACCTGAAATCCAAACAACATATAGGCGAAACCTTAGTAGCAACTAACTTTTCACATGAGGAATTATATCAATCATAAGTGAGTAAGTATTTCATAATGAAAAGCAGTATCAGGTGTAAGATTCTCGTCATATTTCCTTTTATATATATGCAGATCCAAAATAATATTACTCCCATAGGCCTACAACCAAAGTTCAATGATGTGTGCACCAGTGACAGAGAGTCTTAGGCCAAATAGTAGTCATCAGAAATTCTGGACAGTTTCCCACTGATGCCATCAAATATTTTCCATTAAGATTTTTCATAAAACAAGCCATAGTCATCATATTTAATAAATAAAATAACAATCTGATAAAATCATTATAACAAATTCATGTACATGTATCCAGGCCAGTAACTAGTGAGAGTGGTCACCTCCTAGAACTTTATTCGAACAAATTCTCCATTGAAGCTGAAATCAGTCTCTTTCAGCTATTGCCCTCCCATGCAAACGTGGTCACTCCCCTTGGTAAAATGGGCTGGTTACGGGCCTGCATGTACTTTGTTTACTAAAAACTTTAAATCATTTAATAAATACCAAATACCGCCATCAATGTTACAAGTCTTTGTCAATTAATTAAGAAATTGGTAGATTTGGAAATAGCCATGAAAGAAGATGAGATCAAATACAAGATAATCAAATAATAACATTAAAATTTTGAACAAAATGTAACAGGGTTTTCAATTCATAGCAAAAATGAAAGATTAAATCAAGGCTAAATAAAATGAATGAAACAGCAATACAATGACAAGAGGGAACTTTGGGTTTTAAAGATATCATATAATGCACTCCTTTAGGCATTTTTTAAACATACATGTATTTTGTGTGATAATACAGATCTCAGCCTTCATGTCTTATTTAATACCAATAACAACTTTTTCTTGTTATCCCTTTTGTTCCATTTGGTTTTATGGGTATTGAACAATGTTAACAGCTTTCTTTAAGCACATCAAATAAATTGTCATTTAACGTTTACCTACACAGAAATTTCATCACAATCTTCCAAAATATTTTAAAAGAAACCCTTAATATAAGAATGTAACCAAAAAAAAAATGGTATTCCACGCTTTAAAGCACAAATGATGAATCAATCTAGAACAGAATAGTTCCAAATTATGAGTTTGAAATTTTCAATGTATCTACTAATTGATTTAAAATTCATCATCATCATCTGATAGTCTTTGTTTAGCTTTATCAACTTGGTCTTCAAGCCACTCTTTATGATCTTTATCTACAGTTATCTCTAAAGGAGGAACATCACTGGGATTTTTATAATTCTGAAAATCATGACTTTGTAAACTTTCAAACATGTGAGTGTCAGTAAAAGTATCGTTTTGGTTTACACTGGATTTTCTTGGCTTAACTCGAGGTTTTTCTGGAGATCTAGGACTTTCTTGAGTCTTTACCATTGTATCATTTTCTGCACGTGTACTTCTACTACTGGAGGGACGTTTATTTTTAGGTGGTGTATAATACTTGTATTGGCTTAGTTTGGATTGTCGATTGGATTTTAAGGTTCTTGGTGTAAATGGTTTATTTGGTTCAGTAAAACGATGTTGATGTTTATCAACTACATCTCCATCATATGTAGATTTTCTAGTAACTTCACTTAATCTTGAAACATTGCTAACACATGATCTTGCAGAACGACTTGAAATTGGTCTCATTGTAGTTGCCATGGCATTGGAATGATGCAGATCTTGATGATGTTGTAATGTTTTCTCCATATTTGGTTTGTTAGGATGGCTCATTGTTTGAGTTTGTAATGTTGTTCTCATGATACTTTGAACCAGTTCATCTTCCTCATCTTCTGGGTCATCCCACAAAGTTTCATCATACATATCCTCAGTATAACCATACTGCTGACCTGGTGTTGGTGTGTGCCTTGATAGACTTGTACATGATCTACTTCGCCCATATTTCTCGAATTCTTTCCTTCTTTGATTATCTCTTGCCTTTTGACTATTGACCATTGATTTGGGTGGTTTACTATCAATAGCTGACTTAGCTTTACTGATCTTTTTATAATGGTTTGACATATGATCTAACACAAGGTATTGTGTTGATAGCTTACTAGCAGTGGGTGATAATGGACTACTTCGCAAGCCCAAGTTGCCTTTTAAAGCTGCAACAGTATTCATATTTTGTTTTAAACGCATCACACAAGTATCCTGTCACTTAAAATAATACTTATACTAAAAAGTTTTTAAGTAAATCTGTACCTTATCACATATTTAAAAGTCAATGCATTTGAATGACAATGAAAACGTCAAGACATGTCTGAGCAAATAGGACAGGAAAGTCACTTTGCAGGATTAAATAGCAGGTTACAGTAAGTAAGTTGTTTATCTAGATCTATGCTAAAATCCAATTGAATAATTCCTTCAAATAAATCATCATGTGATAATATCGATTAGCGGTAACGTAACACAATATTTCAGTTACTTCAAAATAGCCTTTTCACAACACCTCCACTGTAAATGTTTTCAACTTGGTAACTATAAACAAATCTAGAAATGACACCTTTTCTATTGATACAAGCGACCAGCTACCGGTTGAACGACCTTGATCTTTATTGACAAAGTCAGAAGCGACCTTCACTAAACTTTCAGGTTTGACATGAAGCTGTGGGATTCAATAATTTTGAACCCATAATCTTGATTAGTAGCAATATATGTAGTTCAATACAAGTCTAGATAGGTTCCAGAACATGAACTACACCATATTCCATGCATTTACGGAGTTGGCATTGTTCTACCAGCCTATTCACTAACTCACTGACACTACCCGTACTGTCGTACTATCACTACTGCCTCACTACTCAGTACTCACAGTCACCACAGTGTCTCTAATCTACACTTTCTGACACAACTGTACTAACTCTTAGACTTAGGCTTAGCTATAAGATTATGCTAGCCTTGACCACCGGAAGATCAAAACAATAAAGCATGAACTCCTAGATCAATACAAGATTGATTTATTTTTCAATAACTTAAAACAATTTCAACAAACATTATAGATTGAGATTGAAATATATCGAAACTATTGTGCAAACTAGCAATCTGATTAAAATGGATCTGGATGTTCGATTTTGTGTTTGATTGGCAAGTGGCTCAGTCACCCACAGAAAATCAGGAATCAAATCATCCAGATTTATAGAAATAAAATTTCAAGCAAACAAAAACTGGAGCTAAGAAAATTTCACACATGGCAGCAGGCAATTTGATTGATGGTTGTGGAGATAACTTTGCTTCATATGACTGAATAAGTGAATAGCAATGATTTCTAACTACTCAACTGTTGACAAACACTAACAATAAAAATATTGATTACAAGAACAATTTTATGACTGTTTAATTTCATTTTAGAACTTAAAATCCAATATCCTTTCAACATGGCTTCAATTTTTAAAATAACTAGATCATCTGTTGGTACTTTTTGTCAGCTTAGAAATGGGGGATCAAGACAGTTTTCAAAATCATCTGTAAAACAGGTAAGTTGTAGAAATTAGGTTTCTAGTACCTACCTCTAAAGACTACATATTGTCAAGACTCAAACCAACCCCCGAAAATGGCGCATCTGTCCCTTAAACGTCAGCAATAAGCTTTTGTCAATTTACTCTAGAAACATGATATAGTTGGTTTTATTGGATTGGGTAATATGGGTAATCATATGGCAAGGAATTTATTGAAGAATGGTTATCCCTTGGTAGTATTTGATGTTAGTTCTGAATCTACTTCTGCTTTAAAAAGTGATGGTAAGTATATATAATCAAAATTAGCAAACACTAGACAATTATAATGGAATGAAGAACACTTCTTTAATAAAAAATAAAGCACAGAATGTTTTAACACCGTCATCAAATGAATTATTTTGTCTTGGATAGGCAATAATATGTTAATTAAAAGTTTCGTAAAAACATTATGCAGGCATTTTGAAAAGTGTTTATCATCACAGAAACTTTGATGAATTTGTTAACTATAGGGGCACAAGTGGCTAGCTCCCCGGCTGAAGTTGCCAGTGCTACCCATAGAATTGTTACAATGTTACCAGAAAGCTCTCATGTACAAGAAGTTTACACGGGCTCAAAAGGAATTTTCAGGTATGTTATTTTGAAATCATTTATAATTTATTATCCATTAGAGGACAAATGATTATCAATTGGTGGAATATTTGTTAATTATTTTGTGCAAAGAAGATTTAATCATAAAGAACCAAATAAAGATTATGCTTGCTTTTTGTTTACATAAATTACACACCTGTAAGTAGGACTGAGTAAGATAATCAAAATCATTGATTATCATGGCTAGGAATTTATTATTATGATTATCGATAATCGAAATACATAATCGATTAAATTTCAACATTATATTTTCTCCTGAGTGCCCGTTCACAAGTCACAATTTCTTGCACAGTTTCCACTCAGCAGATCATTACCCACATTAAACTATAATAATGGATCAACTCATCAAGGCAAAAATAATAATTCTATCACAGAAAGTTAACCCATGGAAATGATTTTTATTTCGTATTTAGAGGATTTCTCACTTAAAGATGGGTTCCCTTATTTTCATTGAAAATACTATTACTTATATGAATAGAAAGTAGAGGTGTTCTAATGATTTGGAAAAATACCAGTTTACCTCACATGTTCGTAATTAATTCATAAGTAGCTAAATTAGAAGAAAATTACCAGCAGAATTCCAATGAGTGACTGATCAAGAGAGGTCAAAAGGTCTTTTTTTGATTATCCAGACTGTACATACCAGGACATTTATGATTGGCTAAAACTCATGATAATTCATAAGAAACACCAATTAATCAAATAAGTCGCTGAATTTGACACTGAAAATAAGGAAACCTGTCTTTAAAATATTTCAATCGATTATACCTTGAAAGGGTATTCATTTTCACTTGTTTCTATATCACAGTGCTATTCAGGATAAAAGTTTATTAATCGATAGCAGTACTATAGATCCTAGTGTATCACAACATATAGCAGGGGAAGCACAGAAAGGTGACTCAGTTTATCTTGATGCACCAGTCTCAGGGGGTAAGATCTTTTATATTATTTAAAAAATAACTGTCAATTATCAAGTTTTTGCCTCCATTTTTTAGGATGACATAATAATGAGATCTTTTCTTCATGTGAAGCACATAGCAGAGAGGTGATATTTAGAAAGGTAATACCCATGAGAGAATATAGATTGGCAGATTTATGTAGTATTGGAAATTTTCTGATTAGACGAAAATATATCTATATCCACGTTCAAGTAATTGTACCAATAATTTAGAGTCCATATTTTCACAACAATGATTTTAATTTCTTTCCAGGTGTAAATGCAGCTAGAGATGCTTTACTCACATTCATGGTAGGGGGACCAGAAACACACTTTAATCAAGCAAAAGAATTATTATCCTTGATGGGTAAAAATGTTGTCCATTGTGGAGCGGTAGGAACAGGGCAGGTTTGTACATAATTTATTTCTATATTAGATCGCTCAACCTCAAAACAGCATGATAGTTGAGGTGTGAAGTTCACTGTATGCACACCATCTAAGGACTTAACCCTGACATTATTTATAATATGTTATATACATTGAAATGTTCATATCTGGTCATAACTTGCTATGAAAACTCAAGAGATAATGTCTTTTTAACATGTTTTCAGGCAGCAAAGATCTGTAATAACATGTTGCTGGGTATATCAATGATTGGAACATCAGAAACGATGAATCTGGGAATCAAGTAAGAAAAAATTACTAGTGAAGTTCACTTTTTATACACCCACATTATAATGTGGTCGTATATTGTCGTCACCCATGTCAGTCCTTCACTTTGTCTGTCCACTATTGGCTTGTGAACATAATAGAGACTACAGTTCTTATCTGATTTTCATGAAAGTTTGTGTGATCATTTATAATGATGAGATCTTGATTAAGTTCGAAGTTGACGATTTTTTCGATGAATGGTTTTTGAGTTATTGCCCTTGATGTGTAAAAACACATCAAAATTTGATTGTTAACACTATAGAAGCTACAGTTTTCATCGGATTTTAATGAAATTTGGTGTGATCATCTAAAACAATGAGATCTTGGTCAAGTTTGATTTATCGATATATAGTCTTTAAGTTATTACCCTTGACTTAGTAAAAAAAACTTCAAAACTCAATAGAAACTACGGTATTTATCTGATTTTAATTGAATTTGTTGTGATCATTTACATGTATATTAATAAGATCTTGTTGAAGTCAATTATTTGTTGAACAGATTTTTGGTTATCATGAATACTATAGAGACTATAAAGATTTCATCTGATTTAAATTTTATGTTAAATGTTAGTTGTGAATGGGATAGAGGTCAGAATTTTGTGTTTAAATCAACAATATCTTTGACAAATTTGATTTTTGGTATGATTGGACACAAACTGATGACTGCCCTTGATATACTGAAAGTTTATCAGGGAAGTGGCTTTATCTTGCTAGGCAACCACTTGTTACTTTTAAATTTGTTAGTTTATTTTCAAAAAAAGTGAATATGAAGGGGTGAAATGAATTGTTTCATTAATAGAAATAACTAGCAATATATCATGTTTCAATGGCAATATATCTGTAACTTAATGTTCATTCAATACATTGTTAGATTCACAATTCAATCAGAACTTCGTCCAAAATAGGCATAAGCTCTCATAAGATTCCATGGCATCTTTAGCTGTTGGAAAATTTTCATCAAAATTAACCTTAAAAAATACATTTAGATGCCCATCCTCCAGAAGATTACATCACATCACATAATATTATTTGTATTTCAGATTAGGACTGGATCCCAAATTATTAGCGTCAATATTAAATATGAGCTCTGGTAGATGTTGGTCTTCAGAAGTATATAATCCTGTACCTGGTGTTTTAGATGGGGTACCCTCTAGTAATCAGTATAAAGGTGGTTTTGGAACAGCTCTCATGACAAAGGTTTGTGCTATTTGCATTTTTATACGCACACATGGAAAAGTGGAAGTATATTGTTCGCCGTCCGTCCGCATTTCTTGTATGCACAATAGAGGCCATAGCTTTTATCTGATCTAGATGAAACTTGGTATGCATGTATATATTCATGATATCTCGGTCAAGTTCGAAATTGGTAATAATCCGTTAAACAGTTTCAGAGTTATTGTCCTTATCAGTCACTCATTGGAATTCTGCTGGTAATTTTCTTCTAATTTAGCTACTTATGAATTAATTACGAACATGTGAGGTAAACTGGTATTTTTCCAAATCATTAGAACACCTCTACTTTCTATTCATATAAGTAATAGTATTTTCAATGAAAATAAGGGAACCCATCTTTAAGTGAGAAATCCTCTAAATACGAAATAAAAATCATTTCCATGGGTTAACTTTCTGTGATAGAATTATTATTTTTGCCTTGATGAGTTGATCCATTATTATAGTTTAATGTGGGTAATGATCTGCTGAGTGGAAACTGTGCAAGAAATTGTGACTTGTGAACGGGCACTCAGGAGAAAATATAATGTTGAAATTTAATCGATTATGTATTTCGATGATCAATAATCATAATAATAAATTCCTAGCCATGATAATCAATGATTTCGATTATTTTACTCAGTCCTACTTACAGGTGTGTAATTTATGTAAACAAAAAGCAAGCATAATCTTTATTTGGTTCTTTATGATTAAATCTTCTTTGCACAAAATAATTAACAAATATTCCACCAATTGATAATCATTTGTCCTCTAATGGATAATAAATTATAAATGATTTCAAAATAACATACCAGAAAATTCTTTTTGAGCCAGTGTAAACATTTATTATTCATTATAAACCATTACAGACTTTATCATTTCTGACAGCTGGTATTTGGCATATGTTACCTTGCGTGGCAAGCTATCTTTATTTGTCTAGGACTGACTTGTAGGATAGCACTGATTACAAGTTTTAGTAACTTCATCTGGGTAATGGTGGTGCCGATAGTCTTATAGATGATTAAGTGCTGTAGTTATGAATAGCCCATTCTAAAAGGTCAAATATATATATGATATTGAAAATTTACCTGTAAATGTATGTATAGTTACCATATTCAATCTGTTTATTTTTTGATAGAAACAATCTTAATTCTTATTTTAAGGATTTGGGGTTGGCTCAATCAGCAGCAATAAACAACAAGATTCCTACACCATTGGGTTCCATGGCATTACAGATATATAGAACTTTGTGTAATAAAGGATATGGGGGTAAAGATTTCTCAGTGGCTTATCAGTTTCTACAGAATGAAGAGAAGAAAAAATAAACACAATACTATTCCAATATTCATGAATAACAACCTTCTTGACAACAACAAGGAAAACTAATACAGAAATTTTTATACACTTCGTCATCTGAGAACCAGACTGTTATATGTCCATTTTTTTGAAAAATTGAGTTAGCATATCAAATGTAGTTAAGAGACCCCAGGTTCTATGTTCATACCAAATTTTAGCCTCCTAGTATCATTTTAAATGGGTTTTTTTTTTTTCAACTTAAAAAATTGTTCTAATTCCAACTTAGAACCACTAAGGAGAGGGTATTATAGGCAAAAGCCTGTTCCCTAATCCTATTATGTAAATTAATATTGTTTATACAAAAAAAATACTTAGAACCATAGTGTTTTATGTCTTTTTTTATCCAATGGGATCATATGAAAAGAAGTTAGAAGTCAGTAGTTTTATACTACTTGTATTTCACTTTAATTTGGATTAGTTTATTTTTAAATGGATTGTAAGTACATTATATGAATTGAAATATATATTTTGAGCATTCACTTGACTTTAATCAATGTCAATTTATGGATATAGAACAGTCTGGTATTTTCTTAGAGGTAATTGTTCTACCTCCTACTCTAATAATGTAGTAAATTTAGACCAGAAAGGACAATTATGCAAAGTTTGGCTTCATTCAAATTAAATACGAAAAAAAAATCTGTTTTGAAACTTGGAACTCCATTTTCTCGAAAAACAACTTTTGTGGATATAGAATAGTATGGTGACGATTTATTATTTATTGTTTGAGATTATATTTGTTACTATTTTTGGTAAAATCACACAAAGATATTTGTGCAATTGAGCAAAGGTTATCTGATATTGAATAACTACCAGCAAACAATACTGTATATTTATTAAGAAAAAGGATTGCATTTATCTGAGATTATAATTCATCAATCTCTATATTGAAACTTTGTGTATGCCAGTAAATCAAAACATCTGATATCTATTTCAATATTTATAGTGTCATATTTTTTGTCTTGACGACATATTTTGTAAAAATTTAATAAACCTAGTTTACAAGAAAATTGTCAATAAACTATAATATAAAAACAGTGCATTTAATTCTAACAATTTATGCCTTCCATAATATATCTTTGAATAAGAAAAGGTTATATCTACAATGGTATCCTATAACATTTTGTTGCAGTTCTTATTTGTTCACAACCATGTGAAATAAATATACTAAGAGCATTTTGTGTTCATGATTGCAAAATAAGAGATGAAAGGTTATCTAATTTAGATCAATGAAAGATGATGTAACTACTTATTTCTGGCTACATTATATACCATAAAATCTTCAGCACATATAACAGATCCTGTACCTAATATAGCCTCTGCTTCATTTAGTAATGTCTGTACTGAATCATCACCCTCCTACAATATTCGAAACAATACAAATTGATCAATAAATTAAAATATAAAGTGTTGACTGATATACAATACTTTCTAATGATTGTCTTCATCACAATGTCAAGCTGATACGAACTTTGTTTCATACCTTGACTGCATTAGCTACCTTTCTTGCACCACAGAAGTTAGTAAATGCAGCGATATGTTCAAATTGTAGGTTAGCGAATACAGCCTATCAGAGTCTTCAACAACAAGTCTGTAATCAAAAAGCCATAATGTTTACAGTCCGTCTGTTAAGGGCTATGATAAGTTCTGTTATGTTGACTTGAAACAACTGATGCCACCATATTAAATTTTATTCTACCCGAAAAACAATAACTGACTTACTTTTAACTGACATGAAAGAGGTTTATATCTCTGACTAAAATGTGTTAATATTAGTTGTTTCACATTCAAGGATTTTGCTAACTTTGCCACCATTTCTATTAACAAAATGTTAAAATTGAATAAGGAAGTATTATACTCTTTGAGTGGCATTGTGGAGAAACCTACCTTGACAAACTAAAAAGTCTCTATCAGATATAAACACCCTAAGGCTACTTTTGGATATAATGTTCATGTTAAAAATCTCTTGGCTGGAATAAATTAAACTCTGGTACTGGTGTGTCAAGATAGTTAAGTTCATCAGACTATGATTGCAGATCCTTGTTTTTGGTCTGAATCCTTACACGAAAGTTTTTCATATGGAAACGTACCACTGTATTTGACACTCTAAATTCAATTGATACAAATTACAGGCATTATGCTTACCCGGTGTAGAATGTCCATTTTCTATACACTTTTCACTCAATGAATTTTCTAGAGTTGCTTCATGTATCAACACGTCAGCATCTTGTCCAATATGTTTGAGATTCCAGGAATCTGTGCTGTCTCCCATAATAATAACCTTTCTACCTTTAATTGGTGGACCAACAACATCTTCTGGTTTTATCTATGAATATTATATATATATCTATATAATGGTATCTTTGAAATTTCACACCCAGATATTTACACTTACAGCACAAGTATTTGTCATATCAGACTGTCTAAAATCACATCAGTTTTTTTCTACCAATTATAAGTTATGTCTGACAAATTAAAAAACTATATAACAAATGCATAATGAGCGTCATATATAAGCGTTTTTATTTAAGCAAATTGTGTCAACTCGCTTTGACCGCTGATTATCATCTTAAATAAATAACCATCGGCATAACCGAGTTGCATGTTTACTTCTCAATAACTCCAATACACACATTATTTAATAGTATGTTTTTAAAAAAAAAGCTGGTAAAAATATATTTTTAATTCCTATAACCTTAGAATGAGTTCTCGAAATGTTTTTACTTGTTATCAATATTGCCCACCATCTTGAATCTCAAACAAATCGCACCAAAGCGCTGTTAGCCATGATTTGGTCGATTTGGCAAATCGCTAAAATAAATGTGTATTGTAGGCAAATTGTTGTAGATGCTTCGTTTATATAAATGCACAATTAGATCTGTGTCAATACAATTTGCTTTAATATAAACGCCTTTCATTCATCGAAAGTTTGTCAAATTCTAACTAATATAAATGATCACACCAAATTTCATTAAAATCAGATAAAAACTGTAGCCTCTATTGGGTTCACAAGCCAATTGTGGACAGACGGACATCATAATGTGGGCGTAAAAAAAACCCAGTATTTTCATGAAAATGATCACATACTGAAAACCATTTTAAATTATCTTGTTATTGGTGCTATGATTATTATGAATGAACATGTTAAGTAATATCACATAATACCTACCACAGTTCCATTCTCTAATGTTATTGTTTCTCCTGACTTTATTTTACCATATAATGGCCCAATAGGAACACCCTTAGATACCAATATTGATACATCTAGTCTGAAATTTCAGAAAATTGTTAATAAAGTGAACTATGAAGTAATTGGAAAGAGTTTATATTTTTCTTTTATTTTAAAAACTATTGTAAATAATTCAAACTACACAAGATGGACAAATTGAGACAAGATGGAACCAACACTTTATACAGTAAATTATATTATTTTTTTATCTAATAAAAACTTAACTCACGTGCCTGGCCGAGACTTTTCTTCAATTATAAATCCATATGATGGTATTCTGTGTTTTGTCCATACAGATGTCACGATGAACTCATCATCTTCAAATCTAGAGACAAAATCCGAACAGTAACAGAGAGAAAAGAAATTATTTTTTTTATTGCACATATTCATAATCAGAAATGCAGATCAAGATGTTTTGTGTGTCGTGTCTTTTATATCCATGATCTAACTAAATTCTTCTATTACTGTGTTTTGTGAGATCCAGCTTTTGACCAATAGCAATATAAATTGTAATAATTTATGCTAACCATTCACAAACACTGTTAAAAGTGGTTAGATAATACAAGTCAATGTTTAACAATAAACATTCAAGAACTCCTCATGAAATTAAAATGTTTAGCTAGTCATTTGGTATTTTTCTACAACTGCTTGCATGTACTCTGCCTCTTGTGTAAATAAAAAAAAAATCAAGTAGAGACGGGCAGTTGGTGCCCATGTGGATACCAACCACTTTCTGATAAATGTTGCCACCAAATTCATCTTGAGAAGAAAAAGAAAATTAATAGTAACCAACTTACAGATGTAATATATTATTACTATCAGGTACTATAGTTGTACCAGGTGTTTCATTAGGATGTAAGTCTTCATCACTAATATGATTTACAGGCCATGACTAGAATAAATCAACAAATAACATCAAAGCATCAGTCTAAAGTCAATCATTCTAAAGTATCCAAATTATTTCCAGTAGAATTTGATATATATAAGAAATTTAAGTTTTGAGCTACCTTTGTGAGTAAAAAATCAACCAGAGAATATTTTACTGCAGAAAATTAACTTACCTGCCAATCTGCTGGGTATTCATGATCTAGCGTCTGTAGTTCATGAACTGTATAATCAAATTCCAGTTGAGTTCGAGAGAGCTGAAGATTTATTCTTAATAACTTACGTAAACCAACTGGACCATATATATCAACTGGTTTATTTCTGCGTTTATTCTGACTGATGGTACATAGTAATCCTGGTAAACCAAATACCTACAATAATCAGAATATCTATATTCACCTTGTCGGTATTGAAATACAATACAGGTAACAATGTATTGTAATATACCATGTTCCAGGTAAGGGTGTACAGATTACATTTTAAAGGAGAACAAGTAATCATAAATTATTTTCTTCATTTATTATCATAAAACAATATTTCTGTTTTCTTATTAATTATTCTCTAAATGTTATTGGCTGTTTTACTTACATGGTCTCCATGTAAATGTGATATGAATATTTTATATATTTTACTGGCTTTCAACTGACTTCTCATTAACTGAGTCTGTGAGCCTTCACCACAATCAAACAACCAACATACACTATCTGTGATAGTAAAGAAATATAGATAACATCTTTGAGGATAAATTCTGTTTGCAAGCTGTTTCTTAAAGCAGAATTATTTATTCTAGCAGAATATTGAAAAAATAGTAGGCTAATGGTGATGTACTGGAGCAATTTCTATCATTGCACACTTCTTCTTGTTGCTCATCTTCAATTGCTTTATCAGATTCAGAAAGGTATGACATAATTTATCAACTCCATTTTATTTTGATTCCCTTCATGTATGCTGTAATTTTACTACGTTAAAGAAATCCAATATAAAATTTCTCACCAGTTCTAAATACTGTACATGATACACCCCTAGTAGGTGTAGGATAGGCAGATGCTGTTCCTAGAAATGTGATATCCATTCTTCAGCTACCAGTAACTATAAGAGACAAATCATATGATCATGTGTTAGGCATGGTTTGAAAGGACATGTTCACCATCCTTTTGACCTCCATCAACTACCTAGTTTGCGATATCAGCATCCGCTGGAAGCGAATGTTAACTTGTCATCTACCAACCAACCAACCAACCGTCCTTTTGACCAATTGTACCTTAGTTTCAGAAACAGAAACTTTTTATTTAAGTTAATTAGTAGTAGTATTAACCGTCCATAATGTGTTCAGAATAGAAAAGATAAATATAGAATAAGAAAGTGAAATTTCTAGTTTGAAGTAAGCTTATATTTGAAGGGATTATATGATTTCCGTGCAGTTCTAGTACTTCTGAAGATTATTTACATATATTACACCAAAATCAACCCCCAAAAATGGCAAACAATAGTCTTTAACCTTTTGAACACTGAGTGTAAATGAGATAGAACTTGCTCAAAATATATACGATCTTCTTAACCATATTCTTTACTTTACCATCATTTCTCCCTATACCATTTATGTCATGCCTCTGGTTCCAAAAAAAATTTTTTTTAATGAAACTTATCTCACATCTTAAAGTCAAAAGTTCAAAGTTCAAAGGTCACAGAGTCAAGAGATGCTAACAAAACGAAACTTACGGTGATGTCCAACACAAATATACAATCATCGTAAAGCTAACTTAATATTATGAAAGAAAAAGCACATTTTTGAAAGTGTGGAAAATTTTGTCGGACTCTACGCCAACCAACAGCTTTGAAAATATCCATCAGAGGCTGGAATAGAGACAGATGTTTCGGACTATGTTTTAACTATCCATGTCTTTTGAATACAATCTGAAAACAGGTTCTTTCTTTGTACCGTAGGCATAGATTAAAATATTTTTTTGTATTTGGGTGATTTTGAGGTTTTACAGCAACCTCAATAATAAAACATTGAGGAATTAAATTGTTATCTTCATATACCAGATTTACTTTGACATGATTGTCCTTTTAAAGATCAAAGAATGATTAAATTTTTAAGCCGCTGCCTTAAATGAGGCCATTTTAAGGTTATTTCAAAGAATTTTTTACCAATATTAATATTCACATAAAATAAATGATCAACCTACTGTCAACTAAAGTCAATTGACTCTTCGTCATACGAAGTCCTAACTCACTAAAGTTGGCTTGAGTATGCTAAAAACATTTAGATTATTTTGATTGGATGCTATTTATAGATAACTAATCATGTATATCCCATGATAATAAGATATCTGTATTAGCCGAACCCAATTTTGAAATCGTTGAATCAAACAGGCACCTAGCAACATCTCCGTAAACAACATGGCGGAGAAAAGAACCTGAAAATTATTAAAGTTGTTGTTTTATGATAAGATCCAGGGAATAAGAAGAAATGGCAAAATTTGTAATTGCAGGTAGATATATGCGTTTATGTTATATAATTATTAAGACTATTTAGATAGGATAGGACAAACTTACAGTCTGGAACTAGGCCTAAGAGTTGATTGGGGTAATAAAAAGAAAAAGGCTGACAGTGAAGACAAAGGCCTACTGGGGCCGAGGATATTCGCCACCCTCATTTTTTTTTTTTGCCACCCGTTTTTAAAACTTTAATTTCTCTGAAGACTGACATTATTAGCTGTTAAGGCTATAGCGTTGCATGCATTATAATGTTTTTTTATGTTCATTAGAAACGCTTATTTGCAATTCCTTTCAAGAAAATGTACCAAAATAACACCTACTTATAATTGATAATCGCTGTCCCATTGGATGGCTATTTATAGTCAACCGGTGTTAAGTCAATTTGGCCACCACTTTTTTGAATCACTTCTATGAAAATTAGTCTCGCGTGGCTCTGCATTTTTTTTTTTTTTGAGGCCCCGAAGCGTTTTTTCTTGACATTTTCCGGCGGATTTAAGGATTTTTTATATAGCGTGTGGGAGATCCCACCCTTTGAAGATTTTTAGAATCGGATTCCTAAAAACACGAATTCCGACATTCCCTGTTAGTTAAAGAAAGCTGGAGCAAAAGCTGAGGGTGGTAAAAAAGACTTTAGGGTGGTTAACAAGAATTGTCGGTGGTACACAAGAATCGTCAGGGGTAAACAAGTATTGGGGGTGGTAAACAAGATGTGAGGGTGGTGAACAGGAACGGAGGGTGGTAAACTAGACCTACGAGTGGTAAAGAAAGACCGAGGGTGGTAAACAAGAGCTGAGAGTGGTTAACAAGATCCGAGAGTGGTTAACAACAACAAGAGCTTCGGCTGGTGAAGAAGAGCTTAAGGTGGTTAACAAAAGTTGAGGTTGGCAAACAAGAATTGTGAGTGGTAAACAAGTATTGGGGGTGGTAAACAAGAGCTGAGGGTGGTGAACAAGAGCTGGAAGTGGTAAACAAGATCTGCGGGTGGTAAACGGAACGGAGGGTGGCAAACTAGACCTGCTGGTGGTAAACAAAAACCGAGGGTTTGCGAACAAGAGCTGAGGGTGGTAAACAAGAGTAGGTTGGTAAACAAGAATTGTGGCTGTTAAACTAGACCTACGGGTGGTAAACAACAGCTAGGGTGGTAAAGATAACCCAGGGTGGTGAACAATAGCTGAGGGTGGTAAGCAAGAGCTGGGGATGGTGAACAACAACTAAGTAGGTGAACTAGAGCTTAGGGTGGCAAACAAGAGTTGTGGGTGTTGCACAAGTATTGTGGGTGGCAAACAAGACCTGGGGGTGGTGAACAACAGCTATGTTAATGGAACAAGAGCTGAGTGTGGTAAACAAGAATTATGAGTGGTAAACAAGTATTGAGGGTGGTAACAAGTATTGAGGGTGGTAAACAACAGCTAGGTTAATGAAACAAGAGCTGAGAGTGGTAAACAAGTATTGAGGGTGGTAAACAACAGCTAGGTTAATGAAAAACAAGTTGTGGTGGTAAACACGAACTAAAGGTGGTATACAAGAAATGATGGCGGTGAACAACAGGTAGGGTGGTGAACAAGAGCTGAGGGTGGTAACCAAGAACCCAGGGTGGTGAACAGGAGCTGGGTATGTTAAACAAGAACCGAGGGTAGTGAACAACAACTAGGACGGTGAACAAGAGCTTATGGTGGACAAGAGTTTAGGGTGGTAAATAAGAATTGTGGGTTGTTAACAGGAACAAGAACTGTGAGTTAACACATATTGTGGGTGGTAAACAAGAGCTGGGGGTGGTAAACAGGAATTGTTGGTGGTTAACAAGAACTTACTTCCTTCAGCTCTTGTTTACCATCCCCAATTCTTGTTTACCACCCTTACACATTACTTACCACCCGTTAGTATTGTGTATTACCGTACGCCTTATTACCACCCTTACACATTACTTACCACCTGTCAGTATGGTTTATTATCGTACGCCTTATTACCACCTTTACAAATTACTTACCACCCGTCAGTATTGTGTATTATCGTACGCCTTATTACCACCCGTACACATTACTTACCACTCGTCAGTATTGTGGATTATCGCACGCCTTATTATACCTTAAACCTTATTACTTCAAATACATATTTCCACCCACCCCAATGCATCGTATTTACCACCCACATACATTTCTTACACATTGGCGATGGCTCCAACCATGGATTGATATTCTTTGGATTTTTCAACTCGATTTCCCCTTGTCAATGTTTGAGATCGGAGGGGCTTACTTGGAAAATACGTCTAGGATAAATGTGACACAATTTGGACACGCGCCTGCTTTGTCTTTTTTTTTAACCATTTACAAATCTTCATCAACCTTTTTTTTACTTACGTAAAGATCCCCCTACAGTTGGAAATCAAAAAATAGGAGTAGGTTAATGTCGCTGTCCTGACAAAATTTCCCTCATTGCACACTGCATGGCGTTTGCCCATCCTCAGTAGTCCATACAGGTGCAGAAATAGGACGTAAAACTTTATTTTATTTCATTTTTTTTTCTACGGATTTCTTATACAAACGTATGATGCTAAATTTCATAGCAACACTAACAGGACCATTTGGGATGTATGCTAATTTGGTGTAAACAAAAAGATTTTTTCTGCCACCCGGATGGCGAATAGTCAAATGAATGGACGTGGACTATTCGCCACCCGGGTGGCGAATATCCACGGCCGCCTACTGGGGCCTATGATATTTATTATTTATCATTATTTATTCAGAAAGTGTAAGATTTATGTTTTTTTTTTCACCCATTAGTTTAAAGTCTGAAAGTTTGAATAATTTGCCAAATGTATCTATTTGTAGGTCGGGATGATTGCCCATATTATGCTAGGGCAGAACTTCTTGGTGATAGATTAGTCAAAAATTTGCCAGATTTCAAAATTCATAAAATTGTAAAAACAGAGTCAGAATGGGAGGTAGGTTTAAAAGTAGATCTATGAAAATGAGCTTATAGTAGCTCACTTAACCAAACTTTGCAAGGATATATCTAATAATTCATTCCGATATCAATGTCAAAAGATTGTGTATTTTTATGTAAAAAATAAAATGCTTTTTTGGCCTTTTGATAATTTAAAATCAGAAGTTGTAAGTTTTTCTGATACATTCAAAGGGTAGAAAACATCTGAAGATAGCATACCATGATTTTGTGTAGAAGAAAAGCAACAAAATTTGACAGGGAATCAAAGACCATAAAAATGACCATGCATAAAATAACATCATTTAAACTTATTACATGAGCTTATAAGTCTACTCTTTTATCTTTCCCAGGATTGGATGACAATCACCTGTTCCGAAAGAGGATGGGAAACAAGAAAATCACCATTGGTATGGAGGGAACTATTAGACAGAGGTGGAAAGGGAGTTTTAATTGGTGGTGCTAATGAATTCCAAGAATATGTCAAAGGTTACTACAGTATCAGCTCAGATTTGACAAGTGACGATATGCGTAAAATTAGCCAAGAAAATAAGAAAATGAAAGCAGAATTAGATAAAGAAGAAGCTGAATTTAAAGCCCAGAGTAAACCACTTCATGTCTGTATATCAAATGCTAGCAGTCCTATCGCTTATCATCTGATAAATTCCTTAGCATCTGGTGAAACATTTGGTCCCTCAACAGAAATAACCCTCAGATTATATGATGAAAATCTTGAACACTCAGAGTTATTGAGTGGTTTAAAGATGGAGGCTGAAGATCTGTGTCATGATTTATTGAGAGGGGTTACTGTTACATCTGATCCTTCAGAAGCTTTTACCAACTGTAGCGCTATCATACTTATTGACAATCTTTATCAACAAACTGATGAATCTCGGCAAGATTGGTTGAAGAGAAATGCTGAACATTATACAAACTATGCTAAAATCATCAACCAAGTAGCAAAGAAAAATGTGAAAATTTTGATAGCTGGAAATGGTCCAATTAACCTGTGTGCAACAATGATGATAAGGCATGCTCCAAATGTTCCTCGCCAAAATATTACTGCCATGTCAAGAATGATTGAAAATTATTCTAAATCTGTGATAGGTGGCAAGTTGAACTTGAACACATCAAATGTTTTGGATCTCATTATTTGGGGGAACATTAACAGCAAGAAATATATTGATTTAAGTCAATGTAAAGTTAGGAACTATGATGGAGCAATCTGGGGTCCACCATCATTTACTCTGCCTGCTGTAGAAATGTTGCACGATAATAAATGGATTGAGGGTGAATATTTGGAGATTGTTCAACAGAGAAAAACAAAAGTTAGAGAAGCTTTAAATCATTCTGCATCTGTGTCTTTCTCATCAGCAATAATAACAATGCTTCAACATTGGTGGAATGGTACTCCAAAAGGACAATTATTTTCTTTGGCAGTTTGTTCTGAAGGTATGTTCTTTTTATATGTTATTATTTTGAAAGTAATGCAGCGTAAATGAGTGAGAACTATGTTTTACTTTACCACTTTGCTGAACAGATTTATTTTCAGATTTAAAATCATATGAGTGATTACTGAGAATCGATAAACAAACACTGATATTGAATATTTGAATAGATTATTTGAGAGTATTTGTTATTGATTTATAATTTCCAGGTTGGTATGATGTACCTGAAGGATTAGTTTTCTCCTTTCCAATAACAATGCATCCTAAAGGTTATTGGAATGTTGTTCAAGACATTGAAGTACCTACTGATGTTAAAGCTATACTGTTAGAAATTGTTTCGGTAAGCTTTGTTTTGTTTGGCATTATGAATTTGTCATGTAATAACTACACCTACCTTCATTTATCTTTGAGCTCTGTCTCAACTCTGGATGTCTGCCATTGGCTGTTCATAGACCTATTCTTCAGAATTACAGTTTTGATTAATATTTTATGATGTTTATTCAGAGTTATTCTGAACAAAACAATTCAAAGGGAATTGAATGATCGTTATAATCTTGTTTTATATAAGATTATGTTTCTATTTTCCTTTGTAATAATAATTCTTATGTCGCTTATGAGGACAATCTAAAGATATATTTTAATTATTTATTTGAATTTTATATCTTTTTTACAGGAACTACAAAATGAAATTGAAGAATTGACAGCAGTACATCTACCAGAAACTAGTGAAAATGAACAACAAGCTGGTGACTCAGTCTTGATACAGGATGACAGTAACCAAAGTGGAGATTCAGAACAAGTTGATAAAGATCATGGTGGTGATTCAGTACAGGTTGAAAAAGAAAAGGATGGTCTTTTAGAAGAGGCTGATAAAGAGAAAACTAGTGATGTTGATAAAGCCAGTGATAATAATGGCGATGTTGATAATAAGGACAGTTCTGGTATTAATAATGAAGAACCTACTGAGAACAAGGGGAGTGATATTTTTAACAATCTGAATAATGAACCAAATGTTGAAAAGAAAGTATTTGGATTAGAATCTGAAGAAGATAAGGCTATAAACTAGTTTCAATAATTATGTTTTCTGTGATAAAATATGTATATATCATTAAATATAAAGTTTGAAAGTATTTTGTTTTATTCGTCCCAATTTATATTTCTAAATTTCTAAAAGTAATGCTGTGGACACCTATCTTTTATGCACATTAATTCTAAGAAAAATTCTGAATTTCTACATCTGGTAGGTTCAGTTGTTTTATCCAAGGGAAACTAGTATAAGATTCTTGAATTGATATTAAATAAAATGCAGCAGTTTTTTAATAAACATATATTTTCACAAGATCATTTAGATTCTAGAGGGATGTTTCAAAATGTACATACAGCATTGTTATATTGTCTTAGTCTTAGATAATCCTATTTTTTAAGCCCGGCAATTTCCATTGATGACAAAAGATTCATTAAAATCAAGAATCAAACTACAAATGTCCCAGCTTTCATTAAGAAATTATAATTTTGAAAAATGAAGAATGGAAATTCTTAACTACTTCCTTTTGAAAATTACATACATGTGCAGTTTTGGGGGAATTCTTCGCATTTTGTATGGGACAAAAAAAAATTAGCCACAAGATAGATACAGTCACAGAAATTGATTTACCGATAAGAATAAAATTATGAATGACATTAAATTACTGTGGTCTGAATATCTATTTCAATTTTGCATTACTTCCCATGTTGAAGTCTGGATGTTCGAGCACAAACCATGTGGTAAACATTCAAGATGGCAGTCAAAAATAAAGAAAAGAAAAAACAACCCGTAGTTATAGCCCTTGATGCTGAAAAACAGAAAGAGTTTACACATAAAGTCAAGAAATTAAAAGAGAAGGTGATAGTCTACTTAATTTAATTTTTTTTCGGTTGCTTTGATACTTATGAGAAAGTTAATTTTGGAGACGGGAGTACATCGTAGGCCTATGGCTGAGTCTTTTCATCATAGCCAAAGACGCTTCTAATTCAACAGTTAAAAGGACAGATTCGGCATTTTCTGGTGTCAATCCAACCTTGCTGACAATTCTTGTACTACTCCACCAAGAAAATCATGCAGAATAAGTTTGGCATTATAAGAACCCTTATTTTACAAAATAGGACACAAAATATTTATCTCATAAGTTATAAGTAAGTAATGGTCCCTAGGCCTAAAATTACTCTCTGATTTCAACCAAAATCATTGGTCAAAATGATCCCAGTTGTACAAATTATAAGTATAATTAGAAGGTTATATTATTGTGATTATCAAAGATTAATATGATGATTATAGTTTGTAGTTTATGTGAAGATTAATGAAAGAAAAAAGACAGTAGTTTGTATCTTATCAAAGTGATGATATAAAATATGACATATTCAGAAGATCATAATTATTAGACTTGAAAATTTAATTGACAATTGCTCGTGTATCTATTTAATATGTATTTAGTGCGTTTAATGTTCAAAAACTGATCTCTAATGCAGGAGAAATTAACATTTACTTATTTTGTCGTCCTACACTCTTCAACTTCACGATTAAAATCAGTAAAACTGCATTTTGTAGTTTTGGACAAAGGGTGATAATAGAACAAGAATGGGTCGTGGAATATCGGGTCAGCATTTCCGGTTCTCCATGTACCTCACTTCACCATATTGAATTTAATTTAAGTAATTCACAAAAATCTCTTTGAAGTAGGTTTGTTTGGATGTGAGACAAGATGGCGGCGTGACAAAAATGCCAAAATGACACCTAAAATCCAAACAACGTACTGGCAAAACACTGGTTTAAAGTTATTTAATGTTAAAGTTGTTCAATGAAATCAAATATTATTTTGGTACTGTTTTGACTATTTTGAAGGGCTATTTTGACCAAATTCAGGTCCATTTTGGTTAAGTGCCAAGTTGGCTATAACCCCAATAGGTAACATAAATCTTTCTTTTTTGTAAAGAATGTTCATGATCTATTAGGTCAGCATTTATTTGCATCTGCTTTAGTTTTTTAATCCTCGGGACACTGACATATTGCCGAGATCACAGACAAATTTGTACTTTAGTACATATTTATTTAGAAAAATAAGTCCTCCTATTTAAAATTTTATATTTCACACATTTTACGACATTGGTTTTATCGATAGTTTCCTTTCTTAGTGTTTCATATTAAGTTTCTGCTATTTCAGTATGGAGGTGATCTTAAAAGGGACAGAGGAGTTATATTTGTTGGGCACATTCCACATGGATTCTATGAAACAGAAATGAGAAGTTTTTTCTCACAATTTGGAAAGGTTACAAGAGTAAGGCTGTCAAGAAGTAAGAAGGTAAACAAATTTTATGATACTTGTTGCATAAAATTTTTTTTTTTTATTATGAAATGTGTAATACCATTTAAATAGTTTCATTGTATCAATGGTAAAGTCATCAACAGGCAATGATATCTAAATTTCAGTTTAGAGCTGTTTTTCACAGTAAATTCTTGTACTCAAACCTGACATTAGTCATGAAAGGCTTATACACACACAGGAAGATGAAGTACTATTTAATAAATTTATTTTTAGACAGGAAATTCTAAAGGATATGCCTATGTTGAGTTTGAAGATGTTGATGTTGCTGAAATTGCTGCTGAGACGATGAACAATTATCTGATGTTTGAAAGACTTCTGAAATGTAAGGCTATTATTATTTTTAACCAAAGTGACCTACTGTTGTACTTAAAGATGGGTTCCCTCATTTTAATTTATGAAAATAAAAATGCCATTACTTATATGAATAGAAAGTAGAGATGTTCTAATGACTTGTAAAAATACTAGTTGGTCTCACATGTCCATAATTAATTCATAATTAGCTAAATTAGAAGAGAATTACCTGCAAAATTCCAATGAGTGACCGATAAAGAAAGATCAAAAAGTCTTTTTTTGTCTATCCAGACTGTTCACACATGGATATTATGATTAAAATACATGATATTTCACTATTAACACCACTTAATCAATTAGTTTACTTAATTTGACACTAAAAATTGAGGAAACCCATCTTTAATGTTTTTAAGTCTTATCTCATGTATCCTTATGATAATTTTATTCTAGTAGATACTATTATAATCTCAATGTTGGTTTTGAGCCTCACTTTCGATTGGGTAATCTTTCATAATTTAATGAAAAATACAATTAACAGAACACCAATGGAATGACAACTCTTATCTCTTCCCAAAATCATTTAAACTGGTTGATATTTATTTTGTATTGATAACTATTTATTTCAGGTGAATTGTTGCCTTCTGATAAATTACATCCAGCCTTATTTCATGGTTCACACAGAAGTTTTTCTAAACCTAAAGCTTCATCATTATCCATTGATCGACATAATTCAGTGAAAAAAGATGTCAAGTTAAAAGAATATCAGACTAAAAAAGAACGAATACAGAAGAAAAAGCTTGCAAAACTGGCCAAATTAGGTGTAGATTTGGACATTGATAGCATTATTGTTGTAAGTCATTTTTATTTTGTTGTCAGTTAACTTCTCAAGATTTCTTTTAAAGGGACAGATGCACTGTTCTTTTTGACAAACCATACTTCAGTCTTAGAATTCGGAATTTTTTAGCTAAGCAAATAAGTGATAGTATTCACAGCTCACTGTCGCAATTTAAGCCTTCAAATCCATGTGTGTCCAGAATTATCTGCGTTTGAATGTTAAAATAAAGACTTGTCATTTTAACATACTCTGTGATATATAGAAAAGACATATATAGAAACAGTGAGTAAAATTCCTAGTTGGAGATATTTTTGAAGGAATTATGCCATCTGTCCCTTCAATTTGTCCTGATGAAGACAAGATTTCTCATGGATTTTAATATCTCCAATTATAAAGACCAATAATTTGCCTTTTAATTACTGAAGGAAATCTTCTTTAAGTGTTTGTGATGAATTTGATATCTAAAATGTTCTATTATTTATTTAGAAAAGCAAGATCAAATCAACTGGAACAGATTTGAAAGTTCTTGTTGAAGATGAGACTGAAAAAGAAATAAGTTTTAAGACACCACCAAATTCAATTAGATCATCAAAACTTACTGGTTCTGGTAAGCGTAAAAAGTCAGCTGATGATACTCCTAGAACAACTAAAACTGGTGATAAACCTTCCACTCCAAAAAGCATAGAAGTCAATTCTTCTAAGAAGGCGAAGAAGGGCGGAAAGCTGGATACTCCAAATTCAAGAAAGTTGACTCCCAGTTCTGCAGAAAAACCAAGAAGAATGACTACGAGATCTGCAGCAAAAAAATTGACATTGGGTTCCAAAGATAAACTGAAAACACCCCCATTAAGTGGTAGGAAAAAGAAATAGGTTACTGGTTTGTGTGAAAAATAAAATTTCAAATTTAATAACTATTTTTTTGTGATTAAACTGTTCGCGTCAGTTTGAAAGCAATTTAATCATAATTAGATTACTATTTAAATGGAGACGCAAAATATCCTGAAGAAAAAAGAAGGTTAATTTCATCAAATTGTAATAAAATTGCTTTAAAAGTAGTTTGCATTCACTTAGTTTGACAAACCCTATTTACAGACTCTCCGCAGGTTTGCAATGAATTATGGGAAAAGTTATGCTGAATCAAAAAAATATCTTTGGGATCACAATCATTGACTGTCTTGTATTTAGGAATTCCCATCCGGCATGACAATTTCAGATACATATATTAAGAATGAAATGAAAAACAAAAGAATATTTACTAATATTTTATAGAAGATAAAAACAATCCATAGATGTATTAAGAAACAATTATAGTTAATATATTATAAAATAGAAAACAAGGTTAAAAATCACTAACAATTTATTAAATAACAATAAACATGTTGAATCCATTGATCAATGAGATTCTAATAGACAATGCATAGAATATAATGCTTTGACAAGACATTTGTTACACTTAGACTCAAAGGAAATTAGTGCTTCAATAACACGCACTTGCCCTGGAATATGTTAATACTAGAAATTCACAAACTGCTGCTTGAAAATTCATTTTTTAATTTGTGCAAATGCATTTTGACTGGTCTCTTTGGATTTCATTATGATCAGATATGTCACTGAATCAATAGACCTCATTTAGGATTACAATATAATAGCACACTAAGAAAATTACTAGCTTGGTTATTATACTGTATCGGTCTATACATAAACTACTCTCTGACAACATTGGTTTCTAAATAGAATTCCATAATCTCATAATTAAATTGGCAACAAATTTTTAAATTCATGTAAATGTTTTTTACATTGATAAGGGTATGCTTTGTAATTAACAATTGAACATGTATGATAAAAACATTGTAGTTAGAAGTCGTATTTTATACACTAGAATTCCTATCAGCTAATAAATGATTTCATATAAAAATTGACTATTCAATTTAGAATCACAGGGTAAAATGTTTAATGCCCCAGTTTAACGATTCTATGATCTGAGGTTGTGGTTAATTTTACATGTGTTCTGGATGATTTCTTAAACAGCTTATAAACTCTTTAGTATCCATCTTTCTATCACAAATTAAATGAATTGCCACAAACAAAGGAAACCTGTAAGAAATAACACAATTAATATAAGGAACAAAACAACTACAAGCTTACCTAATCAATTGAGATGGAAGTATAAAGAGTGGAAAAGTTCACAAATCATCCAAATTAATATGTCAATTACTACGACAACCAACAACTACCTAGTTTGCGATATCAGCATCCATTTGAAGCGAACGTTTGTCATCTACCTACCTACATACAAATACTCCAGAAAAGCACAAGTAAAGAGATCTGCTAAAATATAGGGTGGAGTTAACATAGTCTGTATTTGGTTTTGAACGTAAAACACCTTATAAGATAGCACCTGTTTCATCCTAAAAGTGCTGTAATCATTTAGCTAAATAAAAAGGTAATTTTTCTTACCTGGATAGCATATCTTTATCTTTTAACATTCCATAGATTTCTTTGGCTACTAATGGTCCTTGAAAACTCTGACCCTTCAATATCTCTTTCTCTAATTCATGTATTGTCTACAATATAGGGCATCCTATACTGGCCACAGTAATGTTCTTTTAGATTTTATTGAACCAACTAGTAAGAGTTTCAGGGAATGTGTGTGCAATTATTACACCAAATTTACTAAAATCAATTCAGAAATATATTAGTACCTTATCTGATTTCACAACATTTTCTCCAAGTAATCGATTTCTACCACCGTGACATGTAGCTACTAAATCTGCTATTCCACAACTTTCAAAAAATGTTGATGTTTTGGACCCTAGAAATATATAAAGTGAATGTTTTATTATGCAGTAATTTTCAATATTTTTATGATAGATTAGATACAGCTTAAGATATGTATTATTCAAAGGAATTATTCTTGATTCTTAACATTCATTTCTTGTTATGTAATCAAAAGGCACAGTCTAGTGTAGGGTCTAATGGTGAAATGTGCAAGTCTTATGTGACGTTTAATGCATGTGTAGCTTTGGAAGAAATTGACTATTTATGATAAATGAGGTTTCTTTAGACTTATTACAAAAATAATAAAATATTATTCATCAATCATAATTTTACAAACCGAACTAACTGGAAACGAGTTACTTAGTTTTTCTCAAGTATTGATATTAAAACTAATATTTTTTTATTATATACCTGGAAAGAATATCTCTGCAAATTTGATCATTTCCATCAATCCCAATCTCTGAACAGCAGCTTTAGTATTGTCACCTGATCCCATTCCATCAACAATACCAGCTCCTATAGCTACCACATTCTAAAATATAAAACAGTAGAACTTGCCTCAGCAAAAGTGTCATATTCTTGGCATTGCCAAGTATTACTACAATCAGAAACAGCTTGCCCGGCAGCTTTGATTTTACAGTAAGTAGTATAAATTATTAACCCTTTAGTCGTACACTTCTTTTGAACTTTTTGGGGCGATACTGACCAATATTACCAAGTTTTGTCAAAATCTGGCAAGAATCTTGCCATTCAGTGTTTATGAGCTAAACCTTGAAAGCATTTTCAAGAACAATATTAATAACTCCTAGAAAACATTTGTTGATTTTCAAAATGAGTGATGATAAACACTTTCATTAAATTTTGACTTCAAGACTGTTTACGGGCTACAAATTAAATGCGTTTAACAATCATACCAAATATTTTTCGATTTTTTCTGATTTTCAATAGGGTCTTGTTCGAAGTTGACGAACGGTTTTTGAGTTACAGCCCATGACTTTGTAAAAGCGCATCAAAATTTGTTTGTGAACACAATAGAGACTACAGTTCCCAATTGATTTTTAATGAAATTTGTAGTGATCATTTATATTAATGAGATTTTAGTCAAGGTCAAATTTTTGCCATTTTTCTATAAACTTTTTCGAGTTATTGCCCTAGATGTAGGAAATAAGGGACAAATACAATACAGACTAGAGTTTTTATCTGATTTAAGTTTATGTCAGAATTTTATGAAATTTTGTGAGTTGGTTTAAAATTGAAATCAATAATATCTTTGACAAATTAGATTTTTGGTATGATTTGACACAGATTGACAACCGCCCTTGATTTACTGAAAATTTATCAGGGGATTGGGCGTATTTTGCTTGGCGCCCACTTGTTGTAGATTGTGAAAGCATAATGTAACTTACCTTTAATGCACCACAAACTTCTACTGTGTCAGTATCTTGTACAACTGCACATCTAAAATATGGTGTTTCAAATAACTGTCTTAACAATTCACCGGTGTCTTCATTTTTACTTCCTTCATGGTTAAAAATTCAAAAATATCATATTAAACCAAAACTATTATGATGGACTATGACTCATCTTGTTAAAAAGTTTAATAAGTATGGTAGCTGTTAAACTGACTAAATCCTTGCTAATCGAATCATGCATTACATGTTTTTGGATGAATTTACAGATACCTTTCCCAATCTGAAATCATAATTATAATAGGAAATTTCAATGGTTCAGACAGTAGCAAATTTAATTGACCTATGCAAAATGCAAGGTCAATTCAGTTGAAGGTGTCTTTCCTCAAAAAAAGTAAGGCTTATTCCTTATCCTACAGTTTTAAAAAGCCTGTTAGATATATCCTCTTATTACAAATTATTACTAAGCTAGAAATGCTTTGTAAATTTACAAGGAATACTGAAACAGAATTTAATTTTTTTCTTTATGTACCATCAAAAATATAAAAGGCATATTTTGAGTTTGTGGTCTGATTAACAGATTGATAAAACTTTCCAATTGGGGAAAAATAGATCAACAGCCCTGTTACTTACCTATGGTAGTTTCACAAAATTGTTCATTAGCAACTTCTCCAGCCAGATTGGCACCACTTAATACACAGCATGGTATAGACAAGATTTCACTTATTTGATGAGAGATCAATTGAATACCTTTTTCATTTATAGCAAAGCCCTAAAATATATTGACATGTATACAAGTTTTATGGTTCTGCTGTGCATTGAAAAAAAGATTGCCAGGACACTAATAAGCCATCTACTATCTACATGTATATCAATTTTTCATATATGACCTGAAGCACAAAAGGCCTGCATCTATTGAGTGTCACATATATAAATGACAGAAAAATGGAAGAGAATATATTAATTGTTCCAGCACAAATGGTACCTTCATTTAACTTGAAGCATCTACCAAACAAAATGGACAGATATAAAAAAAAACTTTTGTCAATTATGAAGACTAACACAAAAGAAAGAATATTGAACAAACCTTAATTAATGAAACAGCTATAGCACTAGATTTAATTTTACCCTTTAACTGTTCACATATTTTTTGAACAAATTGATGTGGAAGAACAAATATGAGGATATCAGCATTTGTAGTTGCTTCTAAAATATCTGGTACAGCTATCTGAAATATTCAGAAAACATAGATTAAAGATACACCATATTCATTTCATTTTGTGAGCTGTGATTTGTCCCTTTGCGTAAAATGCAATTTGAAGCCACAATAGTCAAATAAGCCCCATTCATATATACAATCAAAAGTACTCAAATCTAATAACAGCAAATTGGGCTTGTTCTCAACTGCCCAATAGAATTATAACTCTGATTTTCTGTGTGGTCTGGGTATCTTAGAAATTGGTTGTGTTACAAATATGTTGAAAGGACTAGCACTAGATAGAGATCATATCCTGTCATCTATAAAAGCAAGGCATTTCATTGAAGGTATCCCTTTTAACTACATATTACATACCACATTTTCAGGTAATTTGACTCCAGGTAAATACTTAATATTTTCATGTTGCATATTAACTATCTCTGTCAGTTTTTTACCGTCCACCATCTCTTCATACATATACATGTTAATAATGGTGGAAAATACATCATTTCTTTGCTGTACATTATTACCAACTATTTTCGCTATTGCTGAACCCCTAAAATATTTATATTCTATTGATTCAATTAACTAATATGTTATAACAAGGGCCTGGCACATAACATGAGAAAAGAGTCTATTATCACTCATTGCACACAATGTTTACCACAATACTACTTAAACATAACATGCAGTTTGGTATCTGTGCCAAATAGTGTAATTCCTCCTAGATCACTCTAGCAGCCAGTAGCCTAATAGCTAGCTGATGCTTATTAGTAGAACACAATACATGTATATACAATGTTAATTTGACCTAACTGATACAAGAGTTATATTACCTACAGCAGGAAAGCTTACTCTGTGACAGCTGAAGAAAACTGACACAATTGATAATGAATACCTAATGTTAATCAAATAAAACTACTTTAGTAACATGCCAATTTTTTATCAGATTTATATACTATTATTGACTGTTACGTTACTGTGGCATTGGATATCTAAAGTGGCCTGTAGGCCTACCTGAACTTCAGCAAAGCAAAAGCATTAGCACTCCTATTAATAATTATAAAGGAATCTCAATACAAAGCAGATTGTTAAATGAAATGCTAAAATTCATAAACACAGACTACCATAGACAAAATTATTACATGACTTTTTAAGACAAAACTTCATTATTATATAGGCTATTTATAGCCATGGTAATATTAAATATGCAATCATAAAATTATAGTATCTACTATAGCTTATGCCTACCAATTTCCAGAACCCACAATGCTCACAGTCTTAGGGGCCATCCCTATCTTGTCTACTTATGATTCGAAGTCATACAATTGCAAAAAATCCTAATTAACTCCAGAACTAATCATGGAACATTCACAGAGGGCAAATAACTTGTCTGTCTATTAGCAGAAATCAACTTCCGGTTGAAGTCTTGCGTCCTTGGCCTTGTGGCCTTGCCCGGTTAAGGCCATTGTAGCTCTATTTAGGTTATATTTATAGAATTATAGGGCCTACACTACACATTATAAGTACATGTGCGTGCTAAAATATATCTCCTGCCAACCATTCAATTAGGCCTTATAAAGAATGCCTCGCATTAGGCGAGTAATATGGGCCTAATTAAGAAACCAGGTCTGGAATTTGGAATGTGAAACCAGAGCCTATATAGTTTGTATTGGCTCTGGTGAAACTCGTGCATGCACACTTTTTCAACCCTAACCCTGCCTGGTTTGTTTTGCTTTCAGTTCACGTGAATCGCTTTAGCATAATCATCAGTAGGCCTTTATGTTTATCTTTGTTCTTGATATCCGTTCGATTATATGATCTGTCTGAATTAAAGCTCAGAGATCTCATTAACAAATAATATGTTAAACAATGACATGTACTTCCATCATGACTAACTGCAGAGTTATATCCCCTGGATAGCCTTGATGAATTCAGACCAAAATAAGATAATATTAATTATCCCCCTTTGACCACAAATGAAATAAGCTGTGTTACCTATGGATATGCCCATTATTAGATTTAAATATTCTTAGGCCTATACATGTGCAAAATATTAGTCCAGTTTTTCTTGAAAAAAGTATGTTAATTATTCTCTCATTTAGGCCTATATTAGCGAAATATCAATGATTAGACTTAGCTTATCACAAACTCTTTTAATAACTTGACCTTGAATCAATCTTTGTAACCTTGACACCCTCTGTTATCAGCAATCCTAACAATATTCAAACATGGTATAAAGTAAAGACACTAAATAGATATAGTAGTATTAGTTACAGGCCTGGTGAAAGATAGAAGATAGTGACAACATGTCGAACGGCAACCTATACCTAGGATTTGATTTTAGTACACAACAGGTTGGTCAGTAATATCGATTTGACCTAAATCACTTGCTCATGAATTTTGTTGGAAATTGAAGCTAAATGGTAAAAGATTTATGCCTGCATTTCATATAGACAATTCATATTATGATAATTATAATCATTATAATAGCAGTGTAATACCACTTTCAATTCCTTTATTAAACTAACATAACAGGTTGACATAAGTAGGCCTATGTATCAGTAAACATTTGTGTAATGTAGAATCAATAGATCATGCAAGTCTTTATTTTAGATAAAGGTTTTGGCTATTGATGATCAACTTAAAGTTCAATATGAATTTGCAGTTAAATTTGATGTTGACTTACCTGAATACAAGTAAGTTAATTTTCATTTTTTCTTCAAATTTACAAACAGCTGAAAACCTCATGAACCTGTTAAAACTAAATCAACTTTTGGCTGATCTTATATTAAAAATGTGTGACTCTAGTTACTGGAAGTTTTATACTCTACTTTGCTGAAAATTTCCAAACAGACCTTTGTCCCCACTGTTTGTGTAAAATGCATGATAATCTATTTTTCTGGTCATGGAAATTGATATTTGTTGACTTTATTACATAAGTTGTTTTTTTTTACTTTAAAGGACACAAGGAGGGGCTCATATTAGTTCAGATAAAAGTACCGTAACAACCCCTACCATAATGTGGGTTCAGGTAATATGACAGTGTAATAGACACTACCTTTAGGTGGGAATAGACAAAGTCCAGTGAGGTGTATGTTGGGGGATTATTGATAGAGTTGAAAATAGAAGAAGTGAACACCTGAGGTACATTCGTTTCTACTATTTTCTACTGTATTGAAAATCCCACACCATACTTTGCCTCTTTGCGGCTTAAGTACACCTAATTCAATAAAATTCACATGATTGCCAAAATTTCACAAAACAGGAATAATAGGAATCTGTAATAAGGAATTAAGGATTTCAATAAACCCAGTAATTGCATACAGAATCCGATAAAATACAATTTTAGACAAACTTTAGCATCATATTTTCATTCTGATAGCTCTTTAGTATCAATTTAGTTTAACATCATTCACCAATCAAGCAAAGTTTCCTTGAAAAATTGTCATTTGAATAACACTCAAAGCATCATGAATATAGCTTATTTTCAGGCATTTGACATGGTTCTAGATAAAATGAAGAATTCAGATTTTCCATTCAGTAATGTAGCTGGAATATCTGGCTCAGGACAGGTAATATAAATTCATTAAATTAAAGCAGGAAATCAGGAACTGTCATTGACAAAAAAACAAATTGATCTGTGAACCTCATTGCAAAGATATTGTTCGTTTGTTTTATAACTTTAAAATTTATTTTGAATCTGATAAAAATCTATTTCAGCAACATGGCAGTGTTTACTGGAAAAGGGGAGCCAAAGAAACGTTGCAAAATTTGAATCCCTCAATGACATTGAAAGAACAGTTAAAAGTAGGTCAATACTTCATCCTTTATCTTATTAGATTTATCTTTCATATGAAAATCTGTTTTTTTTATTTATGTATTTGCATAAAGAACATACCTAGTTCAATATAATCTGATAAAACACTAGGTTGGTTTCATTTTACTTGAATCATTTAAGATTATCATTCCATTCAATACTCCAAAACATTTCTTTGGACATTTAAAAGGATTCAAAGGAGGTTTTGCAACATTTGTATGTGTTACAAAGACACTTGTAGCCTCAAAGTCCTTTCAGACATCTGTGTTTCCGCAAAATCAACAAAAACTTCACCAAACTCATTCAAAATGCTGTATGGGATGATTTATTTTTGTCAAATTCTTAGTTAACATGTGAAAGTGCCTGAAAAGAGCTGATTATTTTTAAAATGTTTAGACCCACTGTTAACTTTATTTTATAATGATATCATATAGAACTGTTTTAGTATTGGTGATTCACCTATTTGGATGGATTCAAGTACTAGAAAACAATGTGATGATTTAGAGAAGGCTGTAGGGGGAACACAGGTAAACTGTATTGTTTATTATCCTTCTCATTGTCTCAAATCAAATATATTTTTTATTATTTTTATAGATTGACTAAATAAGATATCACCTACTGCTTCTAGTACTGAATGAATAGTTTTGCTGTCCTCTGATTACTTTTGTTTACGTTTTTGATGCTTTTGATAGTCATAGACATACTAAAATATTATAGATAAGATATTTATGAACTAATGGTGTACAAACTTGAAGATTGTCATTGTGAAGAGATGAAGCTAAGTTCCCTACCTGAAAATTTGCAGGCAAAAACATCAAATAAAGTATAATCTTTTTTTATGACAGAAATTATCAGATATAACTGGTTCTATAGCATTTGAGAGGTTTACCGGAAATCAAATAGCTAAGATCTACCAAACAAAATCTACAGAATACACAAATACAGAGGTAATGTGATTAATTCTTTTGATTTTTGTTGTACTGTGTAAAATACAATTGGCTAGAGATTACCTTTGTAACATTAATTTTTTAAGACCAATGCAGCTCTCTGTTTTTTTTTTTCCTTTTATTGGCAACTTAACGTATTTTAAGGATAGGGATCTTATTATATGCAAATTCAATTGTTTTACTCTGATTACAAGTTTGAACTTTGTATGATATACTAAAGATTTTTATAACATTTTTTTTACAGCGTATTTCATTAGTGAGTAGTTTTGCTGCAAGTCTGTTGATAGGATTGTATGCACCAATAGATGAAAGTGATGGATCAGGGATGAATTTAATGAATATTAAGACAAGAGATTGGTCTGAGGAGTGTTTAAAGGTAAGAGTTACATACAATATATATAGTCTACATTAGACTCCTTTCCCATGGTCACAAAAAATCATACAATCAAAACTTTTTTCACAAGAAACTTCATGTTAAAGATTACAATTTCAATAGCTATTGATTGCAAAAATTTATGAAAGGTAGTCTTGGGTATTTATTGGTATTTTGATATGTTTATGCAAATGATCAATCATAATATGCAATCGATAGCCAAATTATTTTGCAATGATGTATAATTTTATTCAGGCTTGTGGTAAAGATTTAAGAGAAAGACTGGGCTCTATTGTTCCATCTAGAACTGTAGTGGTAAGTATGTTATATTCTACATAAGGTTGGTTTTTTATGATACCTGGTGTTTGGAAATTAGAGCTCCATTCTCAGCAGCTTAAACTAAAATAGATATGGACAACTGGTATTTACTGAAGTTTCTCTTCGTATAATTGGTATTTTTTGTGGCTTACATATGCCTGTACCACAGCCTTCATTTTTTTGGACTATGATTTCCAAAATAACGTCCGAAGAGCCTTTGAAACATTGTGCCTTAGCACGCTAAACCTTAACAAATAACAAATTTAAGATCTCTAAGAACAGGAAATACTTTGAAAATCAGTGAACAGCAATGGTATACCAAGCGAAGAGAGTCGACCGAATGGCTCAGTCAAATCGGATTTTGATTCTCATCTGTTTTACAATTTTCTTAAACAATACCCCTCAAGATTGCCAATGCCAACTTAAACAACATCTAGATGTGAGGAGTACGGCTTTAATTAAAGAAGAGAAATACTAAAATAAATACTGTACAATTGTAATAAATGTCTTAAAGTGAAAAAATGTAATAATTTTTATCTTGACAGGGTAAAATCAGTAGATATTATGTTGATAGATATGGTTTTAATATTGATTGTTTAATAACAGCATTTACTGGTGATAATCCTTGTAAGCTATTTTAACTATTATTTGTGGTTTCAGTCAGATGTACATAAACTCAATGATATGGCATTCATTATGTTTAACATCTATATTCACCTTATACTTTGTTCATATATGGGTCATAAAGGTGAAAGCCTGTTCCCTAATCCATTTCCTATTACATGTAATAAAATGTTGTTTACAAAAAAAATATTATGCCAGTTCTCTAGATAATTCCACACCTAGACATATGTTATCTATGTTTACCTCAAAATAGAAGTATTGAAAAATTGTCAGAAGAATTTTAATTTTGTATATCTCAACTCTTATATATACCATCTCTCTGGTATTATACACCATATTGAAACAGGATAATACAGTTAAATTTTGGACTAATTGTAGCATCTTTGGCTGGTATTGCACCAAAACAAGGTGACATAATAGTAAGTGTATTATTTGTCATATAAATAACAGGTATTAATCAATACTTTAGATGCAAGCTCATAAATCAAAATGTTGGGCCATGGTCTTTAATCTGGAGTACTAGTACCCCATAAAGTTTAAGGCCTAAACTACTTAAAGGTATCTGCCAACACCACAAGAGGGCCCCACTGAAGCTGTAAGGCTTTCAAATTGTCAGAATTTAAATGACTCATACAGTTTCACTGAAGTATGTACCTCTTTCACTTTGCTTATTCTGTAGATGGAATACCAGGGGCTCACAACATGTGCAAGCACGTGGCGCAAAGAGTACAAAAGGTTTGGAACTAGGCTTGTTTCAGAATCTGGCTTCCATACATGAGGAATCTATTAAAACTAATTTTCCTTCGGATTTAAAGATATTTGGCAAACACTTGATCAAAAATCAAGCAGTATTTTTACTTCATATATGAATCCAGATCAAGTATTTCTAGTCTAATACTTATAGACTATGAAAAATATAGAAGCATCTTACCAATAAACACATTGTTACTTATTACATGTACTTTACAGTTAAGTTTAGGTACAAGTGATGTATTATTTTTATGGATAACTGATCCCAATCCAGGATTAGCTGGTCATATTTTTGTTAATCCAGTTGATACCAAAGCATATATGGCTTTATTATGGTGAGTTATACAAATAATAGATACATGCCTTCTCGTTCATGTTTGGAATTAGATATATTTTGTAACAGTCATTGTTTTATGAAGAGAAAATTTAGTTTTACATACTCAGGCATGTGAAGATGGAGAATAACATTGTGACACAAGAGACTTTATTATATTTAGCTTTGTATGTTTATACTGTCTTTTTCAGTTTTAAAAACAGTTCTTTAACCAGGGAAAGAATATGTAAAGAAGTTGCTGATGGATCATGGAGCCAGTTTTCTAACAGTCTGAAATCAACACCAATGGGTAATAATGGTAATATTGGTATATATTTTGATGTTATGGAAATACAACCATTAGCTGTTGGTGTTTACAGATATGATGATAAAGGTCAACAGGTATGACTAGTCGTAAGGAATTCATATGTATGATAAAGAAACATTGGAAAGGAAATATTTGTTTTGATTTTCACTGTTGGAAAATTTATTTATATGTTCTAGGTTTTTAAGAGGATGATCTTAAAATGCAGATAATTAAAAACATGTTTCTTACAGTATCTGGGTCCCTGTGTAGACAACTTTTAGGCATTATAGAATGTGTCTCATCAAGATGCCCAATAAAACGCTGAAAAATTGATAACAGTTAACATTTCGATCATTAGGTCTGTGATCATTACATGTAGTACATGGATCATTTATAGGTACCAAGTTTTGATAAAGATGTAGAAATAAGAGCTGTTTTAGAATCACAAATAATGGCCAGAAGAAATTATTCTGAAATGTTGGGTTTTAATATAAGTAAGTTAATTCTCTCTAAACATTGAAAAGAGACAGTAACCTTAGTGATAGTCAGACTATGATCTTGAATAGTGAAGTTGATATACATAAGGCCAGTTGTGGACAACAGCCTGGTATGTTTCTCTTTGTAAATGAAATGTTTTTGTTTATGTTCAGGTTCTGGCACAAGAGTAATTGCTACTGGTGGGGCATCATCTAATGTAGAAATACTGCAGGTATTAAATTTTTCTGTTCCAAAGATATTTCACCGTGAAGTTTGATATTAAGTTAAAGTTAGTTATCAGATATATTTAAATGTAATGTTTTATATTTTAGGTGATATCAGATATAATGTTTTGTATTTTAGGTGATATCAGATATATTTAACTGTAATGTTTTATATTGTAGGTGATATCAGATATATTTAACTGTAATGTGTATGTAAAAGATGTAGTAAATTCTGCTAGTCTAGGAGCTGCTATTCGAGCTAAACAAGGTACTTGACATTTTTTTAAAAGTTGTAAGCAAATGAAAGTTATAAAACAATAATTACTTCATCAATTTACATGGAAAACCAATACATCAAAATACGAGAAATTGAATATTAATGATCTCTTTACTCGTTTAATTGTATGGTTTTATTACTTCTTTTAATTCAATTTCATTTGTAGGATGTATGGGAAATAAAAGTAAGTTTGATGATATTGTAAAAAATATTGAAGAACCAGTGTGTGTGGCTAAACCAACTCCAGGCAGTGATAAGGTACCATTAATTAATTCAATTTAATTACATTGTAAATAACTAATAGTACATGATCATACATGCCATATTGTTTTAGCTGTTGTCTAGCAGTTTAAATATACTTTTTCCAGAGATCATTTCTCATCTTGAACGGCAAAATGATGATTGTATAAATATCCAGTCCATTATCGCATACATTTAATAATATGTGTTAGCTATATGTCCAATTGTTGTAATGTTTGATGGTGATTTAACTAAAGCTTTGTATCTTTCAGATTTACAATGATATGTGTAAGAGATACAAAAGACTGGAGGAGGAAATAGCTAAGAATTTTGTTTGAAAACTCTTAAAAAGTCTTCCACACAGAATATTCCATATGTAAAAAGATTGTATATTGTATAACTGCTCATATAATGTCTGACAATCATGTACTTGCATTCACCAATTTAAACTACTACATGGTTTCCTGGATGTGAATGAACATATTCGCACAAGTATAATTTTGTTCTTTGTTGGACAGCAACCATGTATCTGATTGTTTTTCGTCTCTGCATCGTATACTTATAATTAGGTTATTCCAGTTGCTTCAATGATCTGTAGATTCACTGGGGTAGACTTGGTCTGTCAAGCTAATGATTAGTCCTACAAGAGGTGATATGGTGACAGTTGGAACCAGACTAAGAAGGTCACATTTTATGGGATGGCCTACCAGTGACAATACCCCATTGTCACATCTAAGACGTATTTCGTCTGAAAAACGGGTAGTGCTAGATTTGTCAGGCTAATGGATTTGAAATTGGGTCAGATTAACAACTAGCTTGTCTGTATGTAATAGTCATAATAATGATATAGATCTATTCCAACCTGTGTTGAAACCTTGCCTCACCACTCTTAGAACTGGACATTTTAACCACCAAAGGAACAAATAGTCATAAATTTAACAAAAAAAATGTTTTATTGGCATTCAACAACATAAAATGTATTCAGACATGAATATGTCTCATGATATTTGTACATTGGTAACATATGTAGTACAAAATCAATTATATAGAAATATGAAATTCTTTAACAAATATGAAAATAACATGACAATCTATAGAAAAATGATGAAAATCTATAAAATATGAAATTGGTTAGAAAAAATCCTCTTTAGCACTACAATGACATTAGACAAAAACTCAAATAGAACACATAAAATAAAGTATAAATATTAATGATAATCATTTCATAAAGATGTAATAATGATTTGAAATAAATACATGTTTATCACCAAATTTCTTGCCCATTATGAAATTTGAAGGTTTAGTGGAGTACATTCATGTCAAGATCATCTAATTATTGAATTAAATTTACTAAACTGATTTATTACTTGTTTCAACCGTAGCATTCAGAATACAGCTCAAGCCAGCAGGTAATTTTGGTTTCATGTACATGTGTATTCAAAATAAATTAATTACATATAGTGTAAAAATACAAAATACAATGTGGTTTTATAAATATCACCGGATATATACAATATAATTCCATATACGTGTATTGAGCTCCATAAACTGGGCCATGGGTTAAGATGAAATGAAATTCAAATGAGTTAATAAAGGGCATTAAACCTCCTTTGTCCAAGTGAAATGATGAAAATGCAATAAATATTATTATGATCTATATACTTGATGCAAATATAACAACTTGTTTTTAGCTATTTCAACATTTTCTGAGTTTAATTATGTTTTTTTTTTTTTTTACATTTCATAGATATCTAACTTTTTTTGGATTTACTGTATCTCTAAAAGATATTGCAAAAAAAAAAATGATTAAGTTAATCCAACCATCCAAAATTTAAACAAAACTGTCTGAAAGATGTTATTATATCAAATTATTTTCCAGCAAGTCTAGCTACCAATGTAGCTTTCATTTCTTTAGCCAAAGCTTCTAAAACAATAATTCTATCACGCATAGCTTCATTTTCAACTTCAAACTTTTGAGCTTTTTCTTCCATTTCACTAAATTTGTTTTTCCTAATTTCCCGAGATCTCTTTGAAGCTATGTTATTTTTCTCGCGTCGTACTTTGTATTTGTCAACACGAGTTGATGTACTTGGTTGGTTGTTAGGTGATTCCGTTTCTAATGAAGAAGTCAACCGAGGCCGTTTTGTACTGTAATCATGGTCAGGACTGGTAGGATTTGGTTTTTCTTCCACAAAATCTACTATCTCTTCCCATGTCCTCTTGTTTGTAACAGACGAGCCCTCGTCCACTGATTTCAATATATCTGTGTCAGGCGTTACTTCTGTTACATCAAGAGGAGTTAAATCAACAGTTGGGGTTGACTTCTGAAATAACAAAATAATGAATTCATAAATAAACATTTCTTTATTTAAAAAAAGAACTATTTAGTTTTAATCCTTCATTATTTAGTAAATAAGCAGATATTTTATGTCTGCTAATTTAAAGTCAAATAAATGGAGAATCTCTATAATGCATAAGTAATTACAGGCAAAAAGACTCATCAGCTATTGTAGCCTGGATTTTATCTGCTTTATCTTAATAAAGCTAAGTTCAATTACTCAATATCAGTTGAATTATTTTCATTTTCCTTATATGCAAAAGTAAACAATGCAAACCTCCATCAGGTATTCAGATAAATCAACAAAGCTATCTAGACTAGCATCAGCAAATGGATCCATTTCAGCAAAAGGGTTGAAATAATCCACGTCCATGGTCAGAATATCTGAACCATTATCAATAGCTTTTAACAAATCAGTAGCCGAGTCGTTGCCAGTAACATTACGTTTGTCACTAGCAAAACCTGAAAAATATAAAAAAAAAAAAATGTTTTCTAGAAATTTGTTAATCAAGTGACAAGTAAAAATTTTATAAGTATGATATTTAATTAGGCCTACTTTTTTTCTTCATATTACAACCATACTTTCTATGTGTATCATTGTTTAGTTATGAATGTAGGTTAGGTTAATACCCCTTTTTGTATTGCACCACCATATTATAAATAGATCCTTACATTTTAGTTTACATGGTATTTCACGTCATGATGAAATTCTTATCAATAAATTTTTGCTGAACCTTCACATTTTGTCACGTGACACCATTGACAACTGATAAACACACCCAAATAAATACCTAAACAAATACCTTTAACATAATTATAGACCCGGTTATCACGTCATATCACACTCTACTAATTTCTTTAATTGACAATCACGACTTTGGGGAGTGATCTGAACTTAAAGAGGCAATGGGAATAATTTTATTCTGACCTACCTTCGTCAAATAGGCCACCGGTCTTCTGGTGTGAATGCGGTAGTCTGCTGTGTACCATGTCCAGATGTTTTTGTACCAAACTCTTTTTGTCCCTGTTCTTTAATGTCCAACCAATCGACGAGTTCGTTGAGATCTTTTGGAATTAAGTAATCCCCAGAGGGAACCAAACTAATTTCTTCACCCTGCATGGTCCAAATGTCGGCCGACAATTCTTCTTCTTCTAGCCTTTGTTGATTAGAAATCTTGTCTAATATATTATCAAAACAATCTAAAGCTGAGATATCTTCGCTAAACGTGTTGAAATCCAGTGCCAAGTCGGCTCTTTATAACTATAACCTGAAAGTTCAATTAATTAATTTTTAATCCTACTAAAAATGAATAAAATTAAATCATTCTTCTTCAAAAAACATACCGGAGTATGTTCTGATTAAAAGACTAATTTAGTACCTTATTCACACCTGCTTTCCCTCTGGTTACTGCAATCAGCGGTCTAACTAATGGTTGATCTTACGTGAGTATTCTATTTTATGGTGCAATACTAGAACGTATTTTTAGATACTTGCGTGGAATTGAACCAATCAGATGACGGAATTGAAAGATAGTTATAAAAATAGAATTAAAAAATACGTCATAACCAACCAATCAACGGGCACCTGCTCTTTATAGCTGTTCTATTGTTGACCTCCTCCCTTGTAACGGCATAACTAACACCTCGTAATTTAATCATAATTGGATGACACCTTTTAACCTACACTGACTAAATTGACAATGATCCGATTAAAGTATATTTTGGCTTATTTAACCACTGTAAACTGTTGGATAGATTGGAATTCTTATCTCTTTCAGTTCTTCCGTTAAGTATTTTTGTAACAGCCAGATATTGACCCTAAAATCATTATAATACAACCTTTACCATTGGTTGACAACAAAGGTCATAAAATTCACGAACACACATTCCTCCAAAAGTTAAACAGAGTGCCTTATCCTTGCAATAATTCTTGAACATCCTTGAGAAAATAAACAGATTCTTTAATTCTGTACAGCTCAATATCGATTATTTGAGTAAAAATCCTTTTAAGATAAACAATTTTTATCCAATCAAAGAGCTCTATACATGAAACACACTTCACATCCGGGTTATTCTTAAAGGGGAAAGGAGATTTCGGCCATTTTGTGAACAAGCAGTGTTTTTATTCTTCATGTTTTGCATGTTTGCAATGAACTTTCCATAATTATTCCGGGGAATTGCCCTGCAATGGCACACAACTCTTGCGGAACTTATAATACGTATTGCTACGATTAGCATCAACCAATTTGTTCAAAATGAATGTGTGTTTCGAAGTCAAGAATTTTGTGTTGTTGTTCCAGCTTGTTTTGTTTGGGGTTTTCTATTGGAGTGAGTGTTTTGTTTGTCAAATCATCAATTGTTCTATTCCAGCCAATTTCCCTATCGAAAAAAGTCTCCGTACTTGTTCAACAGTTTTATTTTGTGCTATAGCTTTATGACTGTAGCCTTTTTATCAGTTTAGTGATAAATTTAAAGAAAGATAAACACACGCTCTGTTCAAAAAAGGCTAACCTCCTACCCAGATAAGATGGAGTCATTTAGGAGCATGCCACATAAATGAAATAGGCATAGTATTCCTTAATTTAGTTGTCAGTGAGTGTGTCAATAGTAGTTGCACTTGTCACTAATGTCTATAGCTGAAATAACATTATTAGCTGGTCATCTCCAATGTTCCAAATAGAATATTATGTCACCACTATTCTTATTTAATGAAAAGCGAACCAAATATCTGCTTGTTGTCATTAGCAGGAATCCGATTGTATTGTTGTCCACAATATGTGCTTTGTATTCAAATAAATGTACTGGTATTTTTATTACAAGTCTACCAAATACATACCATTCTAGCTCTTTCCATGATGGACAATGGAAAGGATGTGTATGCTTAAAACTTTAATATATTAAGTAAACAATTCATTGTTATGTTGTTTAATTTTTCAGATATAAAATGTGAAACTCCAGCAATAGTCAAGCCATTTGTTTGTGAAAAGTATGATAAATCATGTGACCCAGCTGTACAGAATTGTGATACAGTTGAAGAATGTAAAACTTACACACCTGATGGAGCTGGAGCATGTTATGCATCATGGATCAATGGATCTGATGGTTTCCAAACTGTAAAGAAAGGATGTTGGCTGAATTTTGAAAACTGTCTTAATGAAACAGAATGCATTGAAGATGCTCCTAACAAGCAAGTTTACTTCTGTTGTTGTCGTAAGCCATTATGTAATGGTAATTTGAATTTAAGACCTTTGAGTCATCCACCTAGTACCACTACAAGTTCTACAACTATAGTGCGAGAGTCAGGAGAAAGACAATTGATGCACACCTTAATGTACTCTATTGTACCTATCCTAGCGGTAGCACTATTGATAGTGGTTATATTTGCTATGTGGAGGTGGTATCAGCGTCGATCAACAATATATCATCAGCAGCTTCCTACAGCAGATCCAGCCCTTCTTAATACACCAAATGACGAGGCGTTGAGACCACTACAGTTAATAGAATTGCGTGCAAGGGGCAGGTTTGGTGCAGTGTGGAAAGCCCAGCTTTTAAGTGAATTTGTTGCAGTCAAAATATTCCCACTACAGGACAAATTATCATGGGTGTCTGAACATGACATTTATGTTCTACCTCAGATGAAACATGAAAACATTTTGAAATATATTGCAGTAGAGAAAAGAGGTGAAAGTTTGAACACTGAGTTGTGGCTTATTACAGAATTTCATGAGCGTGGATCATTGAGTGATTATTTAAAATCACACACAATCACATGGAATGAATTATGCAAAATTGCTGAAAGCATGGCTCGAGGTCTTGCTTATCTTCATGATGAAATACCTGAAAGTAAAGACAGATTAGCTAAACCAGCAATAGCACATAGAGACTTTAAGAGTAAAAATGTATTATTAAAATCAGACTTAACTGCGTGTATAGGTGATTTTGGTTTAGCTTTAAAGTTTGAACCTGGTGTCAGTCCAGGTGAAACTCATGGCCTGGTAAGATATTCTTTTATGTCCTAGATAACTTTTTTTTTTCCTCAAACATGAACTTAAGATTTATTGAGAAAAATGTATTTCACGCTGATATATTGGTAAAGAAGCAATTTGACTTACTAACTGCCTTCCCTTGCTACTCATAATCTTTTCATTGTAATACATTGTTTTCTATCCAGTTAACTTTCTGTAGTTAATTTTCTGACGAAACATTCACTTGAAAGATGAAATAATCAGCAACTTGTTTCAAAAACTGGCATTCTATCATCAGTTGTTGAAAAGTCTTCGATTCTTTTCCTTTATCTTTCAGGTTGGAACCAGGCGATATATGGCCCCAGAAATATTAGAGGGAGCGATATGCTTTAACCGTGATGCATTTCTCAGGATTGATATGTATGCTTGTGGTTTAGTTATATGGGAGTTGATTAGCCGGTGCACAGCACATGATGGTAATGAAGAATATTATCTATAGCAAAATAGTAAATGTTGTGATAGTCCAACACACTCAATTATTGCTCTACTACCTAGACACAACTACTGGTTTTGGAAGTATTTGTCTCAAGGTTGATTAGCTGATAAAGTCTGATGGTTATCAGTAATGCAGATCAGGAGCCAATAGGGGGGCATTAACTAATCATTTGAATTGACGACATTGACACTGTTGAATTATAGGAAGAGGTTCAGGATTTGATTTGGGTTTTCAATATATACTAATTAGCTGAGAGTTAATAAATAAAGGTAATGAAGATATTGCTCTGTGACCTAGGCCAGTGCTTTCATTGAAAATCCTTTCAATACACTCTTAACACCAACTATGGTTGGTCTAACAGATGGCATACTTGTCTATTTTTAAAAAATTCTTTGCATTGTCATAACCTATTCATAAATTTTAATTATTTCAGGTCCCATTGATGATTATGTATTGCCATTTGAAGAAGAGATAGGTGCTCATCCTTCCTTAGAGGAAATGCAGGAAATGGTTGTAACCCAAAAAGTACGACCAACTGTGAAAGATCATTGGCTTTCTCATCCAGTAAGTATTGATATATCATTTACTTAGATTTACAGAGTTACCATGGATAACATTTTAAAATTGGTGTGAAGACCAAAAGGTCTAAAAGTCAGTTTTCAGGAAATGACAAATCTGTTTTTACAGATCAGTTTGCTGCACAACTTTACATATTTAAGATCTTCATTCTGTCTTGTTTAAAATAATCATTTTATTTCCCATTGTAATTATTTATGTGCTGTAGTGGAGTAAAAGTGTTGGTGTTATTATAATTGAATAATGTTTATTTTACAGGGTTTATCTGCATTGGTGTCAACAGTTGAAGAATGCTGGGATCAGGATGCTGAAGCCAGATTATCTGCAGGTTGCGTACAAGAACGTATATCTCAACTATCTCGAAATGTAAATATATCTACCTCTATTAATCAGATGCCCGATGTTGTTATACCTCTGGATATGGAACTTCCTTCAAAAGACATAAGTATATGAAATAGCAACAACGTAAAATTATTGCTGAATTTCTTTTTTCTCTAATAAGCATTTCACAAAAGTCAATAAATATACTATTTAAATTTAAACTTTGAGGCCTTTCAAAACTTTCAAAGATTGAACAGCATGTTTGCTCAGTTTATGACCATTGCAGCAAATTATCTGAACTAAAAGTATGGCTTAACATTTTTTACAAATAAGTGCTATATCAAAAAAATTAATAAGATGTAGACATTATAAGGTGGGAAATGATGAGGTATGGTGTCCAAGCAGCTTGTGATTGAAAATATGAATTATACAGTATAAAACAGGAGTTTAGATCTGGAAACGATGTGAAAATGATAGGATTCTATTTTCTGTTGTATTGACCATCTTGCACTGTTTACTGCACTGTCATCACACTTCATCTATTACCCCCTTGGGGCTCTTTTTTTCAAATGGCAATTAGATAATTAAGATACTGTTGATCAGTGAGGTTTATTTGAAGTTAGGCAGATAGGGTTTTTAATTATGTACATTGGTTTATTCACTAATTTAAAGGAGATACTGTACGTGTTATATTAGTTCCCACGTTATATTAGTTCCCGGTGAAATATATTTATTAACATAAATGTGTCAAAATATTTAGTACAAAATTAATTTGTGCCTATTTAATGAGTTAACATTTTGTATGCTACTTTTGATATGGTATTTTCTCACTAGCTGGTTTGAGCCATTATCAGGCATTACACAATATCAGTGCCATTATCATTCAAAAAATTGTCATATCATAATCAGGAACTACTTAGCAATTCTTGTCACCTCTTTGGCTCATACTGGTATACCATTCTATGCATGGAAATGAAATGAGTGCCTCAGTATATTCGGGTTCTCAATACTGGTACTATTTGTCAATGCTGCTAGTCTTGGTCATGATTTACAATATCTTTTTCACTTGTACCTCATGTTTGTAAATCAACGCTAAACTCTTAGTTTCCATCAGGTTACTTTGTACATAACAAATTTAATAACTATGTCATAGGAATAATTGTCAAAATTTAATACAAAAATGTTTTTCAGTTAATGTTTTTTTTTTTTTCTTTATCCAATTACTAAGTTCTTACTTCAACTTCCAGAAACTTACAGCTTATTTGATATAAACCTACAATTTAAAGAGTCATGTTAGTGTATATATTGTATATAAAGAGTTAACAATTTGTTTCTATATAATTGTATATTTATCATGTTATCATTCACTATCTATTTCATTGATAAACCAACTAACACAATATCATTCTATCATTTTGGGTTTATTTCTTTGTCTATATTAATTAGGTTGATCACTTTAACACTATACCTCCAAGTCCAAGGCTTGGATAAAAAGGGCTGTGCCACTGAGAACAGTTTTTAATACAATGCTTTTGTACGTTCAGTTATAAGAAATATAAAATTGAAATGGACAACCATTTGGTTAGTATAAGTTCTGCAGTATCATTGGATGAAAAAAATGTATATATTATTAATAGTTTGTCTTATCATTTGATTTTGTTAATACTCAAAATAGGACACAAATCTTTCTCTTCTGTATTGAAGTTAGAAAATAAATCAATAATATTCAGGGTTTTGAATTTGTAGATATAGAAAACAATAAGGGAATATCAAGACTTATTCTATATTGAACAGCTGATATCTTTAGCTTGGGATATTATGTCATCAATATCACTGTTAACTAAAACTAAAAAAAAATATTAACCCTTCAGAAAGCTGAAACAAACTTTTCTGATAGAATTGATCTTGGTATTCCCTGTGAATAAATACATGTATATGACAATTTGAATGGAATGGAGATGTACTGCTATTATTTTAAGTTTTGTTTGAAGATCAAAAGTTACAATTACAGGGAGAAACTGACTCCTATCGGAATAGAAAGAGTATTATGGATATGTATGGGTAGAAAACTCACTAAGGATGGAGACATTAAATATTTACAATTGTTTCTCTGGTGATTAGAAATCTATGAAACTAAATTCTTAAATTTGTCTTGCCAGTTTACTGTATGAACTGCCTTATGAAGTGAAAATTTTGAATCATGTTTGAGAAATGTAAAATTTAAATACAAGCAGTGTGATGTAGCTATTATAAGGAGTAGGAACAGGTTTGATGAGACAAGGGCCTCTTAGATAATTAAGACTATTTGTTTTCGAAGTGTTTAAAGCATTGTGTCTCCATCTCGAGTTAATCTTACAGGGAAAGTGTAAATATATCAAGCATGGACTGTGATTAGGAGTCAGTTATTGTATAATATGTACATAATTATTCTCTTAACTTCTATTTAAACTTTGTTTTTTTAAATCTTATTGCATGCTGATACCTGTATCTTTTTGACATTTCTCAAGGGATTTGTTAAATCAAGGCATTACATTATCATTTTTCATTTAGACTTGATCAATATGGCATGTAAGTTATGTTGCCAAAATCTGTAATCATTACCTCATTTTTTACACAGAAAATCTTTGTCGTGAACGGTTCTTATATCTTAACTTATTAATTCATTTAATTGAATATTATGGAAACGTCAATATTTGTTGTGAAGCTTTTAGGAAATCTGAAATGTTATTTAATATTGACAAAATTAACTTGTCTGGAATAAGGCCATTTCAATTTAATGAAATCAGTGTCAGAATTCTTAGTCTGGCCTGTTAGACGCATTTTTTACCTGCAGTCTGTTCACCATAGATTGCTAAGTTTTGAGAAATTCGAACTACCTTCCATTCAGGTAAATGAACCATTTTATACTGGTTTTAAGGGGTGATTATAGCTTTTATTGTTGACTATTTTATTTCAACTGGTCTATGGTGGCAATTTAAAGCAAACCTCATAATTAACTCAGTTCTAGATGATATTGCTTTAACAAATTTGATTTTTACATCATTTTTAGTGCTATATTTATAAAATAAAAAAAAAACACAACATTTTGAAGCATTTAAACTTCTTTTATAAATATCATTGTACTTTTATCATATATTATATATATTTTTTGTATAAAAAACACCACTTCTTCAAAATAATGGAAAGCTAAAGGTTATTCTACCTCTAAATATGACTATTTTATGTTTTTAGGATTTTAGTTTTTAATTTAAAAAAGTTGTTTGGTTAGTGGAATGAGTTAAGTAGTGTCTGATATAACAATGTCTAAATTACTTAATTTGAAAATGCTATTTATTACAATGAACCAGTCTTTGTGTATGTATATTTTTTTTTGTATCACTAGATAAAACAAATTGCACAGCTTTGGAATTTAAATGAAATATTGCTGCTGCTGCAGAACAAACCTTTTGATTCATAGTTATATATATATACCTCATTCAATTTCAGATATTGTTATATTTTAATTTTCAGTGTCCCCACCCCCTGCATGAAGACTTCAATATTTCAACAACATTGGTAGCTAATAATATATACAACCATACTGCTACCTGCCTTATAAGGAGATTTTTATTTTTGATATGTAAAGGTAGAGCAGTATGGACAATTTTTTTATTTTAATTTCATTAGTCTGTGTTCGTAATCTTATGACATTTAGAATTGTAATATAAATTAAACAAATTTTTGTGAAACTTGAACACAGTTAATGGAATTTTTAATGGCAATTTCGATCAACGGGTGATTTGTGCTTATGTATGTAATTTTGTGTAGACTACTACTGTCATTAATAAACTAAGTGGTTGTTAATTATGTGTTTATTTATTATTGATGTTAAATAATTTACCTAGTCAAAAGTAGTATTCTTTCTCCAATTTGCATATTTCCAATGAACATTGTAAGAAACCGAGCCACAATGAATTAGTTGCTTTATGGGTGGGTGAACAATAATCAAGCTGAATTTCGGATGCTTATGACATGTAATAGGATTATAAATTTTTATAAATGTAAAAGGGACAGGTTTGTCATTATTTGACCTATTGTACCTTAGTCTCAGAAACAGGAATTATTTTTAGTTAAGCTAATCAGTAGTAGGTTAACAGCTCACTATTGAAATTTGAGCCTTCAAATCCAAGTGTGTCAAGAATTTCTTAGTTTGAGTTATTTTTTAAGGAATTATGAGATTTTTGTACATTTCTAGTACTTCTGAAAACTATTTATGTATATTCAAGACACAAATCAACCCCCAAAATGGTGCATTGTCCCTTTAAATAATTCATTATTCCTGTCATTTGATACTAATAAAAAAATCTTTACAAAGACAATTCCGCAAAATTTAGAATGGAAGTGTAATAGTGAACTCCTCCAAAGAAAAGTACCATTAGGTGTTTTGAAAAGAGTAGGCATAGTCTGCTTTGCACACAAAACCCACAAAACCCACCACTACCACCATGGTAAAAATTATGAGATACAAATCAGCCATTCCTCTTTGAAGAGAATGATTATAAACCATTGTTCTGTTACAATCACATTCACTGTAAAAGTACTCTACAACAAGATTTAAGGATTTTATTTTCAAAAATGTAACTGAAATAACACCTTCAGTAGTTGACTAGACGGTCATTTTTCATTTTAATGGTCGAACAATGGTTTAGCCTGAACTAAAATGATTCGAAAATCAACCCAGCGGAAATGTAAAAGCTACGGTAGCTTGAGAGTGACTTCCAATCAAATGGATATACAGTTTATTGATTATTTTCCAATAAATAATCTACATGTATATAAATTACTGCTTATTCTACAGTCAAACTATATAAACCCTTAACCACATATATAAATAGTATTCACATCTTGCTCTACACTTAAAACCCTGTTTTAAATTACAGCTATGGATGTATAAGGTCAGATGGGATTATTAAAGGATTCCACATTCCACAAAACTCCATTACACTCTTCCATGCAAATAATTTGACATTCAGTATTTTACTGTTATTTGTGTTTTTGAAATATATTTGTAATATCTGAGAAGTAAGTTGCATATCTAACATTACTTGATACAAATATTCTATAGAAACTAAACATAAAAATCCAAATACAAACTTGTATATTATATTTCTACTGAATATACATGTAAAATGGAATTTCTTAAGATATGACAGAATATAGCGCATTACTTATGTACATGTATTGTGATAAAACATATAACACATTTTAAACATAACAAAATCATACCTCATACATACAAAATATCTTCATTCAATGAAAAAAAAGGAAATTATCATAAAATAAATCATGATATCTTTTTATAAATGCTACCATTTGTTTTATGGTAATATATTCTATAATTTAATAAGCTTTTGATTTGGTGAGACTGATTAATTTACTCACTAATTATTACTGTCCTACATAATAATTCACTATTTTATTTTAAGTGTCATCTATGTATGACATTCCAATATATCACATATTTATCATAATAACTGGAAATTATGAATTGTCCCACTAAGTTGAATATAATAAGCTATATCAGTATATGTATAATAATAGATCTATAAATATATTAATCCTAATCTAATCCTAATCTGTAAATAATAAATCTTCATCATAATCTTCTGCTAATAAATTAGAACTTTCAATGAATTGTCCAGCAGCTTTTTCTTCAGCTTTCTTATCTTCTTTTATTTTACGTAAAGCTTTCTTCTTTTCTTGCACTTTCTTCAACCTAAAAAGAAAATTACAAAGATATGTGTTCTGAAATTAACATGATAAATGAAGCATAAATAATATGTAATTAACATCAACTGATACCATGGACTATTTAATTAATTGTAGACACTTCTATAGCATATGTGTCTGAATGCTTGATGGATACTTGAAGAATGTCATCTAAATATCCGGCTTCATTCTTGTATCCACATCAGTTAACTAATTTGTTGAGAAAATCATGATATTATATAAGGAAGTTAAATCATCTGTTATTTGAAATAAAGAGGACAGAGTATAATTCAGGCAGTAAACCAGACAGCTCAAATCCACACTAAAACTGCAAACCTAACCTATGTTAATTGATAATTTCAAAGTTTATTTTGATCTTAGTAAAGAAGATAGTAAACCAACCTGTAAAATTCTTCTCTCTCTCTTTCATCTAACTCAGTACTAATGTAACTTAATGTTCTTTCTATTCTTGGTATAATAACTACAAAACAAGTCATACATTGAGATTTATGAAATGAGACAAGTTGTAAATATAATGAGTGTGCATCATTAAAGAGATGTGATTGTCTCAAAATTTGCTTTGCTTGAGAAATACATCCATCTATTCTTAGCTATATTCTGAATGAAAAGGCAAATGTCAAGTGAGTACGATAAAATAAATATTGACAAGGCAGTAATAATCATTCATCAAATGCAGTCCCCACTTAAAATCATATCCCTTTCAAACTTTGACGAATTTGAATCAAAAGAGTGCGACAACCATGGCTAGAATTCAGTTAAATCAGCTGGTAAGAAATAAACCACTTCAAACTCAGAAATATTTAGACAGTATACAAAAAACTATGCTGAATTCAAATGTCAGTCACAAGCTCAAGAGATTATTCCTAAAAGTACCTTTCTTTATTCTGGTCTACTTACCATGTTCAATAGCATTAACACGTCTGTTAGTTATCTTAATAACTTCATCTAATGTTACAAATGAGGTTTGTAAAGAAGCTAATTCAACTAATAACTGAATAGCTTTAGCATAGTTCTTTTTTAATCTATCAATTTGCTGTCCACCTCGAGATAATCCAGTTAGTTCATATGCTAAAAGAGAAATAAATGACTTTTAACACTGAATAAATCAGAATACTTCAGTCAATGGCACATAAAGAAACTAACAACCAATTTCATCAATTTACTGGTATATGAATTCTGAACTAATTTGCATCAATTTCATGTACTCAATAGTGAATTTTCACTTAGTCCCATTGCAAAATGACAATAATAACAATAAGCGTATAATTATTAATTCAAATACTTTGAGAAGCATGTTTTTAAGTCTGTGAAATGTTATAGATTACTTACTATCAGCCCCATCTTGATAATGTTCAAATATTGGTAAATTAACACCTGTAATAAAATAAATGTCAATAATTCAGCTTTTAACTAATGTAACTAATCAGAAATCTTTGTCTATGGATATGAGAAAAGATGATTGTGTTCCATAATATAAGTTCTATCTCGAGAGCCAGAGGAAAGAATGAACCAATAACCTTTAATCTAGTAAAATTCAGTATTATTTTACCTGCAACATTTTCTTTTTTACTCTTAACTTTAATTTGAGCTTTAGTAACATTCTGTAATATCATATGATTTAAGTCTCCTGTAGCAAATTTAGCCTCTGCTAGAGAAAATGATGCTGTTTTCATGACATCTCCCATTAACATTTTAGTCTAAAAAAAACAAAATAAGCATCAAGGCAATGTTAATGTTTATAATACCATACATATCATTCATTGAGTCTTTATTGTAATTAAAATAAGTACTGTGGTGAGTGTCAAATCAGAAACACCTTATCATGCCACCCTATGCCTGGTTTTGTCTACTACTACCTGGCATCTTTCGAAGTATGTTTTATCAAATGAACTACATAAAAGTAAAAGAACATTAAAGTAATTTCACTACCTCAATAATCTTCTTTAAAATATTTCTAAATCGAAGAGTTAAGGCATCTGCTTTTTTCTTCAATAAACTGTGACCTTTCTGAGCACCTTTTAATCTGGCCTTCATAATGGTCAAGGCCCTGGAAATAGATATCAAAATAGTTATCATCAAAAAAAAAAAACTAAACAAAAGACTCAGTTTGTAGCCAACTGAATGAGCATAACAAAGGTAATTATTTTATATACCAGTAATCAAAAATTAATGTGTAATATATATCAAAATTCACAAAGACAAGAAAATGCCTTAATTAGCTTATTGTTCACAGAGTTACTTTTAAAGGGAAGTTCTTTTTCTGTTAATAAATAGGCGGTCATGAGTCTCTTAGTGTCATATATAGGCCTAGGCCTACAAGGATATGTAAGACATGGGGATTTAATCCTAACGGGACCGTGATTATATAAATTATTATAGAGAGGAGATCAGGCCTATTTTTAAATTAAGACATAACACTGATTAAACATAGTTACTGAAGTATGTGTTGGAGAACTTAACAACCAAGGCATTTATCTATCTATGTCCTCTCTTCTTTAAAATGAGTGTCAGAAATGCAACTGCTGAGCAGTCTCCAACAGTGAATTGTACCATCTCAGAATTTGAAACGGTTTAATTGGAATGGAAATCATATGAACAGAAACTATTTCCCTGCTATCATTCCTAGAATGTTGGAATGAAAAAAATGGAGACACTGGGAGCGATAGTGACAGGCTCTTAATCTGTCAAGTAAACATGAAAATTCTCATCCCAGAAAAGAATCTCTGCACTAAAATACCTCGGATTAAAGAGGGTTTCATAAATCATTCCCTTTTCAAAAGAAAAGTCATATGGCCACATGAAATTGATAGAAATACTTACATTCGAGAGGGGAAAACGTTGATTTTGTCCGACATCTTGAACAGTTATTATTATTTTTTCTGTCATGTGATTTATCACGTGATAGAAGCTAGCGATAGTTACCTCCCTTCAATCAGATTTGCAAACTGGTATCTTATAAAAAAATTCTTTGATGGGTATCCTATAGTTATTGCAAATCTTCATATTTGCCATTGAAATAGTATCGTTATTAAATCAATGATTGTAAAATACAAATACATTGAATGATCTTATAAACAGAAACAAACAAAATTTAAATTAAACTTCATACAAAACTCCAGAGTGCCCAGCTTGAATGATTTCCACCCTGTAGATTGTAATAGGGGCCTGCGAATTGGCCCTGAAAATTGCCAATGCTTACCAAAACTGTCCTACATCAAATAATTATATTCCTTGGAGAGAATTGTGACAGACATGCTCTTACAGCTGTCGAATTTCAAATTAAGATATTCAACCTGGACAGTGACCTACTAGACTCACTCCTCTTATAGGCTAAGTCAGTCTAATTGTAATCCATGTCTTTACCTGGCGCCGCCCCTGTCACTCTCATCTTAGTGACCTGGCTCCACGACAGACATTTATGCCAACAGAGTTGACACTGAAGTAGATTATACCTGACTGGATGACTGACTAATTTCCAAATCTACTTAAATGGTAATTTTCATGTGTCGTTTTCCACAGAAATCAAAGTTTGCATTACTTGGAGCTGCTTCGCCAATGTTGCTGATGCAGAATTAACTGTTTTAGCCCAAGAGGAACGTAGCTCCTATAGCTCCCAGCTCCAGGCATCTGTAGCTAGCATTTATTGGACCTTCCAGTACCAAATACCTACAGGTTACACCATCCAGACTGATTTCTAGAAGTTAGTGATGGTGCAGCCATGTTGTTTGTTGCATTTAAAAGGCTGAGTGCTGGGTTTGTTTCTTTTGAGAGGCCAAGAACAGTTTGCAGAAAAATGACTGTGCTGAGTGGAAGGTGACTGATTTGATAGGCAAATGTAACTGTGGTGAGTTGAAGATGACTGGGGTGCGTGGGAAATGATTGTGGCTAATAATCATGATGGGTTAAAGGGACATTGGTAATTGTGGATAATGGGAAGTGGTGAATGGAATGTGAAAGTGATTGGTGGAAAATGACGGTGGTGATTGTGGTAAATGGAATGTGACAGAGGTGGTTTGAAAGTGACTGATTAAAAGTGAACGTGATGGGTGCAAAGTGACTGATGAAGGGAATTCATATTAATGTGGACTGGAAGTGACTGGTACATTGGAAGTGTCAAGCAGCTATCAAGGCCACGGGAATAATGTATGTGTTATTTGTTATTGAATGTTGTGGTTAAAACATTTTTTAATTAATATATATGTCGGTGTTTATCATCTCCGTTCTTTTAGAGTAGCTGGTAACCTATTATCGCACCCTACCCGTCAGTTTAACCTCATAGCTAGTTATATTTATACTATCGTGTAGGTATTGCGATTAAAGTAGGCCTAATATATTCCAGTATAGTGTTATAATTAGAAATCTACACTGTATATACATGTAGGATATTTGAATAAACGTTATTGATCGTCTTGTTTCTAAAACAGACATAATACTTGAACGTTAAATTCTGAAACTGAACATTATTCAGACTACTCATACTACGGAATTTGGTGCTACCAGTTATTCAGAACTAAATATGACATATATTTCTCCCGCCAAATAATTTTCTAGCTGGAAGAGAACGCGCGTGGTATAAAGAATAAAACCGGTAGCAGACGAGATCAGGTTGCTAGCAGTAATTCACGTTTGCTCTTTTATAACGGTTCTGTGAGCTCTAATAAAAGACCGTGTAGTGTAGTTTGTATCAGGACTGTTGGTGAATAAGGTACTACTATTGTTCTGTTACGACGTTCAGGTCTCGGCTCTTAAGGCCATCATCAGTGACAAATTGTTGAGATTTTATGTAACGACAATCCTGAATATATCTCAATATTAACACATTTTCAACTTTTACGAATGGAATAACATAAACTATAAAGTTGGAATATAACTAGTCTATACTGTGGTATATAAAAATATAAAATGGATGCAGCGCCGTACGATAATGTAGAGTTTCCTGTCCGCAAACCGGGAACAGGAACATGGCCTGGACCAGGTCAGCAACAGTCGCAGATTAAATTGATGAGCCAAACCAGTAAGGATAGGTCCGGTGGTGCCAAATTAGCACCACTAATGGAAACCATGGAATTAGCAGATTCTGAAGACCAGCGAAATCAATCAAAAACAGTTACAGCCTCGTCCAAAATAAGTTCTTCGGTAAGTGTTATGTACTGTATTTTATAATATATGTATGTATATGAAGTTTTGCTTTGACTCTATAATAGATCATGATCCTAAGTCAGGGCAATAATGTAAAAATAACATTCTCTCTCGAGCTTTAATCCGATCAATTCAATCGATATTATTGAGTAAAAATTGATTATAAAGAAGTAAAGTTATTAAGAAAGAGAAGCGTATTATTTACAGCTACATATATTAGATTAAATTCATTTACACGTATATAGAAACCTAGCTATTGACTAGTAAAAGGTTCGCATCTCTAGGAACAAAGCGGCACCTTTGTCACTACCTGGTGTTTGAATGACAAAGGATACCTGTTCTATATATTGCTGAAGTGGGCTATTATTATGACGAAAGCTGTTTACTGCAGACAGCTGTTAATTATAGCAATATTTTTCAATTTCTTTGTGCGTCAATAACAAATATAAAACTGGTATTTATATTATCTTTTAACTTTGCATTAACCAAACCAGTGACCTATATTAATTAAAATTTAGGTTAAAAATGAACAGTTAAAAGAAATATTTTCTAAATATGACATGTAAGTTTAGTTTAGCAAGTCTTTTTATTAATTTTTTTGTAATTTCAAATTCTTGTTGATCAAGTAAGACAACTCGTGGTTGTAATTCTTAATCAATTTGATGTCAAGTTTATCAGATAAAATTTACTTGAGTTACAGAAGAGTACACTTTCAAGTAATCAAATAAGATATCTTGGCCAAAATTTACAAACTTAAATTACTTCTTGGAAATAAATTACTTCACCTTTTTTTGTGTAGTACTCGGAATTTAGTTATGACAGGGCAAATTGTCTGTCCAGAAACGTAAAAGTCCCAAAGACGAAATTTGCTGTTGACGTTACGTTCTTGGATATATTTCTACCTCTGTGTAAATATTAATTCATTTAAATGATATTTAATGATTTGTGTGCAGTTTTTGTACTGGAATGAATCTGTACCAGCGGATATTTTATTGTAAACACACTGTGTGATTCTGATAGCATTACATATGTACACATGTTATATGACTCATTTTATTTTAACACAAAAAATAACTTTAAAATGTATACAACTGTCTCAAACTTCCCCCAAGTTTACAACCGGTTTAAAATTGTAAATGTTATATACATGTACTTCCAATATTCATACAGTACAAAATATTTCTATTAAAAAAGAATGTAGAGTCGATTTTTAAATGTTGAATATATGTATATTCTGTGTATGTACATCATGTGTAGCTTATATCAAGAGGAGAGTGTGATTTTCTTCTAAAATGATAAAGGTTAAGGTGGAAAACAGAAGTTTGGGCTACAGATGCAAACAGATTTTGTCTCAACAGGCTCGTTGATCGTTGATCATTGAACGTTTAGTGGCTAACTGCGGTACAGAGGCTTGGTTGTTTTTGTTGAGAGGTTTTTACTAAATCAAATTGTGTTAACAACTATGTGAGCATCAATACACTGATGTAGATATTTCTGTACGTATAGTACGATACAATCATCGTCAAATTGTTTATAAAAACATCTGTTAAACATATTACATAGTTTATGGCACTATTAATATCACGAGAGAATATAATAACACACAATTCTAACTTGATTTACCGAGATGATCGATCTAAACACTAACTATTCTTGCTATATCTTTTGTAATGTTTGGTAATAAAACCACAAATGATTCGTCCCTATTGGATCAAAATTTCATACAAAATTATTTCCTTTACTAAATTCTGTTCGACCAGTTTGGAAAAGAGTTCTTCATATAGCTAATCATGTTTAATGCATTTAAGTGAACTTAAGTTATAATAAAAACAAACACTTATCGCTGCAATATTATTAAAATAAGTAGGCTAAGGGTCCGGTGCGATGATCTCAACCTTAAATCCTGTAAATAAAAATCTGAGAATCTTGTAACCTCTAAATTTACTTCGGATAAAAAATTTCACGAAAGTAAAAATATACTAATGATAGTTAGTTTCTGGCAGTGTCGTGTATCGTGTATATCTAAATGTCTAAAAGACATGAAGAAGTAATCTTCATCTTCAATAGATCCTATTGATAATGAACATGTTATCTTGCCTACAGGCAATATACAGAAACTATGCAATTAATCTAATAAAGATGAGTGAAACAAGATGCACTTAATAATCAGACTAAGTGACTTTGTTTAATTTGCAGCTTGTAGAAATCATTGTGGTTGTTCTGGGAAATATCATTCCAGGTTTTCGACTTGGCATCATTTCTGCATGCAAGCAATTAAATTTCTCTTGGAATTTAGACCATGTTTAATTCAACAGTCTCTGTTTGTGTTTATATCACACTGTTTATTGTTCCAAAATTGCAATTCTTGAACACTACCAATATAGAGGGGGTGGGGTTTGAGGTGGTAAGGGATTAACATTAAAACCTTATATTGTCTGAATATTTAGATGGTATAAAACTATTTACTGAAACACCTGGTACCACTGTCTGTCATCGTAAAGTGTGAATACCAACCACTAACACAGACATTATTTATTTCTATAGTGAAAAACATGACAGATTCCATCAAATCATTCCATTAAAACAAATCAATTGAAAACAGATGACCGCCATTTTAATCAGTGTGGGTTTGTTACTCTTTCACTTTCCTTCAATTTGTCAGATCTCTGTTTATGGTTTATATGTTTCACATTGGTAGCTTACATTAGCATATCTGTATGTATGCTATTTTGGATTTTAGAACACTTAGCCTTTGCAGAAATAATGAAATTCCATGTAATAGTTATAGTAATAGTTCGCTTGTATATGGCGCAAATTACTTTGCAGTTTCTATTGGGCCCTCGATCAATATTATGTGCGACGTGACTGTTACATCTATATCAAGTTCCATGTGCATGTTTACCAGTATGGGTGGCATGTCTGGCAATGTTTGTTTAAATTGTGCTTGAAAGATCCTAGATATAAGAATAACGATAATGCCTGTACGTTTAAAAGGATGGACAGGAATATTCAGCTTTGTTTCATTTTGTAAAAAAAAACCCAAGTAGGCCTATACTATATTCTCCACAAGCAATAGATCAGCTAACTGATGAATCCAAAAGGGTCTTGGGTGTAGGCAATATTACTTGATAAGATGATAAATCTATGATGGAAGTATTTCAAGGTGGTTCCAAGAATGACTGAAAATTGAGGATTTAATTATGTAATGAAAAACGCGTGAATGCCAATTTAAAACCTTTGATGAACTCTGCAAATATCAAGTCAAAGGAATATTCCATTACTCAGGCGTGTCTAATAAATATAGGCTACATGATGTCAATACAAGAAAATGTCAGGAATTTAGGACACGTGATTCACCGGAAGTCACAATGAACCATGTTTTCAGAAATCGGAAATATTCCACATCATATCAAACCATCCTTGTAGAATCGTATTACAAAACGAGTTATTGAATAGAAGGCTAATAATGGTCATTATTACTTCAAAGAAACTCACATCTTCACAATATAAAGATATTACAAACACATATCATATACCCTGACATCATAAGCAACTTTCTTCTTCTACTGAGGTTTGTAAAAGCAGCGATTTGGTGAGATTTTACGTTATGGAATAACGTTCGGTATCGGGTGCACCAGAATGATAAGCAACAGCCCTATATCTGATATGATATTTAAAACCAAAAACTTATGATATAACAGAGAAGAGATGAAACCATCATGACCAATTTACTAATATTAGAAGTAGTTAACTTGGTTGAAATATGGTTGCTGCAACTTGCGCCTACCATGTACATCTGGTTACACTTGCTGAATGATTATAGTATCAATTATATTACGTAATAAATTTGTCAGCACCATCCAAGTCAAAATAAATTGTATAATTAGACTAAATATAGATAACATCAGGCGTGAAAAAGTAATTGTTACTGATCGTGAATTGATAGCCTTATAGGCATACCCAGGCTTATAGGTATACCCGGTTAAATAGTGTAGAGAGTCTTAACATATTTGTATCCGAGATCCCTCTTGTGTACAATGAATTGCCCTCACTGGGATAAGAAAGATTTATTATTATTAATAATGTTTAATGCACTTAAGTAAACTTAAGCTGTAATTAAGAGATAGATTTTAAAGTAGTGCTTTTCTGGTTTTCTGGTCTTTCTAAAATTATATAAATATCGTGATTGTTGTTTGAAACAGTATCTGCTGATAATATGGTTTGGTCAGAATTATGGAAATACCAGGGAAGATAAATCATGTTTGAGCAATCCACTTGAAGAGGTTGTGGATAAACTTTGGTAAGGGTCAGTGATGACAAGTGGCTACCATATGATAGTGTATGCTATTTTTATTTTTAGATTATCCCAGAGGCTGGTCATACCGGTACTTATCTTTACAGAAAGATCACACAGTTCTACATTCTTTATTTGTTAAATGCCAAAACATAAAAGGTACCGTAGTTGTTTAGGACTGACTTGACTTAGACGTTACTTCATGTTCGATGGTTCAATTATTGTTTGGCTAACCTTATGGAACACAAAAGGGGGCGTTTAAAGATATCTTGAAATATCAGATCAACAAATCATCGTACGGTGATAGTGCCATTGGTGGTACTGAGGGGTCATTTTCACAACCCAAAATTGGTTTTTACCCACATCATTTATAAGAACTTTCAAGATATGATTTTTATACAAATCCATGCATGTTTGAACTTGAAAGAAACATGAATCTCAGTTTAATAGAGGGGTTTAAAACAAGCTGTGATTTCGTGACAGTTTTCTTAAAAAATTATAGAATAAACCAAATCGAACCAAAAGTTTTTCTTGAGGAGTAAGTTGTTTTACCATTAAGTATGGCTGCTGCCTATTTGTACCCTTTGTTCCAGGAGGCTGGCGCCGCCACTTATAGCACGGCTATTTTTAAAGCATTGAGTTATACGGTCAGTTGGTAGTAATAAATAGAAACAAAGCAAACAAACGTTATTTTGGAAACAGTCGAATTCCATCCAGACTTCCATCTGTAAACTATAGAGTCTAGAGACGTATGTTGGAAATGTCAAAGGTCAGTTAAGGTCAGTTGGTAAAGTTCATATGACGCTTATTTGACCACTATAAATGATAATTGCATGTATTCTATATTGACCTACTTTATTTCTTATATTGTGGCATAGTCACCATTTAGAATTATTGTTCAATAATCTGCATCCTCTTGAAATAGAAAATAGAAAATGTTTCAATGGGTTCTCCTTGTCTAAAGAAAGGTAATCGGATTGAATCGTTGTAAAGGACAATATTTAGTTATGTATGTAACTAGAGTACTACAGTTTTAACCAATTCCAGAGAAATTCATAAAGAAAACACTGATTGGTTCATCAATTATACTTAACCTTTCAATTACAGAAAACTAATTAAAAACATTCCGTTCTACACCACGCTGGCCAGACTACTCTTCCTTTTTTGCGAGAAATGAATTATTATTACAAGTGAAATAATGTCTATAGCCAGGGAAATTGGTGTATATTTAAGTGTTATATGTACCTACTACCTACTGCTTCTGTTAATCTCAACCGGTAGTAATCTGTTATACATGATTTGCATTTGTTATCCCAGTTGCTAGTAATCTGTTATACATTAATCTGACTTTCTTATCCAAGTCTTTAGTAACCTGTTAAACAGTTGTACTTTGTTTTGTTATCTGAGTCGCTAGTAATCTGTTATACATGATTCTTTTTCTGTTATCCAAGTCGCTCGTAATGTAACCTGTTATACATGATTATTCGCACAGGCATCTGTTTCTATCAATAGTCGACTCTCTCTATGATAGTATAATATAGAGAGAGTTGACTATTGATAGAAACATATGACTGTGATTCTTCGTCTGTTATCCAAGTGCTATGAATAATTCTACCTAATAATCTGTAACGCATTTTACTAACTTTGTTATTTCAGCCGATAGTAATCTGTTATATATTTTCTTGCTTCTGTTATCTCGGTCGCTAGAAAACTGTTAAACATTCCAGTGTCTCTGTTATCTCAGTCGCTAGCAATCTGTTATACACGATTCGTCCTATGTTATCTCAGTCGCTAGTGATCTGTTATATATTCCAGTGTCTCTGTTATCTCAGTCGCTAGCAATCTGTTATACACGATTCGTCCTATGTTATCTCAGTCGCTAGTAATCTGTTATATATTCCATTGTCTCTGTTATCTAAGTCACTAGCAATCTGGTATACACAATTCTTCATATTATACAACCGTTATAAATATGGTTCTGCTTCTGTTATCTCAGTCGTTAATATAATCTGTTATATATTATACTGTCTCTGTTATCTCAGCAGCCCTCATCAATCACCTGTGAACATTCCTTAGTTTATGCACGTCTGTAGGTAAAATAGGTTTTATTATACTGAATATACTGTACAGGCAGTAGGTGTTCAAGGTATTCCACAGTTACAATCTACTACTGCTATTAAAAGCAGTTATCTATTATCCTCTAGTGTAAGTCATAATATATTCCAGATATTTATGAACGTTTTGGTGCTGATATATTCTTTATACTTGAACACAAATTGTATCCTAGATTCTAGTCTAAAATGATTCAATTGGCAAATGACAAACAGAAGTAGCACATCATGATGTTTTGTTACTTGACTCCAGACACTTTGGTCTTGCAATAAAAAAAAAGTAATTTAGGCCTATAGAAGGCGATAAATTTCATGATAAAGTTGCTGTTTTATTCTCGATCTTATGTGGCTGCATATAAAACTATACAATGGCTTCCTATAATTAAGCATGGGTTACTGTATCTCTTCAGGATAGGCTACCATTGCTGACATATTTTACACATTTCTAGAAGCAATGATAGGCATCTGAAGGAACGTGAACATCCCGATACATATAATAGTGATTTATTATCTAATGGTAGCCATATTAGACAATCAAACACTTCTGTCAACTTCCCGTTAATAACAATAATAATAATCATTAAACTATCAACACAAATAAATAAATGTCACAATTAATTACCACTTAAACCATTAGTTTGCTTGTTCGTGAAAATTTTCAAAATGGCGGCCATAACAGGTGTCAAATTTTAACAGTTTATCTTGGTAGAATTAAATGGAAGCCGTCTGGTCTGACAACCATCTGATCTCCACAGACGATAGAATTTGTTAATGTCAGGAGGTCATTCCGGGTCAATTAGATTGGGAGATACTTCTTCAGTATAATGTTCATAGAGTTTTATAAAGCATGAAATTTAATGAAGTCTTGCAATTTATAGGGTGTTAGTTATCAGACGGAGTTTTAATGTATCTGGTACTAACATGCTTCTACTAACAAACCTACCGACTTTGATTGACAGATAACTTATCCAAACTCAACTCATCCTTATTGATAGCCACTGCAGCATATTTTGTGATAATTTAGAAGGCTTATAGAACTGGGTCTTTAGAATATTTTCAACAATGAAAGAGAACAATTTGATGGGCACCAATTGCTTTTCTTTCTATGAATATTACTTTGTAGTTTTGAGATTGATGGTCAAGTATATTCAATCATTTCATTCCATATCATTCCCATTGGCCTATTTAGACTTTTTATCCAATAGGCATTTAACTATTAGGTATCAAAATAACTCATATTCTTTTTAGATTCTCTTCACAGCAAGAAAACCAGAAAAATTGTCTGGAATCTTCAGTAGGTCACATTGTGTTCAAACCAGAACACTAGGATGCTTATTGTCGGTTGTTTTGACCTAAAAAATGTAATATATCTGGCCATATGTTTTATTTCTGGTCGAATTATATATTCCATACAATATGTTGTTACATTACATAGATTAGCCTTCTGTTTGATTTCAGTTTTCAGTAGGTCTGATAAATATGTGAAGGAAAGTGATCATTAGAGATCCAGGATCTATAACAATCTGAATGGTTATAATGTTAAAATTCTCGTTTATTCAAGTATATTTGGTATTTGGACACATTAGTCATATAAGATCCTTGAATTTTTCTGTTCGTATAACAGGTTGAAAATCTCCTGGTCTCAAGTTGGAGCTTTCCAACAATAAGATTCTACTCGAGAAAAGTCAAGTAGCATTCTAGTGTTTCAAAGACTAATGCCTAGACAGGATTTATAGAACTGGTCTAAAAATATCAGTTGTGTCACATCAACCCATCAAATTCTCTGTTATCGCCAACTGTAATATCAGGTATTGGCAATGTGCCATTGATAAGTATGTCAGAAATACTTTTCATATTCAAACACCATTTGCCTTTTGTCATAGCCTACTCTTTAAATACAATATTTTTAAATGATATTAGCCTAAGGACTAATGGTTTCAATGACTGAATATATTCACTCTAAAAAAACTTCGAAGTCTCAAAACATAACATTGACCTAATCTTGATTTGAACATGGTCAAATATTTTGTTTGAGTTACTTCCCTTGAGATAAACTTGAAACTGTTCAACTTTGTCGCAATATTAAAATCATAGGCCTAATCTTTAATTTGGGTCCTTTTAAAGACATTGTTTAAAACTAAGAAACAAATGGAGTTTTACCGTATAAAATCTGATTTGAAGATTTGTAGGAAAGTAGTAAGGCAAATTATCTCCAGTTCAAGGGAGGTAATATTATTAATAGAAAATATAAATTTAAGACTTCAACGGAGGTAACCCTAATCAAAAATTTAATTACGCTTAAAGTGGAATAAGTCGAACAATAAAGTTCTCAATATAGTAATGCATCACAATATACACCAGATAAACTTAATGAAAGAATTGTACTTGCCTACTAATAGCACCAATTATTGAGTGATTCAACTATAGCTTTACTCATTCCTCAGTAAAATATTTCGTTATATATATTTCATAAAATTGCTGTCTAATAAGCTTAAAATAATACGATTTGATATGACAAGTAAGTTATAATAGCTTACTTACAACATTTGTTTCGGTTTCTGAATGGTAGCCCCTATATGGTAGTGTGCAAATTTGAAAAGTAATAATTATATAGTTCATGGGGTTGATTTGGATATTAAATCGACAGTAGGCCTACATAATATAACATTACATTCTGTTCTTATCTTTCTTTACACTATCTCCTGTTTCGTCTCATAGCATTCACCAAGTCAGTGATATCTCAAACATCACTACTTCTCCCCTAACTACCCTACTCTTGCCAACAACGTGGGATTCCTGAGACATGCAGAACATATTGAATTACCAGATATGTGCCAAGTCGTGTTAACTCGTTTCTTTCATTTTAACCATTTTATTAGCGGGTTATTTAGGAACTGGGCTGTTCATAGTTAAATATACCACGATGTTCTAAATAAAAGAGATTGGGGTGTTTTGTATTATCAAATATTGTTTTTTTGAATAGGCTTACGAGTATTCCTGCATTTCATTTCTAACATAAAAGTTTTTCGACATGAAAACAATACAAAGGTTTATTATATTACAAATATTAAAAAACCTATTTTTACAGTTTTATCACAAATATACTTATTTATTGTAATGTTTGGGCAGTGGAAATATCAATTAATTTGTATTCTTATAGAAACAAAATTATTTGCTTATAACACTCGCAAACTACATGTTCTAGTCCAGAGGTTGCTTGCTGCTTGCAAGTTTTCTTATGAATCGTAATTTAAAAGGCGCTACGAGATCACAGCCTAATATAGAAGTGTTGTTTTCATGAACATTACTTTATGTTGTGAACAGAAAATGTGTACTTAAGGTGAACTTGTTGTACAAGGTGGTTTTTCTGGTTAGAAATGATAACAGTATTTATGATAAAATACTAGAAAATTATTTATAAATTTCTATACGCCATATCTCAAGTGTCATCATAATCTTACGTTCGCTGTACAAAATTATAGTTGATAGTTTCCACATGCAATCTAATTCAATTTCTTTGTGATTGTATAAAAACTTAATACTATTTGCTTTTGATCTTCGTTAGGAATGTAATAATTTAGTATTGTTAATTTCAGTTTTTATTTACATGGTTAGGATACACGTGTTTATCACTGTTTTCTTCCATCTTCTAGCATTGAAAGTGAGATTTGACTAGCTATAGAATGAGAAGTAAGATTTGACTGTAGCTATAGAATGGGAAGTGAGATTTGACTGTAGCTATAGAATGGAAAGTAAGATTTGACTGTAGCTATAGAATGGGAAGTGAGATTAAACTGTAGCTAGGATGGGAAGTGCGATTTTACTGTAGCCAGAATGGGAAGTGAGATTTGACTGTAGCCAGAATGGGAAGTGAGATTTGACTGTAATTAGAATGGAAAGTAAGATTGACTGAAGCTATAGAATGGGAAGTAAGATTGACTGAAGCTATAGAATGGGAAGTAAGATTTGACTGTAGCTATAGAATGGGAAGTAAGATTTGACTGTAGCTAGAATGGGAAGTAAGATTTAACTGTAGCTATAGAAAGAGAAGTAAGATTTGACTGTAGCTATAAATGGGAAGTAAGATTTGACTAGGTATAGAATGGGAAGTGAGATTTGACTGTAGCTATAGAATGGGAAGTAAGATTTGACTAGCTATAGAATGAGAAGTAAGATTTGATTGTAGCTATAGAATGGGAAGTAAGATTTGACTGTAGCCAGAATGGGAAGTAAGATTTGACTGTAGCCAGAATGGGAAGTGAGATTTGACTGTAATTAGAATGGGAAGTAAGATTTGACTGGAACTGGAATGGGAAGTGAGATTTGACTATAGCTAGAAAGGAAATTAGATTAGCTGCTCGAAATGCTTGTAATTATTTAGCAATAACTCAATCTACTAAATGATATTTTTTTTTATTCATTTTGGCTGGTATATTATCATTTAAAGGTTATATTTTTTCATTTCAGGTCTCATCCAATTCATCTCAAAGCAATCAACAACCACAATTAGTAAATGCAACATATACACCACAGAAAGTTTCTAATCAACAACAGACAATCAAATATAAAGCTGATACTCGTTCTACCATCACTACCGACCAAGATGATTTCTTTGATCGTAAAGATTTTAGCGCTGGTTCTAGAAATATATTAGATAAAGCCTATTCACAACATAAACATTTCTACAGACTAAATGCTAAAGTTGTAGAGGAAGGTGGTTTATTAAAACAAGATGTTTTGGACGTGTATAAAAAACAGGGAGAAGTTTTTACTTATGAACAATTATTACAGGGTAGGTAGTCAGATCTAGACGGTAGGGTTCATTATCATAACTGAACTTGGTAGAACTGGTTTAAACTTCCATATAGTAGCTTTAATACTGTAAATTTATGACGTTCCCAGTTTGGCTCATGTGAAGTCCTCTTTAGATGAACATTTAAATATGGGTTCCTTTATTTTCTTAAATGTAAATGCGAATACTTATATGAATAAAAGGAGAGGTGTTCTAATGACTTGGAAAAATACCAGTTTTAAAAGAGAATTACCAGTAGAATTCCAATGAGTGACCGACCAAGAACGGTCAAAAAGTCATTGTTTATCCAGACTGTACTATTCATGGACATTTATGATTTGTTAAAAGTCTTAATCATATGCAATTAGAATGATATGATTAAGAATACATGATAATTCATTAGTAACACAAATTACTCAAATAGTTTGCTTAATTTGACACTAAAAATAAGGAAACCAATCTTTAAGATAATAAAACCAAAACAACATGATCGAAAATTCTATAAATGGAGGTTAAAAAAAATACGTTGCATTAATACATTTAGAAAGAATTTTATTGTAGCCCAATCCTCTGTAATCGACCATGCAGTTAGTGGCACCATAGAGATTTTGATTATATCATCCGTTCTGGCACCATGTAAAATAAAAGTCAAGTATAATGATGATAAAGTACCTTGAACTAAGAACAGATTCCAGAATCAATACGGGATTATTCACTAGTAATTGAATTTCGTGGTGATCAGGAAAAATAGTTAGAAAAAGGTCGTTATTCATAATGATTAACTTCCTTGCACTGGGCAATTTAAAAGTTAATTTTTTTATGGACATGAAAAAATTTCGCTATCTTTCCTGAAGTAATTAATTCAATTCATCTCTTTCATCACAAAGTAGTATAATGAAATGGTACTGCCAAGGCTTATTCTGTTGCTTTTACAAATGGTTTTTCAAGTCTGCAAGTTTCCATAAGTAGGGTGGCGGTCGTTCCATAGTGATAAAAAGCATCTAAATTAGAACAAACCTCGAGGTGTTACACACTGTAAAATCTATTTTAATGGCTTGATATTCGGTAAAGCTCCTCGTCTATAGATAGAAGAATGAATATTTAGAGCAAGGGTTATGTGTTAAAATACGATGTGGCAAACTCAGAACTAAATGTAAGAAAGTGGGACAAACTTCCACTTGTGGTTAGAGAATATATATATATAGAGAGAAAATTGCAGGAAACATGTGAAAATATTTAGTAAATAACGCGTTAGAAATATCTACTCATATCATTTCACATTCACACTTGTCTTTATATAAATAAACACTGACCACTAACTTACCACTGGTCAGTCTGAAGATAACCACATGGTCTTCTGACCACATAAAAAACTTATTTTCTCAAATACCATAGGTCAATATTTCTTCATCTGGTTTAGAATCAAGACACAATATGGAATAAGAACCATAGAGCAATGGGGTCGAAATCACAAACGCTGAATTTAAAATTATATCCAATTCCGAATTCTCTGTGTATACCCTCAGGTCAAAATAAAACATTTGCGTGCCCAACAGGAATTTGAACATTAAGATTATGAAATAATGCAACATGGTTACCTATGAGGTTAAGGTGTGTTTAGTGGGAATTTGTAGCTATTGGTACCACCACTCCGATAGTTATCGCACATAATATATACCATGCAAGACTAATGACTTTATTAATAGTGACGTCATATTCTAGTTAAGTTATTGAGCTAATACTGTTTTTTTAGGAAACCCTGTATGAATTCCCTTAATTTTGAAAAAATAACCAAACTTGTTTTTTTACACGATAAAAATTCGTAAGATGCATCCATTGCAATCGTCAATGTATAAATTTTATGCATTAAGCTAATGTGTTTCTCAGAGTTTTGTGAATATTACAGGTATGTTAATAGATGGAGAGAAGTTATTATTAGGAGGTAGTTGGTTATATGTTACTGGTGTAGAATATCTTGATGCTGATGGTAATAACGTGCTGAAAGAACCAGTTGGCAAGGGTCGAATCTGTTTAACAAACCAAAGAGTTTTAATTTTATCAGCAGAAATATACATTGGTAAGCTTCAAAATATTGAATATAGTTTGAAAAAAATTCGTTTCCAGTTCATGTTAACATAGCTAACTGACCAAAACGCAACATTATTTATAAAAAACATAGAACTGACCTTCTGACCCAGATTCTGCTCTCCCGGAAGGACGTCCTGCCTGAAACACTATATCCACGGATGGTGGACATCCATAGATTATTGTATGTATGCTACATAGATTGACATATAATATCCTATTTCAGCGAGATGATATAGGTAGAAATAATTGCATTTTTCTTCATTTCAATTTACAGATGCATCATTATCAGAGCTTGGTAATAACAATAAACCATCAACAGAATATAAACTGGACGTGAGAAAAACCAACTCTACTTATTACCAAAATTTACCATTAACATGTTTTCATAGCGCTGATTTAAACATTAGTGTTGGTACCTCGGCTAGCAGTAAAATCAGTATGAAGAAACCTGTCTGTAAAGGACTTTGTTCATGCTTTGGAGTAAGTTGCATTTTCTTTTCAAGAGAAAAAAGCCCATCGGATATCATACCAAGCCTAGCATAGGCACTAATTTTTACGCTGTGCGCTTGTCCTCTTCCATATTATTTTAAATGGATGAATGCCAGAATGTTATTATAAACACTATATCATACCATAATATAATGATGCTCCTTACAGTGTGTAGTATATTTTTGATCTGTGTATAGTAAATTATGCAGATAGTATGAATAAAGGATCCAAACTCAAAATGATTAAACCAAAGCGTTATTCAAGCAAAGCAATGGCCAACATACTATTTGCGTCGCGCAATTTTACTTCCGGTTAGGTCACTCATTTTTTTTCAAATTCTAATTGCAGGTGGCACCGTGTGTAACATCATGGCAGTCAACTCCACCCATGACGACAGCATTTAACAAACGTATAATCAGAGTGGGGGTATCCATGCCTCCCTGGGCAACCAGAATGACTTTACTGTTTCATCTTGATCCAGAAATGTCGTTAACGGTGGCTCGTGATTTTATATCTCAGCTACAATACCATGCTCCTCTCATGCATTAAAGAGAGTGTGCCACGATTTGCCACGATTTATCAATTCTTATTAAGTAGGGCCGTATATAAAGAAGTTTCCTTATCTTCTCAGTGGACACATCCAATCAATACAAATCCAAACGTTAATGTCCTTTCTAGGCCTGTTACAAAACCCTGCATTTTCCCCTTAAAAAAAGCGTAACATTTAATTATGAATAAATGATGTAGGCTTATTTATTTTTGTTGAGATTATGGTTAGCTTTCCACTACTAACTTGACTACAATGCAAGGGAAATTACTCTTATTTCATAAATTCTTTTAATTTTGAACCTGAAACCAACCAGCATTTGAAAGGCTTTTGCATAATATTAATGTATGAATTTAAAACCATGTAAACCTAAATTATTTTTTATCCAATTTCCCTCCTTATGCAATCTATCTAAATGTTTTCTTCTGTCCATTAATTAAACGGTGCTCTTTGTTAATATCTGTTGTACATAAATTCATTTATTCATATTATTTCATGTATATATTTTATTTCTATTATGTTTTGAGTTAAATTGATTTTTGTTCTGTATCTGTGTATAAATCAATCATAATTAAAGTTTTGTATTTAAATCTGACTGAGTTAGCCTCTGTGGCAGCACCACTTGGAGTACATTTGCACCCCCTAGTAAAATTGTACACCCACTTTATTTTTAACAGATTTAGAAATATTCTTTTTTTTTTTTTGCTTTAAACCAAATTATGCATCAGAATGCACCAAATCAATTCAATTTTTCAAAAATTTTCTTGGAAGAATCCTCTCAGACACTCTATAAGAGGCTTGGCGCACTTTGAATTCAGACTCTATAGTTTGTCCCCGATTGAAAAAGTCTACCCAATATTCATACCCCCAGTCTCCAGTTAGCCTACAATAAGGCAAGAGTAATAATGCATGGAGATTGTCATCAATTTAGAAAAAGAGTTTTGACATAATCTTATCAAGGAAGTATGAGGAATGGGGGTGTGGTTTGAACACAGCGAGTGGTTACACATTTTAAAACCAACAGAGAAACCAGAGGATGACACAAATGAAATGCTGTCAATTAAAGCCATAATTATGAGATATGGTTGTATTAACTAACACGGATGAAATTTTAAGTTTTTATTTCCTGTAAACCTCACATAACTCATATAAAGTTCATTAATATACAACAAATACAGAAATCTATAGAAACCATTATACTTTTTTAGATTTCATTTTAGTGGTTTTGATCAGTGGATGAATATGTTTTTACCAAGGAATGAAATGAACTTTGTGTCTAGGCCAAATTTGGACGAGCAATAATGGTATACATTTTTTAAGATTTACAGATTTACAACCTCCATCTGAAAAACTAAACCTTATGATAATAAGATGTAATGAATCACCAACTATATTCTTTAGGACAAATTTGGAAGAACAATGGAGTCCTGATGACTTTCAAGTATGGAATAATAGATCAATAGCATTGATTTCAATAATGAAATGCCAGAATTACTTTTCTTCACTTACACTTATAACACATCACCACTCTTACAACACATACCCACATTAATTACTTCAAAAATAATTTCATTTTATATCACCACTCATTCTTATATCTCCTCACTGTACAACTATAAATTACATATATCATCAAGTTTTTAGAAATGTCCTTCTAAATGCATTAAGTAATATGAATGTATTTCCCTTTCACTTCCTCACTTAACCCACACTGCACAATATTACAATAATTCAATGAGACTGAAAATATGTTTAGTGAGATACTAAACCTGTATGAATGGATAATTTCTTCAGTATTCAATCCTCAATACTACAAATTTTGTCTTCATCAAATCAAAACAACAATATTTATCCACTGGGCCTAGTGACAAATTGTTCCACAGCCCATAGAAATATAGAATGACTGGTAGTGTTGAAACTCATATAAATTGTAATGATAAACAAATTTACCATAATGTACAGTTCTAAGGCTTCAAATTCATGAAACTAGCAATTCATCAATATTTGGATTGATATTTAACAAAAGTTTGAATAAACGAAAGAACATGAAAATAAAGGTCATGCGTATAACATCATAAAGATTTATAAAGTAAGCTGATATGAATTGAAAACATGAAGAGTACTATAGTCCACATATCTATAACTATAGTAGGAATTACAAACCAGGAAATCTCATACAGACTATTTAGTCATTGTCAAGGTCAAATATAACAGAATTAGAGAATTGAAAAGCACACTGTGTTCTATGCTCGTTGTTAGTCAATGTATTGAGACTAGTTGCTGTTTCTTCAACATCGTCATCAGAATCAGCTTTCTCAGTCTCTCCTTCTCCTGATGCTACTATTCTTACAACTGATGAATCACTTTCTTCTGCCATTTTCTTTACATCACCAGCTTTAATAATACCAGAACCCATTGTGATTCCATTCAATTTCCCTTCCTTATTTTTAGCACCATTTTCATTAACACCATTAGCTGCCTTATTTTGCTCATTATCACCAGATTTATCCTTATCATTCACTGCACCAAGATCTGAATTTTCTTCACTTTCTGTGGCTGATTTAGTATCACATTTACTTACTCCCTGATATGGTTTCTTTCCCTTGCCCTTCCCCTTATTTCTCTTTTTCTTATTCCCACTAGTCCTAAAATCAAGAGGGCGATCAGCAGCCACTTCATCTTTTTTCACATTACTATCAGAATTCCCTTGACATGTACATTTCTCTGTTGGACTCTCAGTAAATCCTTTCGATATTGCATGGGCCAATTTTGACACCTCAATATTAGCATCCTCTGATTCTTCGTTAATCTTCTCAAAATCATCAGTAATGAAAGGTGAATCAGACTGAGTTTGAGTATCAGACTGATCTTCACCACTACTATACTCTGATCCTGTACTATTACTTCGCTTTCTCTCAGCTCGAGCTTGTTTCAAATTCTCCTTTCTTCTAGCCTTCTTACGTTTATTATGTAATGTGGTTTTCACGCTTTGTGGACATTTGTTTGAGTGGAAGGAGGTAGAATCTACGCGATTATTGAAGGATACAGATCTCTGAAGTCTATGAATATCATCGTCTGATCGTGGACTGTCACTAGTAGGTGATATATGATGGTCATCACTGGACTCTGATATAGTTCTCTGTTTTAATATACTGTGTAATTTAGGAGGAACAGTGGTGTGAACTATCTCTATATCAGCTGATGATGGAGCATCATAATCTTCTTCCTCCTCTTCTTTTAGTGACAGTTTCTAGAAGAAAAGAAAACATTGGTTTTTTAAACTTTAGTGTTAGTTATTTCAATGATAACAAGGTATGCTCATCCTTCTGGAACAACTGAAACCACTACCTTGCTTATTTAATATTTGATACATATCTTGGTACTTTTATACCCGACACATTAAAAATTTCTAAAAAAAATGATGAACATGAAAGACCACAGTTGCAATGGTTGTTGGTTCACACAAAGCCATTGTCCTTGTGATAATCTGACAAATTATATAAAAGATCTCAACTCACCTGAAGTTTTATTGTCAGTTTCTTTTGACTCATCTCGCTAACACTAACTTCAGTTTTTCTCTTATTATAAGCCTTAGGATTGGCTTCTTGGTCTAATTTATCTAAATCTGATTGTAGATTACTTTCTGTTAAAAATAACTGATCCTGAAATTAAAGTATCATTCTCATCATTAATATTGTGTTTTCTCAAACAGCATTGTAGTTGAAAATATTCCCCTTCTTTGAATCAGTTGAAGTAGATATTTCAAACCATGATCATTAAAATTAATATATTGATTGAATTTGCATGATTATTCATTGAACAAAAATGATTTATTTTTTAACATTTACATTATTTTTTCTCAAAAGCACGGAGCCTACAATCAACTTGTGCATTTGTTATTTCAGATTTTCTTATAAAATAAACCATAAAGAAAATGAGCCGACCAAACCCACGACGAGTTTGTTTACAAGAAAGATATGAACAGCTACAAGAAAATGACCTTCCAAAGCCGATTTCCTTCATTTTCCCTCACAAAGTACCACGTTTACACCCTTAAATTCAAATGACACACTCAAATAATACCTCAATCATAAGAGCCAAGTAGCGCACGACACGTTTGCAACAGAGGAAAATGATGAAATTATTGGAATGAATTATTTCAGGCTAGGAAAGTTTGGTAAAAATTATTTTCATTACCGAGGCCGGCATCCATCAACAACAGCTTGCATAGAAATGAGGTCAGTCACGTGGTTTCATCATAAATATTATTAGTCTCAATTATACAAGTCTTAAGCGCTCAAGCTTTTTACTATACAAACATAGCCGACATTATCCAGTTTCGGGTGATGATTCATCTTTGTTTACTTGCATCACTTTCAAGAAAGTTATCCTAAAAGGTCTGCACGACCTAGCTCAGCAAAAAAAAAAAAAGTGTGACACGCATAAAATTCACCCTTCAGCGAATATCAATGACAACCTGTAAAATATAAGGTTTCATGTAACTTAAAAACTCTACTATTTTATGATATGATGAATTATTATTCATTATTACAATTTGTCACATTCTCAGAGATATCAGTGGATTTTTAAACTAGCTAAATGCAATGAAAATACGGAATTTTACTCAATGTGTACCACACCAATTCCTCAATAATAACCTTATGGATATTGCTAGTAGCAAATACAATCCTTTTACTTAAAATATTTTATTGGCAAATTTTACAATATTAGTAGACGTTTCTGACATGTAACATTTTTCAGCAAAAAGCCACTCTTGAAACTGAAAATCTGAAGCTTATTTTTATTTTAATAAAAGTAATTAAATAACTGTTACTCTGGAAAATGTATAAGAGGGTAACATCAAGACTACTTTTTGTCTAATTAATGCTCTCATCCTGAGAACTGTAGAATTGCATACTTTTCATCATGTACACAAATATCAACCTTGAACTGTTTCTTAAGTAGCTCTCTCACACTGACAATTTATATCTAGAGCACATCTCATCAGCAGGAAATAATACATCTGTGAAGATCATTATGAATTTGAAATATCATGCACTGATCAAATTTAACAACAGATATTCATGATACCAGTACACTGATTATCACCCAGGTTCAACCTTCAGGTTATTTTCATTCCTAAAGCATAAGCTTTAAAACCGAAAACTGTCAACTATAAATAATCTCTTACCAAAAACCAGAACATTACTCTCCAAAATAATTTAGTCATGTTGAAACTAATAAATTCATGAAAATATTTCCATTTCCTTGTTAGCACATGTAGAGCCATGATGGTTATTCTTGAACAAATCCTTCACTTGATGAGCTGGTAATTAATTAATTACAGTACAGCTTGTTGCTATGCGCTCTGGTAAAAAATCAATTTTCCAAGGTAGCTTCACATTATGTTATAACTAACTAGATAACAAGCTTGTATATTATATATTATATCTATAATGTGTACAACTAGAATATGAAACTGGGTCTATTTATTATACCCTATTCTAACTAGAATAGAAATGCAGACCAGCGTGGGTTTGTTTGCCAAGTAGTATTACCTCATGTTTACATCAATTATAATTACCCATATATTTTATTCTCTCTTACACTCTCATTTATCTTATCTGCATTTCTACCCTAAAGCTAATGTTTTCTAGGTTAAATTGTGTATAAATACACCCTGAAGCTACAGGCCTTAGTCAGTTTATCAGCATTATTATAACTTTAAAATCATAAAAACAAGCAAGAAATCTGTCATAAGAAAATATTCTTGATGATAACAAGTGCAATGCATTTTGGCACTTCACCAATTGATAAAATCAGACTCACTTGGAATGATTTTAAGATTGTAAACAAAGTTTAAAAATGGCACAGTATTATTAAACTCAAGGTCCCATATACATAATATTCAGGGTGATAAAACTAAAAGTGCAATACCGGTACATATTGGCACTCCAGCACTTGGAATAGTTTTAAGATTGTAAATTTCTTTAAAATGTTGTAAAACTCAAGGTCCTAATAATATTCAGGCACCCCACCGATTGATTAACAAACTCACTTATACCTTGCATAAATTTTTTTTTAAGTTTTAACTTGCACAATGTTATTATGTGAAAGAAAATTAGAGTCTTAGTAAACTACCTTTTTTCAAGACTTAACGCTTTCAAACCATGCAGCCACTTTACTGGCCACACATTTATGCAATATATACCCGAGCAGCTGGTAAACCGGCCATTACTTAGCGAAATCACACAACGTTAATGTCATACATTTTTACTTATATTACTTGAAGGTATGTGACGTTTTATTTTATTTACATTCATGTTCAAAGGGTGGATCATCATCAAAATTACAATTTTAACAATAGATTAAGCTTACATAATTAAAAATATGCTCAATTAATCTTTAAGTCAATTCAATGTGCACAGAAATCATGCAATAATAAAAACTTGCTTGATGTATTTAATGTCATATTATTCAAATGATTAACAGTAAGACTTGATATATTATTAGCATGATTTTAAACTGATATATCTGGTATAGATGAATCACACAATGAGCCTCGGTTCTCCTCAGGTATAAATTATTTCAAAGTTCAAATATTTAAGTTTAGATGAAGAAAATCTCTAATTTAATGTCAAATAGCCAAATCTCAGCATTTGTCAAAATACATTCAGCAACAACCAAGAATAATAAAGAAGATTGTTGAACCGAGACTGTAAGCTTAATCCTTCAAAATCCAAGAAAAAAAGTATTTTATCTCACCTCCAATGAGTTGACATCAACTCCAGCTTTAAACCCATTCCATTCTCTCCTCGACTCTTTACTCTTCAATATCAACAGGACAAGTGCTGTTGTAGAAACATCAACAGAACAATGGTCTTCAGCAATTTGACAATCTTCATCAAACTCGATGTATAGTGAATAATTCATTGGAAATCCGCCTGATCCCAAAGACAGAAACTTGAGATGTATGGAATAGGGAGTTGGGAAATCTGTGGTCAAACTGTCCCTTGATATATTTTTGACATTAATGACAAAATTTACTGTCTCTGTATCTTGAGTAAAAGAAAAGTCTGGTTTTTGATAAATAATACTGTTGCTTGGAATAATACTGACTAGTTTCTCTACATCTGTTGACATAGCATCCATTGAAAGTTCAGGAGATTTTTTATCAGAACTATCTTGATCTTCAGATGCAGGCAATACTTCTATTAATGGTTTGTTTTCTACAACTGAATCTTTCAACATGTCTGTCCCTTCTGATTCAATGTTGGAAGTTGTAAGTTCTTCATCTAATTTATCTGGTACCGGTATAACTGGCAAGGTGACAATCAATGAATGCTTTGTTTTATCAAACTTTGCACTGCCCTCTTCATCATTTACAGGATAAGGTAACATTATGTCCAGTTTATAAGCTGCAGGTTGCTTAGATTCTAGCACTAATCTTTTTTCAAAAATATCTAAATCAGCAGATGCAGCAGACTTCAATAGTGGCAGCTGAATTGTTACAACCAACTCTTTAGGACGTGTGGACTTTTTATTAGCCTGATTATTTGTGTACTCTTGCAAATCTAGCTCAGATCTATGGATTATAGAATATTTTGGAACAGTTGGTCCTGATACCTTGGTTTCAGAAGACTCTGAGTTCCTCTTATTCTTTTCTTCAACTATCTTATTTTCAGACACTTTCTTTGGTGCTACTTTATCTTCATAAGGATTTGGGAGCTTTTTCAAAAATTCATTTTCAGTGTTTGGCGTTCCATTCTGAGATTTGGTGCGAATTACAGTTGCTGTTGGAGTTCCTTTAAATTTCATATTCGGCCTTTTCAAATTTTTGCGATCCAACTTGGCAGCAAATTGCTTTTCAATTCCATCTAATGCTGTATCTTCAACTAACTTCTTAAATCTTTGATTCGACTCTGCCATTCTGTAAGTGTCTGGATGAAATACAACATCATAAACTTGACATTTCTGACCATTTTTATCCAGATCTTCACGAGGTGGTGCAAATGAATGAGGAAGGTACCACATGAGTCCATTCTTACCCGATTCTTTTTCCCGTTTACCTGATGGTTTGTCTATTTTATCACTTTGGCAAATATTTATAAAAGCTTTCTGCTCTCCGTTTAGACTTGTCTTTAACACATAACCGGGTGTCGGGTTGACAAACGTGATGTCCATTCCACGCTCATTCTCTAATCTACTCAACTCTTCTTCATACAAACGTCTATTTTCTGGATCAGATAATTCTTCTGCATATTCAACAAACAATTTCCGGAATTTCTCATCTTTCATGGCATCTGAAATTCTCTTAATTTCATCGCCAGAAAGATTAAGACCTTCTAAAGATTCCGACATGATTATGATTTGTTTTGATCTGCACCATAGATTCAACTGCGCATGTAGACGATAAACAACCGGTAAAGGGACGCAACTCCCTTTAATAATAGCTTGTCATTGGTGATAACAAGATTTTACCTAAGCCAATTAACCTTTTAGTCCGCAGGTCTCGACATGATCAGTTACCATGTCATTTATAAACAGAACGTTCTAGATCAGATTTATTTTTCATTAATCAAAAGTAGGTGACCACTGGCCTATTCATTGTATTATTAAAGTATCAAACCATTAATATATAAGATCTTTTCATAAAATTCCAGTTGATCCACTAGGCCTCAAATGGGTAAGGATAATCCGGGAAAGATCAATACCAAGGAGTTTGGCCTAAGGTCAGCTATATGACAGGATCTCGTTAACCTTGTAAAAAAAATTGTTCTTTTTATAAGATGTAGATAAAAAAAAGTCACAATCAGCAAAATTCACTTTAATTAAAAGAGCATTTCTTATCTACTTAATTAAAATCTGATACTAAAAGATACATCTTTAAAATGTAAGATACCAACTATGTTAAATTGTCAATGTACAGAGTACACTTGGGCTATTCTCTGGCCATTTTTGTTTTTGACTTTTAATTTGGAAATTATTCAAATATGTTCCTTGAGTGGCATTTCGTTTTTGTCAAGCAATGATGATGCTTTTATCTCTGTCAAGCAATGATGATGCTTTCGTCTTGATCAAGCAATGCTTGACAAACACATAAGCATCATCATTGCTTGACAAAGACAAAAGCATCATCCTCGAAATGTCGCAAGTTATTTATTAAAGTAATTGTTAATTGAGTCCAGTTATTCATACATGAAATTTTAACATGATAATGACGTCTTAAAACTGCAACAAACAAAGAGAATTGCAGTAGATGGTTGTATATTAAAATGTAATATGAATAAAAACACATATCGATAAATATCTAAGGACATTCTGAGGTAAATTGAAGTTTCCTTTATTTTTCTCACTAAAAAAAAAACATTAATTTATTTTGACAACCATAAGTAGTGAATCTGATTTAATTTAGCAATAAAAGCCTTGGAGAAGTTAATGCTGCAAATGACTGGAAGACAATGGATGATGAAAAATTTTGGTCTTTTAGCAGGGTAAATCTTGGGAATATGGGACATTTGGTTAATAAAAATACACATGAAAATGTGAGTTCCGATACTTATATGGGTTCATACTTAAGAAAACCGGCATGCTGTTACAACATAATAACATTTCAATTTGAACCACAGTATCGACGACTTCAGAATTGAATTATGACGTAACATGGAGTAAATTGTAATCTTTAATACAGCTATAAAACTTGTTATTGCACAATAGGCTTGTAGATATTGATCATGTATTAAGCTTCTGGAATCTGATAAAAAAAAATGGATCTTTTTTATCATGAAATGAAAATCTTCAATTCAATTAATATCATTCATTAAGTCATAGCTAATTAATCAGTAAAAAATATACAACCCTAATTTTATCAATAAAAGAGCTAATGAGAGTCTTCTGTTTCTGTAATAAAGACAGTGTCTGTATGTGTATGTTTAAAAGAGTTCACAGTAAAAAATATACAACCCTAATTTTATCAATAAAAGAGCTAATGAGAGTCTTCTGTTTCTGTAATAAAGACAGTGTCTGTATGTGTATGTTTAAAAGAGTTCACAGAGTTAGTATCTTTAACACTGGTTTCTTTCTTGATGTCACACTTCTTATCATCTTCCACAGAATTTCCTATTCTAATACTCATAGATTCTATCTCCTTGATATCTTGAGTCATTTTCTATGAAATAAATAAAGTAATGATAGAGTTATGTGGACAATAAACAATAGTACTATCATGATTAATATTATAATTGTATAAAAATATATATGTATATATAGGCTATACATGTATAGAATTACAGATCTAAAAATCAAAGAAAAGACTGCCAGAGTGACCTTGTCATCCTCTATTGCAGCCTCTGATAGCTATTGTAAAGTTGTCAGCTGTTTTAGAAAAAATACATCCTGTTTTTTGGGATTATCCTGATATCATACAATCTGTCCAATATTTCAGAATAATTAAGGAATGTTTTCCATGTATGTTCCATAACACTTCACAACTAGACGAGTTGGAAAATATGAAGAAATATAATCAACCTTACCTCAGCCTCATCCATAAACATCTGAGTTTTACTATTCATTTCTTTTAACTTTTCTCTCATTGATTTTAACTTAGATTTAGTCATATAATGTCTTTCTTTTATATCATCACAAACTACAAATTTATCAAGAAAATAAACAATTTAAGTATTTTGCCTGTTGTATCACTAAAATAGTCTTATAATTATTTACTTCAACAAACAACTGAAAGGAAAATTAAGGTTTTGGTCATTTAAAATTAAAGATGGGTTCCCTAATTTTCATTTATGAAAATGAAAATGCCAAATACTTATATGAATAGAAAGTAGAGGTGTTCTAATAACATGGAAAAATACCAGTTTGCCACACATGTCCATAATTAATTCATAATTAGCTAAATAACAAGAAAATTACCAGCAGAATTCCAATGAGTTACTGATCAAGAAAGGTTTTTTGTTTATCAAAACTGTACATACATGGACATTTCTGATTGGTTAAAACTTTTAATCATATGCAATAAGAACATAATAATATGATTAAGAATACATAACAATTCATTAGAAACAACAAATAATCAAATAGTTAGTTTAATTTTATACGGTACTAAGAAATAATAAATTCCTATTTATGTACATACCGTTTTCATCATCAACATTTTCGTCATTTTCACCTTCATGATGGCTAAAATTAAATTAAATAACAATATATACTATTTAGATATATTAGGTGAAAACAGCAAATTTACAATCTCAATAGTTATATTTTACTATATTTGAATTGAGTTGTACGTTTTGTCTATAATTAATTTTATAACAACAACAACAATTTTTGGTTTTTCTCAAATAAGAATACCCACCTCTGCTTATTTTCACTTTCACTAACTTTTTCTGAATCTGTCATAAAAATAAATAGAAATGTATTATTAAAAAATGAATATCCAGTCTTTTTTCTTTTTCAAACATCAATTTATTAACTGTTTTTTATATATTAGCAAAGTTCTTGAAAACAATAGAAATCTAGTCTTTTAAATCTCTTATGTATCAACAAACCTTTATTTACTTCTACACTTTTTTCTACCAGAGACTTCATATATTCCAACTTTTCCTGAAATGCAGAATATCAAGATATACTTAATTTGCTGTCTACTACAGAGTCAACTGCACAGTAATGTGGAAATATTAATTTTGAAAAGCCTTGACCAGTTCTCTCACTGTGAGACATCATTATTTTTGGATATGAACTTTTTACTATCAATATAATAAGCTTACCTCTGCATCTTTAACAGTTCCTTCTAAAATAGCTTTCATTCTTTTGTGGTCCTCTTCTAATTTGAGTATACTTTTGGCTATGGGTTCATCTGATTTAATTGATCTACAACATAAACAAAATACTATCAGTAACTAATAGAAATATTTCCATCAAGCGAAGTCACATCAAGACAGGTCTTTAAATCATAATATTTTAATTAGCAACTGGATGTTATAATGTCATGCCTGTTATTAAGAATAAGGATAGGAAACCTATTATTTAGTACAAGCTAAATTAGTGTAACATGTAACTAAAGTAAAGTTGTATTTCTTTCTCTCTTACTCTAGAACTTTACATCTTTATTTATGATTTGACATTATAGTTATAGGCCTATTTGGCAATTGTTGACAATTTTCACATAATAATTTGGCCATGGTAATTTGGCTCTCCATTCGGGATCTAAGGAGATGATCAACATTATATGAAGCAATTCCTCACCCATGTTTATTGCTGTCACTGCTTTTCCCTTTCTGTTTATTGACTTTAATTTGCCCATTCGATTTGGTTGAACTCTGTGCTAATGGATTCAAAGGTGTTTTACGAGGAATCCCCGAGTTATTCGGCTTCGATGAACTCATAACGAATCACCTGACTTAAAACTGCTCACAAACTACCGTTAATTGTCCCGATTTTTAGTTAAAATTCATGAAAACTTTAAATTCCGCGCACTTGTTGGCGGTCTCCAACGAAGCTCTTTGATTCTACTTCCGCTTCCAGCCAGATGGCGCCACAGTCGTTTGTTTACAATGGAAACCCCCCTTTGAACTGTCTGTAACAAAGTTCTACACTGTGTTAAATTCTGAAAATAATGGCTTGTAGTGATGAATATCTGTGATAATGTTTAGTATGTTATTGCACTGACCTACAAATTATTTAAAGAGGCCAGTATGAGTTCACAATCGATTCAATTAGTTGGAGAAAACTTGGACGAAAATGATATCAAACCAGTGTGTGCCTTATTGTTGAAAAATCTTATAAAGGTTTTGTCTTTGAGAGATTGTGAATTTTCAGATAAAGATTTTAAGAAATTAATGAAATCAGTGGGAAAGACAAAATCACTTCTGCAGCTTGCTTTGAATATTGGAATAGTTAACAGTGAATTTAGAATTCAACTGTTAGCTCAAGCACTGGCAAAGAATCATTCAATAACAGGAATATTGTAAGTAAAGATAGCCATCAGGACAGTAGGACAGTTCTGCCATCAAAAGCCAATTTTTCTATGATAATAAATATATAATAGGGAATTTTGCAATAAATGATGCTGATTTTGCATTATTGTAAGCCAATATAGGTAATCTGAGAAGGGCACCCTGATTTTGGAAATCAAAGATTACAGTAGTAATTATAGTAGTCAGTCCACTCTTATCTAATGTTGGCAACACTTTACTCTGTGGCATTTGAAACAATATTTTAAACAATATATAGAATACTAAGATATATCTACATTTAATAGAGCAAAAAATTATATGCAAACCATAACTATCATAATCGTAGAACTCAAATGTAAAGAAAATTAAAGCTTTATGGGTCTATTTCTTACACCTATAACACTCCAAATGAACTCTTGTTATCTGCATGGACACATAATTCTTAAAATAGTTTAATAAAGCAAAGTATATTAGACACTCCTACCCCCTTCATACACATCAAGTAATTATCAATTCATAAACATTAAAACATACCTAGTCTATTGCATCTATTAAACATATTGCTATTTTCCAGTATTCATGGTAGCAATATTGGTGATGAAGGGATCAAGATATTGTATAAAAGTATAATAAAGAATGCTACATTAGAAACATTAGATATTGGAGATTGTCAACTAACAGATGTTTCTATACCATTAATCTGTGAATTATTGACACCTTCCTCTGACTGGCCAGGTAAGTTCATTCTTGATCATAAAAATCTGTACATCCAAAGAATTGCAAAATCAAGAACATCTATTTTTCTAAGATCTTTCAATAATAAATCTATTGTTAGCGATTTCTGCTTATATATGAATATATAAATGTATAATGTGCATGCATTTGTTGTTATTTCAGGTTTACAAGATCTATCATTGAGTGCAAATCCAGGAATTAGTAAAACTGGATGGATGGAATTTAGTTTGGCTTTAGCTGCATCAACATTAAGGTAAGTTTAAAGGTTGCTGACCCTTTTCAATTTTAGTTTCACAGCACTGTTTCACTACTTTTTAACCCTTCATCAGTGTGTTTCCCATTTCATGTCAAATCTAGCAACAGTTGTTTCACGCTATTCAAGAACGCAGAAGATCGATTTCCTTAGAGGGGAAGTATGCACCAGCTTCAAAATAACAAGAGCTGTGTTGAAAATCTATTTTGTGCACAGGCTGATCAATTTCTATAACATTGTAAAGTCATTAATATTTTGTCAATGTCACTAGAGAATATTCCTTGCTTTATGAACTTCAGTTTCTTTTAACTTTTTCCGCGGCAGTCAATATTTGTTTACCAAAACATTCAGTTTTAATGTTTATTATTTTGTTATTTTTTGCTACAAGTATGATATATTCATTTAGCGATGTAATTCTGTGCACACTGCCACTTTAATTGACTTCAGAGGAAATTTATATGTAAATGACAGTATAACACCAAGAGCTATGAATTTTTATAATATCAAATGGCAACCAATCTTGAAAATAATAACAGATATTCAACATCCTTTGATGAGTGAAAAGATTGCTATTGCTTACCACAAGCATTGTTTTTTTACAGAACGTTATATTTAGATTATAATAAACTAGGAGATGAGATAGCAAGTTGTATTATTATAGCAGTTGCTGGTTGTGGAACACTTGAGATATTAGATCTAGAAGGGACTGGGGTTACTCAGAAAACTGCCACAGTAAGTATAATATATACCATATATATATCTAAATATATATATAAGCAACATTTAGAGGTAAAGATCACATTAAATAGCTGAAAGCAATTTATGGTATGCTAGTCCTAAATTTTCATCTGATGATGAGAATGTAAATTATTAAAACTTTCAGTGTAGTTTACCATAAAATTGTGCTCGCAATTTGTAGTATTTTGTTTCTAGGTTTGTATGTTCTTAATCCCATATCACAAATATGATTGGTTAGAAAATATAAAGTCTTTCTTCAATCATCTCTAATACAGGTTTGATGTAATTTTCCTTTCAGTTAGTGTTGAAATATGTAGAGAGTTATACAGTAAAATTAAAGAAAGTTTCATTTAGTGGAAATAAAGTCCAGAAAGCGACTGTAGAAGCTATTAAATATCATCTAATTCCAGTGACTGATGAAGATACAGAAGGTAGTGATGCTGATTTATTATCGATTACCACAAGAAGCAGTGTGGGTGAACCAAGACAGAAGGAGGTGAAGGTCATTACATCATCAGGTGAAGCAGAGAGTGGAAATGAAAGTGATAAAACTATTCAAGATTATTCTCTACATAGTGAAATAGTGGAACAAATAGACTTTAAAAAAGCTATGACTCATCAGAATGAAAAATTTAACAAAAACAGTTCAAAAGATGTAAATGAGTTAACCATCCATTCGAGCCCAGGTGACCTTTATCCTGATGAATATGTTGAAGAATTAAATGAAGTTCCTACTTACTATACAGGAATACCTGTAACATTTTAGATATTTATTATACTTTTATGAATCTTTTAACATTAACACATTGCCATTTTTTAAAACTTTCTTTTGAAACTTTCTAGTCTGCTACCATATTGCTGTGTTATCCAATTTGATAGATTAGTCACACAGATGTCATTTCACTTGTCTATTCCTTCCACCATTGACACAGTGAGTCGCTTTCCAGCTAGCCTGATGGCCCAGGGTTCAATCCCAGTATAGGTTGAGATAGTACCTTCAGAATTTTCGTTTTATTTTTTGGAATCTTTAGAAAACAGGAGATATATTTCTCTACAATTAGGCGTTTAATTTACTGTACAGTAGTTTTCTAACAGCTTGAAAAAATGTTAAAAACCTTTAACGTAGAGGGGTTTTGGTGTTTAAAAATGAACGGCTGAATTTTTTTAGTTAAAACTTTCAGATATGTTATGAGATACATTTCTATAGATTTTGGTTTATAGTTTCACATAGTTGAGCAAAAATATTTTCAACCTACAAAAAAGCAGAATGTCCCTTTAAGCTTAATGTAAGTGTACTCATTTGCATTTATTCATCTGTCCTATTTCAAGTGTACTTTTGTGCCAAAATTGCTCAATAATTTGCTTATTATATTATATATGTTGATTTTCATTGTTTTTATTAATCAATTTTTCTTCATTAGTTAATTGTTATTCTGTGGGATAAAATATAAGGATAAAAAACACTGTTATAGAATTAATATGTTGTTGTTTGTTACCTCAAGTCACTTAGTTTCCCGTAACGGATGCTTACTTTTCTAATCATCACATCTTAAATGCTATAATTCTTTGCCAGAAGAAAGCGAATCTATTTCACTGCTATCTGGAGAAGTTTTGCTCAACTATTAGTAAAGTTTTAAAATCATTCTATTAAAGTCTATGTACTTGATTTCTGTATCATGTAGCCATGTGAAGATGGTGTTAAAACAGAAGAGGATATAGTATAATGCTAAAACATTAAAGACAATAGTATGTAAGGACAGTCTATTCTCTCTGAATACGGACATCCATTTTGGCACGATGTGCATCAAACTTGTGTCTTCAAATTCAACTGATATCCAAGATATTCCCAAGAATTGAACCACAAAATTATGTTTATCAGATTTTAGTTTCAATTTTTTACAGAAATGAAAAATAAACAAAGGAAACAATTTCAGACAGACCTGATTCTACCACTGCTAATGATTTTACTGAGAACCAAGGAATTCATCAATAGGTGTAGAAGTCAGTTACACAAAGGAATTGATATAGCAGGTTGACATTCAATATTTAACATTTAACAAATAAAATTCATTAAAACAAACTTTTGAGCAAATAAGCAATTCTCAGAATGGTCAATTTGAGTAGTTATCTTATGCTCAAAATGTAACAGATATTATTGGTCAAAGTGAATTATGACTAGGAACCACAGTGGGGTTATTACCAGCCTCTTCAAAATTGACCAGAAAAATATAGAATTAACCATTCTCAATGGTACATAATTATTTAAACATTTCAAGACAATGTGAAATGACTTCTTTATAATATTATTATTAAATAGGTTTGTATGTAACAAATTAGTCATTCTTCTGGTTATTCAAAAGCACTTGTCCACTCTAAGTAAATATCATACAGATTATGTTTTTATTTCTACTACAAGCTACAGATGAGAAACAAAATGATACACAAAGCAGAAACTTAACTTTCAATAATAGATGTTACAGTATGCAGTATTACACGGCCAACCACAATAACAAATTTACAGAGAAAATAATAAATTTCTAGTTATGCTAGTTATCTCACATGTGAGCATAACTTACCTCTTTCGAAAACCCAACAAAACTACTTATAAAATAAATATAGAAAAAATAACTAGGACAAAAGATATTGTGAATTAATATTTGTAATTTAATTTTCGTGGTGTCATGAATTTTTTCACGTCTGCATCAGTGATTTTAGCTTTCCTTTCTTGATGTTCACCTACTAATTTCTGTAAAACTGTTATCAGCTCTTTCTTTAGATGTCCAGTCAGTAGTTCTCCACTTGTATAATCCTAAAATATAGCAAATAATTGAATTTTACATGCAGTTTCAATAGGGTGAAAAGATGAGAAATGTCATTTAGTGTGCAATTAAGAACATTTTGACAAGCCAATTAGCAAAATTTTCTGTGCAATCAGAGGAACATAGGTGACATGGTTCTTTTCATGAAATCCTATGACAAGATCACTACTTGTTAACAATTTTTTTAATACTATTTTATCATGAAAATGGCAATTATTTCAGTGCTTTCTGCAGTATAAGTATAAGGAATTCATTGACCAACCTTTCTCAATTGTTCCAGTTTAGCATCATCATCCATGAAGAAGCGTAAATATTGATAGGATACATCAACTTCACAGTCACCTCCCTTTTCTTTATGTTCTTCTACTGTAGCCTGGCCACCAGAATAGGCGTATTTATTAATCTGTTGGAAGTAATAATCATTAACATTATTTAATAACAACTGATTTTGAGGTATTTTCAATTAGGATTCAATCAATTTCTGGTGACTAAGCTTCAGAAGCTGTTACACATTGTCATTTTGTTCTTATGCTTCTGTAATTAAAAGAGAAAATTCAATGATCTTACCTTATCTTTTATATCTTTCTGTGAATCTGTTAAAAATATAGAAGATGTAGGTTCACTGGAACTCATTTTACTTTGGGCGCCTTGTAACGCCGGGAAAAACACTGAATGCAGTAATGCTGGTTTCAGGAACTGTAGTCTTGGTGCTACATCTCTGGTCATTCGGAAATATGGATCCTGGAATATAATATACATACTGTAATGTCTAAACCTTACTATCAACATAGCTTTGAGTACTTAAAATCTCTTATAGATTATGCTAGATATAACACCTGAATGTGCTGAAAGGTTTTAAGAGATGTGTTTCACCTTATCAAAGGCACAAAGCTGATGTAATTTACATACTGTAATGTCAGAGCCTTAACCACTAAAATAATATAACAGTGATCCATTATGTACAAAGGTACATTATACTAGTTATAACACCTGAAAGTGCTCAATTGAGTAAATTGTCTCACCTGATCAATGGCACAAGGAATCAGACATGGAACTTTTGTATGGCCACCAAATATCAGTGGGAAAGAAGAACTGAAACTAGGTGCAGCTTGAATGGCAGGGAAACCCACTTTACCAATACATGTACTGTCATCAAAACCAAATATACCCTTCACTTGATTAAAGGTGACTAATTTCTGAATACGACAAATATTTTTATAGAAATCTGTACAGCCACTGAAATATATTGAGAAACATATTTTAAACAATTTGAGCTCTATGGTTACAAGAACATCCGATCTTGATAAGTACAGATATGAGAAACGAAAAGATTATTGGCAATATTTGTGAGGAAGAAGTGGGGAATGAGGAAAAAATTGGCAGAGGGAGATTATGACAGTCAACCAGCCTATCATAACAAATTGAGGAAAATTACATGGAACAAGGATCATATGGGAAAAAGATTCATTTATTTATTTATCTATTTAAATTGAAGTATTTATTTTCTCTAACAATCATTTGGAATACTCATGAGCAAATTATTCTTACCCAACATAATCAAAGTCACTAAATATAAAAGTTTTATCAAGATCAAATCCACAGGCAATGATATCTTTAGCATTTTCATAAGCTAATTTATGAGTCTCTTCAGCTGTAAGATCTTTCCACAAAAATTTCTCGTCATCAGTCAACTGTATAACCAAAGGTACATCAAAAGTTTCCTGTAACCATCTACAATAAATCATAATAAGCATTGAGAACTAAACAAATTATTTCTAAATAAAAAACTATTATTTTCGACATGTTTTTCATATAAAGAATTCTGGAATTGGGCAAAAGCTGAATAGAAGAAAATCGTTCAGATTAGCGGTATCCAAAATTTTTCATGCAAAAAAGTTTAGAACAAAAACCTTGAGCATTTATTCATATCTACTGGTCATATCAATTTAAAATTGTTTCTATATAAACGCCTGAATGTGCCTCTTGAAAGTAATATAAGTCATATCTGAAAGTCATGACCAAATTCTGCTGCTTCTGCAGTAAGAGATCTTACATGTATAATAATTACCTATACAAACATGATCGGAATATCACAGGTAGACTGTATTAATCTAAATTGATGTAAGTCTATTATAGAGTATAGTAAAACTCACCTGGTACATATAAATGGCACTAAATGTCCAAGATGCATGGCATCGGATGATGGTCCTCTTCCAGTATACAGATAAAATGGTTGTTTCTTTTCATACAGATCCAATATATGGTGCATTTCTCTACAAAAAGAAAACTGATACATGAGACTGGATTTTTTGTGACAATAATTTCAAAGTACTTATTAGACATATATATACATGTATTTTTTAGATATCATGATACATGACATACTGACGTAACGAAATACTGTTTCATTTTAAGATCCAACTTTCTGCCACATACTTCATTCAGCTAGTTGTAGCTGCTGGTTGCCAGTCAATTTGTTGAGAAGAGCATTCCCTCCGACTGATCAGATGAATCACCAGGTGAGTTGAAGTTAAAGGAGAGAAACAAAAAATGATCAGTACCTATGAGAAAAAAATATTCCTCTTCTGATGAAATGGTGAACAGGTTTTCCTGTTACTCTCTCCATTCTCTTTATCAACTCTTCATCAATTTTCATACTACCAAATTTTTCTACAATAAAAGTATTTTTATTTAGTTAAAGGGCCAGATGAACCATTTTGGGGGCTGATTTGAGGCTTGAATATATATATATAACAAGTCTTCAGAAGAACTAGAAATATATGAAAATCGAAATATTCCTTCAAAAATATCTCAAATTAAGAATTTATTTTCTTATTTATATAAATGTTTTTTCTATGTATGACAGAGTCTCATAAAAAGATTTTAACTTTCAAACAAGGATAATTCTGGACACACATGGATTTGAAGGCTTAAATTTAGAAGGTGAGCTGATTGGCTTAGTTAAGACTAAAGTATGGCGCATCTGTTCCTTTAAGAGAAAACAACAATATCTTTGATTTTGATTCTGAAAAGTGAACTCTTATAAAACTTGATCAACTAATGAAGTGCATAGTTAGATGATTTTAACCTTTTTAATTCTGTGAAGAAAAATTTAAAGACATCTCTAATCAACCAAAATTGCAGTCAACTATGCTTATGAGACCTAACTGGTATGCATTTACATACATATAAACCACAAATATTTCAAAGTTTGACAAAAACTGTAATTTCTAGTGGATTTGCAAGCTGATTCAGACATAATTTCATTTTTTGCTAAGGCCCCCACAAAACATTATCAAAATCAAACAACAACAAAAAGAAACCTAGACACAAACAGTTCCCAAAAAATCTGAGGAAAAAAACAATTCTCAGAAAAAAATTCCATGTTTGGAGTTCTAGAGAATTCCAAGAAATTATACTAGACTGAAATAATTCCCAGAGAAAGAAATTCCAAGTTGCCTGATTTCTGGAGAATTCTTTGGAATTTTTAAATAAAAATTCCCTGGAAATACAAAATTGTTACAGACATGCCAAATTTACAGAGAATTTGTCCTATAGAATTAAATATTAATTCTCCAAAAATGAAATTCCAAACTTTCACATTTCGGGAGCATATTGTTCAACATAATTCATATATGATAGACTGTCTATCATTCTTGGACTAGTGCCAATAAGACAGTCCAGTGGAATAGCTCAGTCGGTAGTGAGTAGGATTGTAGATTAGGTGCAATGGGTTCACATCCTCCTAAGTTAAGAAAAATCTGATGCCTGTGCCAGTGCTTTCGAGAATTTGCCTGGTGTTGGCTCTCACCCCCCAATTCATATTCATAATTGACCTATAGTTATTGTGTTGACATAAAAATATAGTTTCAAAAACTTAAAGGGGAATCTTCTGCAGCAACATCACCTAAATTTTCATGGTTATCAAACCTTAACCAGAGCATCAAGTAAAATTTACATTATCCAATTTTGAAGATCTTTTTTTTAGTTTCAAAGAAATTAAAGAATAAATAAATAAAAGAAGATTTTACAGACATTTCCTATAAAATTAACCTTTTCCTATAAATGAAAAAAAAAGAAACTACAAGACCCTGTGAGCTATAAATTGTGCACATCAAAGATCCCTCAACATGTTGAAAGTCTGAAAAGAGATAGCACTTTCCACTGTACTGGCAAAACTACCCTGATTGTTCACAGACACTGAATGGCATAGTCAGAAAAAAATTTCTGTCTGACATTATATGAATCTTGACAGGTTGAATAAAATATAAACTATTTCCAACAAGCTTACCTATTAACTTATTGTAATCAACTCCCTTGTCCGAGGAACTCTTAACAGTCCAGGGATCAACAATATCCTCCTCAGGATGAATAATAATATCTTGTTCAGCCATGATGATACCTTGTCTCTATCAGATCTCTATTGGAAATGAAATGGGCTCAAGCTTGCATCATCTTTTATAAGAGTAAACATTTTCTGGAAAAACCTCATTCCCCGGGAAACAGTAATACCACTGCTAATCTAAACTGTAGTTAATAGAGGATTCTGTCCAATGAAATTTCAACAGCTTCTAGGTTAAAGGTGATTGCAAATCAATCAACTTTACCTCCAAGGAAAGAAATTTCATTTCTGGGAAATTTTACTTTCAGATGTCATGACCTTCAGTATATAGTGAATGCAATTGTTTGACAGAGGTAGCAGTTCCAGGTATTTCCATCAGCATAGGGAATCACTCTGTTACCTCTCTGTTTTAAGACAAGACTTTTTTTTCTGTTTATCAAATATTGATCAAAAAATGAGAAAGGATGGAATAAGACACAGGTAGACACAGATCTGATTTAGTACACAATCTCATTCAAAAACATTCATTGTAATAAACACCATAACAATTTGAGATAGATTTAACAACACAACAGACATGAGTGGAAAGGGGGAGGGGGGATTTCAAATCCTCATAAATGGCTAATTATTGGAAAATAATGTGACAGGTTATATATTTAACCGAAATATAAAACGGATATTTGGGGTGTTTGCAGGTTGAGAGATATAATGGATATGCATTTTGCTGAATATTATGTAAATATCTATAACCTTGAGTTACAAGTCCTTAGTAATCAGTTTTTAAATCAATATTGACAAAAACAAATGACTCACGAGTCAAATTATGACAAAATCTCTGGGAAATATCAGTGTTGCATCATTTTCTGGGAAATTTATTTTCACTTTCATTCCACAAATTGTCATGATGTTCCATTGTAAAATTACATCATTTATAAAATTAATTATTGAAGGTAGTTTTTATAAAGCTCATGTCAGGCAAAGTAAAATATGCCCACATCGGATATCAGAAATTATTCAATATTGTTTAAGCCAAGTCAAAAGCAATAACAGCTAAACTACATGTATATGTATGAAAACAATCTGTTATCCAAATTATCTGGATTATCACTCATATATCATATCATCTACAATGTAAATGTAGTTGATAATAAAAATACCATGCATAAATTGTATAATAAAAGTGTATCTATCATTTTAATTTATGTTGAGCAGCTGTGATGGGTTTGATACAACTTTTTATTATGAAATACTTACTCACTTACGATTCATATACCGGTACTATCTCATGTAAAAAGTTCATTAGCTGCTACCAATGTTTTCCCCAATTGATGATTTGAATTTCAGGTTACGTTTTGCTCTTCAGATCGTTAGTAGGACTACTTGGATTATTTATTTCATATATCACCCTATTTGATTATAACCTTGGTTGGGGCCAGAGATTGCATTGGCTATAACAGTCCTTAACCCTTTTGTCTGCTGTGTAGGTAGACAGATTTGGGGGCTACTGCTTGTTAATTTGTTTCTTAATGATCTTGTTTTAAAACCATAAAACTAAAAAAAAGCTCAAAATATCTTACCCTAAAAGAAATAAAAGTAGGACTGCTTTAAGGGAATTTTCCAAAAATTTATTTTATTCGTGTAGATTATTTTTTGCATCACTTAAAAAGAATTAACAACTCTCTCAATTCAAAACTTTGCTCCCCCTAGGAAGGGGGCATGGCCTTTACAAGAAAAAATGAAAAATTCATTCTAGACTAGCCTACTTGTAACTGCCAAAATCGCGTTAGATGTATAATTGCCTTTCTAGATTAGAAAATTTTTACCCCCACAATGACTAGTGCAAACTAAAATCCGAGCCAAAGTGCTCCGACGACCATCCCCCCCCTCCCTAAATGGAATCCTGCCTACTCCACTGAAACAGATACTTATTGTATAAGTTTACAGTTCCTACTTGATACTTACTGATTAGTTTGTCATAATCAACACCCTTTTTAGAGGAGCTCGTAACTGCCCATGGATTGACAACATCGTCAGATTGATTATTGCTTTGATTTTCATTTGAGATACCAGTTTCATTGCTTTGAGACATCTTCTAAGATTTGTATACACAATCCTCAAGTCCAATTACTAAACTTCATTAAAAATCTGTCAACAAATTGTGAGTGTTGATCCACTTTATTTACTATTTACAGCACGTGTTGCATCAGAATGTATCGTTGATTTCATTGGTCGAAATCTGAGCGTAAATGTAAGATCGATTGCTATTGGCTGAAACATTGAATGATTTCAAGATGTCTGCGCCCATATGTCAACATTTCGTCTAAAACTTTGAAACAATAACAGAGATTTCTCATGGTTTCATCACTGAAATGTTGTCATATCTCGACAGATTCAAAACCCAGAAAATACAAATCTCTGTGACAGACAAGCTAGAAGATGTATAGATATTTATGATTGATACATATTCTTTCTTTAAAATTAGAATTATACGGTATGGAGGCCCATCACTGCCATACTGCCATTAGCTAAAACGGTTTCCTGTATTTTGGGGAATAGTTTTCATTTTAAATGGTTGTTCCTGTATGTGTTATCCACACAATTTGACTTGATTATTAAGTAGGATTTTTATCTTAGACACACTGAAATAGAGCAATCAATTAAAAATCAAAGCGAAATATTTAAAAATAAATCCAGTACAACAATAATGAAATTGTAAGGTTATTCCATAATCATCACATTCTTTACAAAATTTATTATTTTTTAGGTCGAAACCTAGACCTAAATACAAAATTTCATATTATTTATTTATTTGGTAGTCTGTCTCTAAAATGTTTTATTTAGAGTCAATAAATGTGTTTCCACTGAGGGAAAAGGCCGGCTTTAAGCTAGCGTAAGGCTAGCTTTCGTGTTTCCACTGGGCAAATTGTCGAACCGATACGGTTCGGGAACCGAAAACCTCTCTTTTTGCGTTCTCCTTTTTTAAAAGTAGGCCGAACTCTATGAAGAAAAGGTACCCGATCCAGGAAACCTCAAATTTCATTTACTTAAATTCACATGAGAAATTTCCCGTACAAACACAATGTAGGAGAAACTAAAACTAAATATCGATTATACCTATAACATCACTGGCCCGACTTGACTTTGCAGTCCACAGAGTGATATGTATTCCTCCAGTAACTGAAGTTAAGCATAGATTGAGAGCAAGGCTACGAAAGGGGCTAAGGCGATTTTAAAGTAGCTTTCTTGGTTGTTTCGTCGTTGATAGCCTACTGCTGTGAATGACCTAGTCCGAAACATCTGCCTCTATTCCAGCCTCTTATGGATATTTTAACAGATATCAGCTGGAGTCGCGCACATCTGTCCAAATAGCTAGCAGGGGGAGGGGGGGGGGGGGAGGGGAGGGGCAGTGGCATACGCATTCGATAGCAGAGTATAGCGGCACGAGAACGTTTCAGTTGAGCTGGTGACACTGTATCTTTATAGCTCTCAGAAATATTATAGAAAGATTATTACTGAATTTTCCAGTCATCCAGCGGGTGCCCACGACCTCGGAGAAAACTAATTTCTGAAAGTTCAGAGTAAAATACCGGCAAGGGTCGGGATAAGTTTCGATGAAACAATAAACCGAGGCACCGCGGCTGTCAACTATATACTTGTAGATGGAAATTTAGGTTGTAACATTGCGGTTAAGCAATTTTACGAAAGCACAGGCATGTAGGCGTAACCTCTAGTGATAGAGCAATGTTTGTGAAGTTAGTTTAAAAGAATGATATAGAATATTTGAAATGCAAATTCATTATCTTCCGAATCTGAAATATGTAAGAAGAACACTGGTTCCTACAGGAACATTAATAACCATGGAAATCATAATAAACATTTTTACTGGTGAAACTGAGGAATTGTCCTATATTAAATGAAAAGAAAAATGCGTATTTCATATAAAAAAATATATATAATTTATTAAGTGAAAATAGTATACATGTATGATATTTTTGCGAGGAAACTCTTCAATTGTAAGTTATCATAAATATTAATTAAAGGAAATGTACTAAATCTATGGAAGGGGGATGGGGGGGTAATCTACCACGGACTAAGATATCATTTAGATTTTTATTACGGGTATAGGCGATAACTAAATAATTTGTAAAGACTGTTGGAAATTTTTCCTGCAATTCTTTGTAAAGACGGATAATTATTCGGGGAACTTGACCAGCTGTGTTGTTGTATTGAATAACAAAAGGTATCATTTGGAAATCAACTTGGATGTTCATTCCTAAAGGATGCATGGTTTGTAATTTGTTTATCCAATAATTTTCGCGAATGAGTCAATTTTCTTTGTATCAATGCCAGGTTGTTCGTATATCTGTTCAATGGGAATAATTTTCAGGTCTGTTAATTGGTGATCGGGTTGATTGAAGTGTTTTGAAACGGTTTTATTAATTTTTTTTCAAGTTGATGTCAGACTTATGATGATTGTTTCAATCATCATAAGTCTGACATCAACTTAAAAAATAATTAATAAAAACACCCTTAACGAATTTTTTGTCTCCCCAACGTATTGTTCGTCACATTTTGTGCAAGAAATGAGATAAATAATATTTTAGATGGAAGTTATAGTTAGAATCCGGAAAGAGAAGGCTAATATACCGAGCTGTTCAGTAGAAATATAAGAATATTCTAGAACTATTTTCTTTTTATCAACTTAAACGCACGAAATAGTTTTATGCTACTCCTTGATGCCCTTTGATATAGTGAAACCCGTTTTTAATAATAGACTATAGTTGTGGATCTCGTTATTATGAGATGAGCTATTCGGGCAGCTATTAGTCGTGGAAATTGTATATTTTACAGGTGGGTCTAGGCCTACATACCATGCCACCTTAAATGTTCAAAATAGTCACAGATTGGTTTAAGGTTTCTATAAAAGGCCGACCGACTTTTACGCCTGTAAGACCTATATAATCCCATTTGTAACAAGTATTGAGAGGGTTCAGCTTTTAAATTCTCATATAGGATTAGGCCTACTTCTTGGTAAAGGATATTGAGGATTTGAATTACATGTAGGCTACCCTAACCACAATCATCACCAGGAGAATCTACTTGAAAGTTCTGTTCTGCTGCAACAGATTCAGTGAACGGGTGAGATGTGTAAAGTGTTCTCTGCAAATTGGCGCGAAAATCTGTCCTTCAGTTGACATTGAAACTTGTCTTTTCGTATTCGTTTTAACAGTCCACCAAATTACCTATTAGAGACGTTTGCGATTTAACTCAATTTCAAACTGATAAATGTAAATTTTACTATTTGAATACTGAAGTAATTATTGTAAAACTATTGCCACTAAATTATAATTTTATCTTTTGATGGTCAAATAACGCCTACACAAATTTGAGAATTTCTAACTAGACTTGCAAATTGTTGAGTGTCAATAAAATTTGAATGTATTCTAGAGATAAGATAAGGCATTCCTAATCAGTATTTGAGTTGTCCGTCAATGTTACTAGGTAGGTTTTACCGGTTCAATTTTGATGATTCGTCTATGTAAGTATTCTCTATTTAAAGAAAGTCACATGACCCATTGAATACAGACAAGCCGACACGTTTAGCATCTCTCGCGTCTAATTAGACATCTACTTAGGTAAGGTACACATTATGAATTTTATCATCTTTTATACCTTGAAAATTACTTATTGGCTGACCAATATACTCAAATTGATGCAGACTCATTACTTTCATCTCTTAATTAGCTGGTTTGAACCATTCAGCCTCAGGTAATGGAAGGGAAGTAACTTCAGAATTCAAATTGATTGTGAATTGTAATAACGAAAATATTGTCTTTTGACAACTAAAAGGTTGTATTTGCAAGAAAAAATGCCAACAGGTCTGAAGAGCGTTCTACTCAATTTTGTGTACAGGAGATTCGTTTTTTAGGAAATAAGGTCATCAACTATCCTCTTCTCCAGGTCCAGGACTTCACATATCCTTGGACTGGATCCATCAAGTTGAATTGAGTGATGAGATAATTTGTTTGTTGTATCAACAATTACTTGTTGAAGCTATTCCTGAAGGTCTTTCTGCTTGCATGTTGTTATGCTATGCTTGTCTACTCTATCACTCAAATGGCTCACTCATCATAGCTGATGTTTGCAGATAACAAGTAAAATTTTAATAAAGTTTGGCAAATATTGTTAACCATATTTGGGCGTGTGCAGATTTTAAATTGTCAAATTCACGTTCTAATATCTGATAAACTCCAATCATTTTCTGACTTGATAACTTTCTTGAGCATTGCCTACAAATATAGGTTGAGAATGGTAAGTAAGCTGACACACTAAGACATAGGTTTGTTTTAATTAGTATGCAATTTCAAAAAATATTTTAACCGAAGTTTAAAGTGACAGATGCGACATTTCCATTGTTGATTTGGACCTTAAAAATGTGTAATATAGTCTTCATAAGTACTAAAACTGTACGAAAGTCGCATATTTCCTTCAAATAGACTTTAAACAAGACGTTTCACTTCATGAGCTTACGAAATTTGAACGTCTTGTTGGGTTAGTCTCTAATACCAAGACATCTTCCAATGCAGCTATACTTAGACGAAGTTGGGAAGGATGATTAAAAAGTCTACTAAAATGATGACTCGTTAAAATAACATAGATAAATATCCATACACTTGAATTTGAAGGCTCAAATTTCAACAATATGTGAACGTACTGATTAGTTCTAAGCAAAACAATTCACATTTCTGAGGTATGATATACTCCCTGAAATGCAGCATCTGTCCCTTTAAAGCAGAGCCCCCAAAAAATGATGCATTACAAAAACAATTGACTATTTTACAAAGTTGACATATTAGGCTTGGTTTGTTGTAAATGATTAATCAAACAGTTATTTTGACAAGCTAAGTCAGGTTATCTCTACTATTAAGCAATGTGTTCCACCTACCTATCTGTTTCAAGGATAGTTATTTATCAGTCATTTAACTACTGGTATGTGAATCACATCCTGGTGTCTAGATTAGATATGCTGATCTTCATGAATGTAATGACAATCATGATTCATTTTGTTTTACAATGCATATATGCCTTCTTCACTACTCTACCATACTTGTACATAGCAAGTTTGGCTTGTTAAAGGGATGGTATGTCATGCCATCAGTCTGACTAATTGTACTTTATGCTAAGAAATCTTTCACATGAATATTTAGCTAAGCTAATAAGTAATAATGTTTACAGTTAAAATTTTAGCCTTCAAATTGATAATTTCTTAAAACACTTCCATATATAGAAAAAGAAAATGAAATTCCTAGTTTGAAATATTTTTGAAGAATTATGCAATATTTGTACATTTCTATCTGTCCCTTTAACTGTCTTTTTTAAAGAAAATTACCAGTTGATTAATATTTGTAATGATATTAGAAGAATTTTCTCTAGATTAAAGCATGAATCAGATAATTCACCCGGAAATCTGTGAACTTGAAATAGTTTCTAACAAGTATTAAGTGGTCACATGATATAACCCTTTCATGACTTATTATAACTTAAAAATAACATTTATCAACTTTACCATGGATCAGTAATTCTTTAGACAGTTACAAAGCTTTTATGAGATTCATTCTGAGTGTCCATGGATATATTAAATACCATCTTTGATTGACCGAAATCATGAGATACAGTAAAGTGGTAATTATTTTTCTCAATGAATTTATCTTTTTTTTTCAGCCATTGGTACATAAATTAACATGTCGTATCATATAAATAAAGTGGTGAGCTACTTTTTTACTTGTCTAGTTTAGCAAGAAATCAGCCTAAGTGATACATTTTGGAGAAAATGAGTATAAAATGCATCTAGTCTAGCCTAAGGTTATTTATATGAAATATTTTGTCAAGCTATAATGACACAATGACATTATTTTGTGGCCCTTGTGAATTACATATAAACTATGGTGCTCGTTTGATATCTCTTAGGGAGAAGAAAATAATGATAGAAGAATATGCAATTTAGTGTCTTAAATTAAATTCAGCACACTTTTTATACACCCACACGTAAGATGGACGTATATTGTAATCACCATGTCGGTCCGTCCGTCCGTCCGTCCGTTCACATTTGGCTCGTGCTCACTCTACAGGCTACAGTTCTTTATGGATTCTTTTGATTTTTATTTTGTATGTCAATGTTGTTATGAAGATGATCCCTATTGATTTTCGTGATGATCGGATAATTTTTCACCGAAATATCGTGTCTGACTTGACGTTTTTCTCTATTAGCTATATTGTGCAACTCGTGCTTACTCTACAGGCTACAATTTTTTACAGATTCTTTTGATTTTTATATTGTGTGTCAATGTCATTATGAAGATGATCCCTATTGATTTTCGTGATGATCGGATAATTTTTCACCGAAATATCGTGTCTGACTTGACGTTTTTCTCTATTTGAGTTATTGCCCTTGACTTTGTTAAAACGCGTCAAAATTTATTCGTGAGCACAATAGAAGCTACAGTTTTCAACCGATTCTGATGAAACTTGGTGTGATCATTGATCACAGTTTTCAACCGATTCTGATGAAACTTGGTGTGATCATTGGAATTGATAAGATCTCAGACAAGTTCTAACAAGAGATATTTTTGATGAACATTTTTTGAGTTATTGCCCTTGACTTTGTAAACATGCGTCAAAAGTTGTTTTTTGCCCTTGATTAGAGCTGTGTGATTTACTTGTTTGTTGTATTTGGGTTATTGATATTGATTTTAAAAAATTTTGTGGAATTATTTAGCATAAATAATTTCTTCAATATGAGAAAATTTGTACTTTAGTCACTAAAGACTGTTTTATTATTTCTGACAGCTGCCAGTGGGCGTATGTAACCTTGCAACACAAGCTATCTTTGACATCATGAATGCTATAATGTGTGAAAAACACAATTTTAACTCAGAACAACTGCAGGTTTTTGCCCATACAACTGATGTGGATTCATATTTTGAGATGCAGATAATGTGAAATTTCTAAATAACATTATTTTTTTCTGTCCTGAAGATGGATTATTTATTTTCAGCATATTTGACATTTTTGTAGAAAATTGAAAGGTGTGTTATTTAAAAGTGTATAAAATGAAATGATAAGAGATATAACACTACCACACCTATATTTGTGATAAGACCGGAGTTTTATAGTCACTATGTCAATATAGTCATTAATATTTACTCAGGTTATATCTCAACTTGACCAATATTCCTTTATTTATGTCAGTAATATTTTGTATGTCTCAGTTTCTATTTAACTCCAATACCATCAAACATATTAATAGTCCTCATTGTGTATTCAAACTGCATTTCATTAAATAAATAAAAGATATTGGTTGGTTTTGTGTTTGCATATGTATATTTCTGAAGTATGCTATTTGATTTTGGAAGGAATTGCACTTTTTTTTTCTTGATTAATAAGGTTCAATTATTCAAAAAACCCAAACTTGATAGTTTTTTGCACTCCACTGGTAAATATTAATCCCTTTACCTTAGGTCTCATTGTTTGTTCTTAAATTTGTCTGATAATCAACTTATTTTGACTTGTTGTTTTGTTACAGCATGCTCCTGAATATCTGCCTATACCAGGTGGATTGAAAGTTGGTACTCAGATTTTGATTCGAGGTAAAACTCCATATGGTGCAGATAGGTAGGTTTTATTTCAGGTCGTAAACAAGTTGATCTTTCAGATGGGGATACATTGTTTAGTCACCAATAATGTTGAGTGTTAAATCAATACCTTAAGAGATTTTGTTTTACATAATAATAAAATGTAATATGTAGGTTCTATAGACTTGCAGACTGAGTACTTACTCTCAGATATGTTCAAAACATAACATTCTCTTTTTTTGCATTCCTGTCTGCTTGATAATTAGATTCTGTTTTATTGAACATCTATTTCGGGAGAAATTTCTGACAACATAATCAGTGATTTTGAGAAACAGCTGTGTGTGATGAATGAGAGATCTAGCTGAATCAGATTGACCACTGGCAGAATGTAATTTCTTTCAATTCCAGATTTTCTATAGATTTAGTAGAGAGTACCAGTGAAGGAGCTCGAAGTGCTCTTCATTTTAACCCACGAATTGATGAGAAAATTGTTGTAAGAAATTCTTATGATGGCAGCTGGGCTGATGAAGAAAGAGATGTACCGTTTTTCCCCTTTTTGGAAGGAACCAAATTTACTCTCAGGTTATTGGTCACAGATGATGAGTTTGATATTAACATGAATGGAAAAGATTTTATTCATTTTCATCATAGAATGCCATTTAATGATATGTATTATTTGGCGTTAAATGAAGATGCTGAATATTATGATGTGGATATTCAAAATGAAAAGGTGGGTTTAGTTGATATTTAAGACATTCATTCACATTATAGAATGAATAGGTTATTAGAAAAAAGTGTCAATATATAAGATGTAGATATAGGATTCTCACATTCAGTCATAGAAATAAAGTTCTCACAGAGGTTATAAATAATGTGTACAGTTGCCAATACTGGCAACAGTAAATAACTATTGTTGTTATGCTAAAGAAACCATTATTATTATTGTAGTCTTCCCCATTTGATGGAGTGTTTCCAGGAAATGGATTAAAAGAAGGTGTGGCTGTAAGAATAAAAGGTCTTGTCAATCATGGAGCAGAATAGTAAGTAAAAATATTTGATCATTTTTGTGATCAACAAATCAAGTTAAGAACCAAACTTTTCAAGGCTCTTCTGGAATATTCATTGAAGTTTTTCACACCATGATATCATATTTTAACATTACTGATTGTTCAAAATTTAATACAAAGCAAATAGGTTATAATACAAGTTCTGTTTTAATTCTACACAGCAGATATGTATGTTATATATTTATACATCAACTCATCTGTAGTTAAAATTGTTTTTTTTCTTTACAGTTTCAGTATAAACTTTGATTGTGATAGAGATGCTGATAATGTTGGTTTTCAGTTTAATCCTAGACCAGGCAAAGATGAGGTGGTCAGAAATACGAAAAGAGATGGGGATTGGGGTGATGAAGAAACAGATACCCCAGAATTTCCTTTTCAACCAGGAGAGTTCTTTGATTTATTAATCATTACAACAGAAGGAAGGTTTAATGTAGGTTATCTTTATTTAACTACCAATGTATTGCCAACTAACCTGGGCAGTTTCAATTTAAAAGTGGACGTTTGTAAAGAAGTCTCTCTTATTTTATTGCTGATAATTGAGAAAGGTTCCTGATTTAATGCAGTTTACACTTTATTGAAAATAAGATAATAGACTTAGGCAATTTTTGATCAAATTCGCAGATGCTTAATGATGAAAGAATACTGTACACAATTGTCCAAAACTTAACCCAGAATACAGGCATAGTTTATAGAACAGTAAGAAATAAAGTGAAATTGTTTCAAAGTTTTATAACTATTTACTATTTATTGTAGATTTATGTAAATGAGAAGTTTTATATGTTATATAATTATCGTGTACCGGTAGATGATATTAAATACCTCAGAATAGATGGTGAAGTAACAATAGCAGATACAGATGTGTTTGAACCTTTGGTAAGTAAATTGTTGAATAAGTAATGACAAAATTCACAATTGTCTACAACATAGCTAGTACTAATGCTATTGAACATCAGAGAATAACTTGTTCACAGAAATATTGCTGTAACAAAACATGTTTCTGAATAAAAACACTGTATGAATTATTGACATGTATGTTAATATTATTACAGCCTGGTGATTTTAAGAAAGAAATACGTTCTGGTCTAGAGAAAAGTGATATGATAATTGTTAAAGGTTTCTTTTATCCAGAAGGAGACCAGTTAGTAATGTTTTCATTGTGTTTCTCAAAAAGATGATTTATTTTTCATGTAAAATTGGACATTACAGACAAAAAGCCTACTATAATAAGTATAATATTCATTTTAAAAAGTATTTGAACAGGTCCATCCTCATTATTTCATGACATGTTTAAGATTTGTTGTTGTAGATGTATCTAGATGTTCAAGAGGGGACTTTGAAGTAAAATATTTAAATTGTTGATAATTTGAAATTCTATTTGAGACATATTTTACAGTAGAATAATATATCTGAAACTCCATCATTTTGATATGAATTTTTGCTTTACCCTTTTCAAGCTTCAAACCTTTGACTGGATTATAAATTTGACCCTTTTCCAAATATATTTTCTTTGAATACCCTGTTATTTTTATATTTTAATTTTTTGTAGATTTTCTATTAATCTGTTGACTGGAGACTCATATGATGATGGTGATGTAGCATTACATTTCAATCCTAGAAGAGGCGAAGGAGAAGTTATAATGAACAGTAGATTTGATGGAGACTGGGAAACCGAAGAAAGACATCCTAATCCATCGGCTTTCAATGAAATGTTACCATTTGAAGTTAAAATTGTTGTTAAAAGTAATAAATTTAAGGTACGTTGTTATGATATACTGAAGGAAAAATTGTTGAGATCATAGACCACAGTATTGTTAATTGTTCTCACATGATACATATGGGGTCTGCTGCTTGAGATAAGTAATGCCGCTGTCCTGGCAAAATTTCCCTCATTGTACCCTGCATGACATTGCCGGTCTTCATTAGCCCACATGGTGCAGAAAAGTAGACATAAAACTCAATTCATTTCATTCTTTCGCTGCCTAAAGTAAGCTCTTGTCAAACTTGTCAAATCAAGTCTGTAAATGGTTGTCAACTTCATGCCCGTCTGGTGAATTGGTTTACCCATATATATATCTGTTGTCATTTTCAATTTGATTTCTTGTGGTAGACTGTGCCAAAGCGACATTGAAATTGATTATTAATTTTGTTATAGACATATGTTAATGGTAAGAAATTTGAGAAATTTAAAGGAAGATGTAGTTTAGATGCTATTAAAAACATCAATGTACATGGAGAGGCATATATATTTGAAGTTAAACTTTTACAAAGATTGGTTAGTGGTTTACTTTTCATCATATAAATACTTGCTGCCACACACTGTAAGGTTGTTGATATTATTTTGAACAATAAGACATTTTTAATCATATCTGATCTATTTCAAATTTGTTCATGGCAAGCTATTGGTCCATTAACATGTAGTAATTCTATTTTATTCTATTTGAACTGTCCCATATAACATAATGTTGTGTGTATACATTCCTATCATGATAGTAGATTATAATATTCAATATATTGTTGTTGTTGTACTATCTAAATGATATTCTAATTAATAATGATTCTAGGAAAAACCAGTATGTCAGAAGATTCCTGGTAGTTTAAGACCTGGAAGATGGATATTTGTACATGGTACTGCCAAGAAAGATCCTAATAAGTAAGAATAGTTTTATCAGTAGTCACCAAATTAGAATAGTGGAACTGAAATGCACTGTAATCTTTTTTTTTCTGTTCTTGTATTGAATGGTAGCTTTATTAATTCTGAATTGAATATAGTTATTTTCTGAGCATTTACCATTGCCATTATCATGATTGATTTCTAATATTTCTATTCACTCATCTGCACATAATCACAATATAAACGTTTTGAGGGGAATTGCCCTAGACAAATAGTGTTGATTATATCATGATTCTACTTATACTTTCTATTTCAGGTTTGAAATCAACCTTCAGTGTAATGACACATTAAACTATGATGAAACAGACATTGCATTACATTTAAACCCGAGATTTAGTGAAGAGGTCACAGTCAGAAATCATCTGGTAGATGGTAGTTGGGGAGATGAAGAACAAGATCAACCATTCTTTCCATTTGAAGCTGAAGATACTTTCAATATTGCCATTAATGTTCAATCAGACAAATTTAAGGTACATTCAAATAATTTCTCCACACCTGGCTCTTTGGATAATTTCTAGTTTGAATGATCAAGGATAACTAGTGAACTAATTTCATGTCTCTTAATCTTGTTGGCATGTGGAACTTGGCTTATGGATAGGTAACAAGTTAAATTGGTTTTCTCATTGTAGTTTGAGGATCTCTTAGTCTTGTGACTATATATTTTTTAACAAGTCCTGTCTTAAATTATGTTGCAAAATAGAACAAATCCATTATTTTTAGTCTTATATTAGAGAGTTACTGTTAAATATTTGAAGTATGTTACACTGAGAAAAAGTTACAAGGACATAGTCAAAGCTATCTAGGGACAGGAATAAATCAATAAAAACAGTTTCCTCAGTGTGATTAGAGAATGTCTTACCTGTTGTCAATTTATATATTTTAATCTTAGGTGTATGCTAATGGAAGACATTACATTGATTTTGACCACAGAATAGATATTGGTAAAATTTGTCATATCATGTTAGATGGTGATGCAAATTTCTTTGAACCAGAATTTAACTAAAGACATACATCAGGTAACAATAATCATTATGGTTTTCATATACTCGTTTCAAGTTGGTACAATATGGCAAAAAAGTCTCAGGCATTCAAACTTTCTATAAAAGTATTAGTATCTTGTGACAAAAAAAATACTTTTCTGACCAATAGGAGGTATTTAATTTTATATTTCTCTTTTAGATGCTGCACTGAACAAATTGTTTTCCATCGCTTGTTAAATGTTACAGGAATATTTTGCTTGCTATTGTACCAGATATAAACCTATTCAAGGCCAGTAAAGTAACATGGTGCTCATAGATTATGAAGCTCCCCATCCTAATACTGTGATTATTATTTGATGATTATTATACATATATAATTCTTCCAATCAAACTATTGTAAATTATACATTTATTAAAGGTTACTTATTCTGATCTGTTGATCTTATCAGGGACATTGTTTCTCAACATGGTGCTGTGTGCTACAGACTCTGCATGTTTAAGATTTGCTGTCCTGGCAAAATTCATAACCTGTAGTCTTACAAGGTGCTGACAAATATTTACCATTCGTTAAAATCAAAATGCCCAAACACAAAAATAAATTTGGATTATTTAGCTCTTGTTTAATTAAACTAACTCAAGTTTTTTTTCTGGAAATCTGGTGATTCAAAATGTCAATAATTTAAATTAATTTGGAAGAAAAGTATCTCTAAAAGGTACTGATCTAGGATGTCCTATTAATGCTATGTTCTTATGTTGATCATGGCATTTCTAAATAAAACAAAACATAAAATTGATAATTAACAAAAGTAATGTATTCTTAAAATGTTAAAAATAATAATAAAATCTATGGTTAACAAAATGCTTGACTTTATATAGGTAAGCATGATAGAACCAAAGGCACGTATTAAAAATCTACAAATAACACTGTGTGTGATATGATACTATTCTATATTGGATATATTTCTAATGTTAAAGGGGGAGTACGTACAAGTACAAAGTAATATGGTCTGTTTACATACATACATACATACATACAAATATACCTCCTTTTGGTAGACAGAAAAAGGAGGAATCTTTGATTATATGTTTACTTCATTTACTTTTTCAAAAAAAGTCAGATTTTAAAAAAATATCAGTTTTAACTAATTTTACTTTCAGATTTTTGTACACAATTGTAAATATTTCAAATTATTTGACACATACTCCCACTTTAATTAGGTTGATATTATATGTCACATATTGATAAAAGGTGGGTCAGAGTTGAATATTATAGATAGAGGCTAATACAAGGTAATAAGCTTTTAGAATAAAATATGATTTGTCAATATTACTACTGCAAAAACATCAACCAATCAGCAATCTTTGTAATTGCGAAAGTTAGATGTTGGTTTGACAAGATGTCCCAAATAAATAAAAGGCAGAGGTTATGAGGTTATTGCCTGGATACGTCTTATTTTTCCAGAACTAGTCTTCAATGGTATTAATTTTAGTGTTGATTTCACATGCTGCTCAGAAGTAAATAGGCGGATATAAAGTTATCTAATGGTTAAGTCCTTTACGAGAAAAGGTATAAGAGAAAGGATTCACAAACATACTTAATTCATACTATAATCACAGCATTCAACATAGAATTTACAACAGATATTTATCATTAAACAAGCAGTATCATCTTTCATGATACTTAACTGTTTCTTCTTGTCCACACTCATAGTTTACTTCAGCTATTACTATACAATGAAGTTAGTGCTGGGTTGAAATGGGAGACTCACTGTGTAATAATTTAGATATTTCTTTTTTTTGGAAGGTATGAATTCCAATACTTGTATCTATCATACCAGTGTATTCAGTATTTGAAGATGAATATCTATTGTAAACTATAAATAATAAATATGTAATATATACAAGAGTTATAGGCTACAACTACTTATTATATAATAGTTAAACTTATGTATGAGAAACTTTTTGAGGGTTAATTTTCATCTATATAATCATGCCTGACAAATTTTAAGGATGTACATGTACATCTACATATACATAGAAAATACATATTAATAAACTACTCGATTACATTGCACCTGTATGTAATAATATTACCTTTGATTTCTTTTATAATGAAAACTTATTATCATTTCTATTTCTACTATTAAATCTATAAATTTCAACAAGACTTAATGTTTCTTATCTTTCTATACTATCAATATCTTTCTAAAATCCTCTACTTACTCTTTCATACAGTTTATATTGAAAAAAGATACAGAAAAAAATACTGATGAAAAAATGTGGGTATAAGAGTATAAGCAGAAATAGATTTAAAGCACATGGTATTATATTATAAAAATAAGTCTCTGTTTGCATATATCAATCAACATTGAAGAACAACAATATCATTTACCTATGGTGATTATTCCCAGTTCTGATATTTTGGAAATAAAATAATATTTTTCAATTTAGTTTTCCTGTATACATTACATAGATGTCGCTGTTTTTTAGTCACTCACTGAATGTTTTTGTCAAAAGCTCAAATAAGATAGTCTAATATGATGTAAAATCTATAGTCTTAAGTCTGATATGAATAGGAAATAATATAGTTGTTCTTTAATAAGGTACTAAATATTCTGGTCATATGAACAAAGGTATTCACAATTATTTACATTTTACTTCATCCTACTGGTCGTTTGTTCAATCTTCAAGTGAAAGTTTATGATTTAAGCAACTGGGCATTTAACTTTGTTTCTAATTTGGGGGAAATTGGCACATTTCAGATCTAAACATTTATACAGAAATAATTATAATGATTACTGGCAGAAATTACAATAACTCCTTCTTGTTACATTGTTATTCGACAAATCAGTTTTTCTTCTTGGGTTGACCTCTTGGTGGGGTAATAGGTCTGCCAGAATTCAATCCACCATATTGATATTTAGCTTTCTTCTCAGATGGTTTCAATATCTAAATAATAAATTGATAATTGTCAATACAGGATATGCAAAGTATAAAAACAACAGAAAAAAACAAACCAAAATTGTTGAAAGAAATGCATATGAATGTATTATCAGGTTCTACTATGAAGATAATAGAACACAAAGTATAAAAATAAATTTAGAACTTTTGGGCCAAAAGAATTGCCCTTTTAAACAGAAAAGTCAAAGATGGCTATAATGCAATTGTGGTTTATCTTTCATTTCTGAACAGCCATATAACTTTCATTTTTCAACATCACTATTAAATAAGTCTTTTTATATTTAGAGCAAAATGCTGCCAGATTATGAACAACTCGGATGTAAAACATATTATAATTACCTGAAAAGAACACATAAGAGTATCATCAACTGACATCATCCCACCAGCATTGTCAAATTCACCACAATAATTAGGTGCTGAAAACAGAGTCACTAACTGTCTCTTAGCAAAGAATTCATAACCATCTTCCACAACCTACAAATACATTACCACAATAACTATTTTATCTATAATAAAGCAATAGATTGATGTATTTTTCTTCACAGAGCAACAAATGTATGTTTCAAAAGATGTTTACTAAGTTTAAGATACTCCAACCCAGAAATGTAAGTGACCACTGAATTTATTTCCGAAACTTTGGGGAAGCATAGACCCTTCTTATCAGGAAAAGAAATGAATCTGCAACCCATTTCTATTTCCGGAATTCCATATATTTCCAGAAGTCTTACATCTCTATGCAACCTCTCGTTTTACACTATTAGATGCTTGGAAACTTCAGTCCAACCAAAGTCCAACTAATGATAATCAACACTGTCTATCTGATTTTACTGTGAATATGCTTTGTCAACAACACTTTTGAGTCTACATACATTCAAAAAATGTGTTGACATAGGTATCAATTATATAAAATAGTCACATACCTGATGAGCTCTACAGATAAGATCTAAATCATGTCTGTTGAGAAATTTACTGACAACATCAGCACCAAATGTAAAGGAAACTCCTCTATCATTTTCTCCCCAACCTTGTACTTCTTTATCAGGGTCCGACCATAATAAATCACATAATAAACCTAGGAAATAGTATAAATATAAAAAAGTTCTTTTAAAAATACCCTTACAGCATTAACTGAACATTGACTTTTCCACATAATTAACTCCTTGTCAACAGTTCTTCACAATTTTAACAAGATTTGGCCTGTCCATTACTATGTATTCCATGCTTTTCAATATAATCTTAGAGAAAACTGAATTTAGAGTAATAGTATCAAAAATAGCCCTTTCCTGAACCATTTCTATCAAAAATAACTCAAGTTATATCAAAAGAGGTTCATTAAATAAATTTCTATTATAAATGCTGACAATGAAAGTACCTGTGTCGGGCACATCTGTAGGTCTCATTATTCTTCTAATTTGTTCCATAGATTGTAAATCAGGTGATAATCCTAGAATATATAAGATATATAATATTGATTTCTTGTGTTTTTGTGTAGCATTGAATGACATTAGCATTATTACAGTTAATAAATTACACTGATAAATGGTGATAATTATAGTTACTTTTCACTTGTTTTCCATGTTATGATATTTGAAAAATCATTCCCGTTTGCAATGTGTTGTTTTCTATATATTTATAAGGATGCATTCAGTAAAAAGGAAATTAGTTCATGTAAATAGTTGTCAGAAGTGCCAGAAAGCATTGAAATATCTAAATAAAATTGAGTTAGCAGAAAAGGCACTTTCTGTGGTGTTGAAACTGTTAATCATTTAACAGATTTCGGGTAGGATTTTAAGGGTACCCGGGTTCTGATTTGAGATGATTGGTTAACTTTATTAATCTTTAAACTCCTCTTTACTCTAGTAAATAAACGTCTAAATTTGTTTTTGTTGATTGAATAATTCAGAGGTTTATTGTGATGGGGTATCAATTATAGTGACATGACTGTGTTATTTGATTTTTGTGGTCAAGATTATCGAGTCTCAAACCGACAATTCGCCAGATACTGGTCCAAACTAGGTACTCAAAGTTAGTATTTGTTAACGGGTGCTACACATTACAATATATAGCTCAGTGACCTGAATAAGATATTTTTGCTTTTAAGTCATTTTATGTGGCTTATCAATAATACAAGCGATTATCTAATTGGTGATAAGTGATTAAGATGACTCGATGTCAGATTGTACAAATATCCTGAATGTCCGGACTTAATTCGTATGGGACCAAAAAAAAAAGATTACACGGAATACTCAGATGTCAGATATCACAGAGACACTGTACTGTAGTTTAGTTTACCCTGTGTTACAGCTGAAAATGTAGTTTTAGATCTTGTTTTGTTATCTTGAGTAATTAACCAGGATTAAAAGGGTTATTGCTGAAATACCCGGTTCATCAAAAACACTAACCCTTTCAACACTAACTTTCAAAACACTGAAAAATTTACCTCCATGACAACAAAATATCTTCTCATCAATTATAGCAGCAATTGGTAAACAGTTAAAACAATCAGTAAAAGTTTTCCATAATTTAACATTAAATCTCCTCTTACCTAATAAATAGTAAAATAATAGTATTAGTACCAGGTGTTACAGTAATCTGTTATAAATATAATACCTGTTTTACACAGGATATACACACCATATTCTTTCACTTAAACTTAACAGAAGATATTCACATGGGACCAATTAGAATTTTGGAAAACACCAGAAAGTTTTCCCGATGTTCTAAAGGGAATTTGCCAAACTCATATTTCAGATCTTATATTTCCATTTATAATGACACTTAATTATTTCTACTAAAGGGAATTTCAACAATTATATGTCTACTACTAAATTAAATAATCTTTGTTCATAAGATGAATATGTGCAAGCAGATCTTAAATAATGTAACAAAGAAGGAAAATAAGATCAATAATCTACTTACATTCATCGTAAAATCCATATATTCTATTAATACTGGCACATTCATGATTTCCTCTTAATAAAAAGAAATTTTCAGGATATTTGATTTTATACGCTAATAATAAACAGATAGTTTCTAAAGATTGCTTTCCCCGGTCAACATAATCTCCCAAAAATAAATAGTTAGATTCTGGGGGGAAGCCACCATATTCAAATAATCGTAGAAGGTCTGTATACTGTCCATGTATATCTCCTGAAAAACACAAGATGGTAACATCAAAAGATATCTTTTATATCATTAATATTGAGATAAAAATTGGATTATTATTTGTTAAGTGAGTTCAAAGAAATAAAGAGTTTTAGTCAAATCTATGGAAATGGAAATTGATTCTATTGTAATGTGCCATTAATGTGCATATTATCATAGTAAAGTTAAAAACTTCCAGTCAAGTTTGTCAAAAACTGTTGTTAATGTTTGGTTCCCTTATTTTCATTTATTTATATATATATTCATTATTGAATGGCTAATTTTATATAAATCGAAAGCAGAGGTGTTCTAATGATTGGGAAAGATACCAGTTTGTCTGAGCAATAGGTCAATAATTAACTTGCAATTAGCTTATTACATTCCAATGATCGAGCGGTCACTTAATAAAGATATCGGGTCTCACTAATTTTCAAAAGGGATGTGTTCTTTGTTTCATTATCTAAAAATCTAATGTAACAAAACACAATGAATATTTCTAAAAAACGATATCATCAAAAAATATCTGTTTCAAACATTAAGTTACTACTTAAGATTGTGCAGATATGTTCTTCTCTGGTCAGAAATTTGAAGATATATCATGATAACTACCATTATAAGCTTATATCACAATATGGCCATATTTTGGTATTTTTTAAGCAAGCCATCATACAATATAAATTCCTAATCGCTCAGCTCTATTTCTATCAAAAAACACATCTAATTGGTGCTTACCACATATTTTTAAAGGAGCTTCTAATTCAAGTAGAATTGGCTGACTTAAAAATATTTCTCTTGATTTCAGGCAAAGACCCCGAACTTCTGATTCCGACATTTGCACGGTTTTTCCTGGACGACATCCTCGAACTGAAAAATAAAGTTATATTTAAAAGCCTAGATATCCATCTTCAGTAAAATTTGCTGAAGAGCTTGAAACTGTGTGAATTCTGGTCATTGTACTTTATATTACCGTACTTAAAGGTGAGAATGTTAATAACAACCTGGAATTGTGGAAACCTTAATTGGCTTGGAATATGATTGGCAGGGAGAAGTAGGCTGATGCTTTTTTCTTGGTTGTTGTTTTCATCCACACAAAATTAAATGCTAACAACTATCTAGGAAGAGACTACATCCTTAACCATTAGGCTAGTCATTTAGTGCAAAAGTGAGCCTTCTTATCAACTTAACTTATAGCCCTAAGCCAATTTGGTTAAACACTCAAACAGTCATTTAAAGTCGTTATGACCGTTTAGTCATTAAAAGTCATATTTCTAAACTAGATTTATTACAAGATTATAAAACTTTTGCCAATGCCCTTTCAACGTAAAGAACACACAAGGGTAACTTAAAAAACTTATTAGTCATTTATGTATGGTGAGTTTGTCTGTTTGAGTTTATTTTTCAAGTTTGTATTGACGTTTCGCAATTTTGAAACCGACGCCCCTTGTTCGTAATCATAGTAGACATTTGTGCGTGTACAGAAACTAACAGAGTTACAGTTACTTCGTCGGATTGTAGTGCTTGAAGTCATAAATGTATGAAAATTACCTTCAAGAAGTCTCGTAATCAGATTATCAATGTTCAGGTCAGTTTCCGCCATTTTGATATTTGTATGACGTCACTACTTAAACCAATCGGAAATGATTGTCTGTGGAACGAAAAATATCTCAAATAGTTCACACCTGATGGGAATCAATGTAACTAAATGTAAATCCAAATATTCCAAGAATACATGTAAGTGCCCGTGGTAAAATCGAATATTCAATAATTTTCGGTTGTTAGGCTTTGTTGTGACCCTTTTCGTAGCAAATAATAACGAATTTACCTCCCTTGACGCACTAATGGGAGGTAACTCTGTTAACTTATTCAGTGGAGGTCAACTTAGTGTGAACTTTTCTACCACTGGATTTAAATGTGCACGGCATATGGATTCCTCGTGCCCATATGGTACTTATCTTTCTGTCAAAGTTTATTCAATGACCGAATAAATAGAAAGAATCTGTGAAAGCAAAATTTGCTATAAGCAAAATTTGGGAGAAAGGGAAGATAACTATCTTAATCTAAAATACATTGCTGGCTATTTTTAGATTACCGGTACCCTATATACCCTATTATTGATAGAATTTTAGATTAATGTGCGTAATCATACAGGTCTTATTCTACTAGAAGAAGATACGAGAACCAATTCTGGAGCAGTATTTATAAACTAAAACTAGTTTTGTATAAGATGATAACTTTAACTTCAGACTTTAAGGTTCAGATCACATCATTTCGTGTCTGTTGATCTACCTTCAATTATTGATGTCATCAATATGAGTGACAAAATTTGGTGCTGACACAATTCATTTAATTTCCATAAGTCAAAAGTCTAAACAAAGATTCAGTAACAGTTTATTAAGATTAGTATGGGACTTACAGATGAGACAGTACAAAATATACAGAAATGAAAAGTCCACATATTGATAGAAAATAAAAACAACAATAATTTACATTGTGATAATTTGAACAGAGTGAGTCATATATATTTTGATATAGACCTTATTCAAGAATAGTTATATAATATCATATGATTTCATAAAGAGTGATATACTTGAAGTAACCATTAAAATAAAAGTTTACAGCCAAAATCGAACTAAAAGCTTGAGTATATGAAATATTAGTCATGGTCTTCTAAGACAATATCATGTTTCGGTTTCAAAGTCATATAATCACCAGAAATAATCAATTTACTAACAGGACCAAAATATCAAATTTACATTAACTATGGATAAGAAGAAGAATGGTCAGCCCCATCTGTGAAATAATAATTATATAGAATATATTATAAATTATTATCTATATCTATCTCTACTCACTAATATCATGGAAATAGAAAAAGAGATTTAAGCATTTCTTGTCCTTTCAGCAGGACCTGTATCTTTATAATATTTTTTTGCATCAAAACGTCTTAAATTTATTTATCAACTGGATGTTTACATGAAAAAATTAAAAAAACTCTTTGACAGCTGGCCACGCTTAAATATCTTTTTCTATTTCAATTAATGGCAAGGTATATTAGCAAATCCATAATAATTATAAACATGACATTCTACATTACTCGAATTTATACAGCCATTAAATAGAATTTATCACATTGGGGGGTCGGTACAATAAAAACAACAACAAAAATAGGCAAATAAATAATGATGTATAAACAATAAAGTCAGAAAGAATTGATATTCTTATCCATGCATGCCATTTAGAAATATGACAGTTTTCAAAAAGAAACTAAGATGTCAAAAAAAGGGAAACACTAAGATCTGTATCAATGATATTTCAACTCACATTGTAATTATATACGAATAAACAAAGTCACACAATATCACACTACAAAGTTGAATAAATTGGTTTATTTATTGACGAAATGATGCATAGTTTAGCATTAAATCCTAAATATTATATTCTAAAAATTTCATATTTCTAGATACACAAAATATCTACAACATAATATGGAATGTTTTAAACAGAATAGATGATAGATGATTATAAATGTTTTCTAAGCAATTTCAGATCTTAATGCATTTACATAATTTAAGAGAAATGTACTTCTGGATTTAAATACATTTTTAGATTTTAATGAATATTAAATGCGTATTTAAATTTAATTGAGTAGCACAAAAATTACACTGAAAAAGAATTTTATATTTTAACTGCCTGTACAATAATAACAGAATAATTTTGTATTATTCAAATAATTTTAAGTTTATTATAATTAGCCAAATTTCAATGTAAGAAAAGTTTGAATAGAGTAATTTCAAATTATATAAATAATGTCGTCACACTGAACAATTTACAAGCACTATTGTCTAAGAGTGAATTCAAAGATAATTTCATACATAAATGCCATCAAAAAGTTTGTCTGATGCTTTCAAATGGTTACAAATCCAACTAATCCGATAAATGATAACCAACAATTCCATTTACAAATACCCTAATCTCATATTTTAACAAGATTTTCTTTACATCATCAATATCACACCATTTCAAGACATAAAACAAAATAAACTGGTTTCATTTGATTTTAAAATTTCAGACTAGGTTTATTAAATCTAATATTTTTTATCAAAAAAAAAAAAAGAAGAAAATTATATAAATAATGATTTTGAAATAAATGACCTCTAATATAATATATATATATAAATTATAAAATGTTACATTTAAATTGAAAGACTTATAAATCCGAACACATAATATTTAGAAACTCAGACATGATTTTCTGGCCATGTCTAAATATACAACAGTCCATTTTTATTGTCAACGTTTAAAGCTTTGAGATCCCTTGGTCATATTGCCTCCTTGTATGACAGATATTGAAATATAGGTCCAAAAGGGACGTTTCCACAGGAACACTAGCAATATATTTTTTCAATTTTGACATTTCCAGTTACATTCATTCCTTTCTCAACCATTTTAAGTGATTAGTTCTACTTTATCTAAGCAATTTTGAACATTATGTCATTTAAATAAACAAGCAAATCTGTCATCTCTTTGATAAAAAAAAACTGACTGAAATTAATTTTAGAAAATGCCTTCAGATGATGAACCAAAGTTAAGTTTTTGGTAAGGAAATAAGTAATATCATATATAAATTTTAGTCTTACTTGAATAAAGCATGTTTACATGAATTTTCTGAATCAGTCTTTAAGTGTAGATAAATTTTACCACTTGCACAATCACATACATTTAATGCTTCCAAAATTTGTTTGTAAACTTCTCTATTGCCAGGGGTAGTTAATAGCCAAATTTTACAGGTTGAATATTTATCAAGCAAAAATGCTACATTTCCTACCCACAGTTTAGAGTCATTTTCTTTTGATCAGTTATGATAAATGTTGTAATTAAAATTGTCAAATCAGATTCAAAACTCTTCAATAGTCAAATATAAATATCTCATTACAATTCAATCCTTCATTCATCCCATTTTATTTATTCATTTATTCACACAAACAATCAATCTTAAAATTGAAGAAATAATATTATTATGCTTCTAATTGATAGAAAAAAACAAATAATACATTCAATAACAACAACAATTACATAGATGTCACCTCCACGGTATCATTGAGATTATCTTGTGAACCATTTAACCGTTTCTCATTGCTTCCTGTACTATCTTTGCTGGGGGTATTTTGAGATTTTTCTGGAGTCTTTGAAACATGAATAGGTGAAGATTTGGGAGAAGAAGATGAGAATTCTGGAACATAAATGAGTTGATTTTCAAATTTGTCTTGTATTTTGTTACATTTGTCTTCAAAATCTTCTTGATGTTTCTGAAGAACCTAAAATTGAAAAACAATTCAATTAGATTTGAAATCATTAAATGAAATGGAACCAACCGTCAATTGTTTGTATAATTGAGCAATCACATACATAATGAAAGATATTGTAGGCAATAACTTATTGTCTTTTTAATTATTTCTAATTTTCACAGCCAACAATTTGTATTAAACCAACATACTGGGCTAATGAAGTTACACAATGACACAATGCAGTATTCTATATCTTATAACCACAGAAATAAAGTGATAACCTGCTCATTCATTCTTAAAACCAGGTCTGAAAGATTTTTTCCAACCAAAAGAATACACTCTTTCAACATAACTTAACAGGGAAAACAACATAATATACAGACTACATTTCCAATATTCTATTTATAAGATATACACTGACCTCTACTTTTTCATCATTGATTTCTTTTCTAATATCACTTAACAATACCTCTAATTCTTCCAATTTCTTTTCTAAGATATCTCGTAACTGAAATAAAATGAAACATGAAGCTATGACACAAGCCTTTTTTGAAAGCAAGTTAAATGTTAACTGATGGGTAGCATAAATATTCATTTTTACTTAAGATTGATTTCCCTTGACACACATTTGAGAGTTAGCTTACTGTGAGAAGAATCATTCACCTTTTGTCGTTCCTGGACAGCTACTGCTACATGTTTCTGTTGTGCTTCACGTTTTATCCTGAAAAAATATTGATAATTAAAAATGTGTAAATTTGCTTCATGCACTTATCATTACCTTTGATTTATTTTGTAATATATAAGAACTGACATCATACAGGATGCAGCAAGAATTGCTTATTTTGCACTTGTCAGTGCTACATAAAAAGTTTGTCGGCATTTTTGTGTCATTCGAAGAAATCAATATGCTTACCGAGATAATTCCTGTTTGTCTTTGTGTTTTTTGGCTAACAATTTCATATGATCTCGACTCTGAGCATGCATTCTTTTAGTTAACTCTGCAACTTCTCTGTCATATAAATCTTCTATACGTTTTTTATGTGATGCATGACTAGCTTCCATCAGTGTTATTAAACAATCATATATTGGTGTATTGTAATTCTGATAAACTGATTGTTCAGCTTGGTAATGATCCTTGCATAATGCCACAAATACCTGAGCCTGGGTACACTTCAATTCCTTATACTGAAATATATTAAAAACAAATTTGTTCTCAAAATATGACAGTTTAAAATCTTCAGCCTGTAATCCTACTGAAACTATTTTTATTCTTAATTCTTTAATGGTTTTCATTCTTAGTTTAGGAATACTATATTTTAGAGTGTTACAGTTGCATATGTTGAGTGAGTTGGCCTCATGGAAATTTTTCTCTGTCTCACTTGAAGATAAGCTATGCAGATGAAAAGTTTTTTCACAAAATTTATCATCAGCATTAGATTCTTTCAAATAAAACAAATATAAGTGGTTATTATGGATAACTGAATCAGTTACCTTTGTTGCTTGTTCTTGAACTAAAGTTTCCATCTCTTCTTTACATTTAGTCTGAATATCATCCACTTTTTCACCTCCCTTTGTAGCTTTCTTCAAAGATTTACTATGATTTTTCTCAAGAGCACTTCTAGCTTTTAGTTGTGCTGAATTTAGTTTGTCTAGTTGTAATGTGTGTAATTCCATCATACTGTCACATGCCTGTAAATAATATAATTAATAACACCTTAATGATTTCATGGGACACATTATTCTAAATATTGTATTCGACATAACTTATATATGATTATTATGGTGTACATAAATAGGCACTGCTGGTTCTGAGATTCTAATTTTACAATAAGATTCTGAATAATGAAGATTTATCTGTATATCAGCCATATTTTTAGGTAATAGAGCTATGATTATTGATGTCAGTAATGATCATCTGAAGAATCCAAGTCATCACACAGGAAATATAATGATATGGTTCAAATAAAAATCCATATATTCAATTCATTTGAAAGAATTGTAAAGATAGGCTCCAATCAATTCCAAGACTAAGATTTCTAGAATAAAATATATTACTCATACCTTGTCATGTTTTCGTTTCATAGACTCTAACTCCTTATCTCTTTTAGCTAATATTTTTAGATAAGGTTTCATGGTTTTTAAAGATGTCAATGTTGTAGGGGTTAAGATATCAGGATCTATAAGAAAGAAAAAACACTCTTTAAATATTACATAGGTAAAATATTATAAGCAGATTTCCTCTTGAAATGATATAATATCCATTCTATATAGTAAAATCTGTAGTTTACCACAATTCAATGAGCATTTTCATCCTAGTGTGTATCCAAATATAAGTGAAAGATTGCATATTATTTAAGCACTATACAGATTCCTATGTGCTGCGGGTAAATGCTTAATTTTATTCAATATAGTTTTTAGAAATAACACTGTTGCAAAAACAATTAGGCCGAGAGGTCAAGGTAAAATCAACCATAACTTACCATTTAATTTGGTAGTTTGTGATACAGATACGTTTGAGACGCCATTTTCTACTCCCCCAGACATATTAGCTGGTAGTCTGCTTACACCTGAACTACCTGGACCTAGAAAGTAGATATAGTTTAACAATTATAATTCTTATTTAGGAGAAATAACTGAACTCAGCTGAACATAAAGATAGAAATTTGTTATTCTATATATTATTATTCTGAATAATGGTCTACTTTAGTTAAAAGGAGTTTTAGTAGATTTTATATACTTGTTAATATTCAAGCAAATCCAACCAAGACAAAAAACATGTAATTTTAAATCATTGCTCATAATTTTGATAAATAATATGAAAGAATTCTAAGAGTGCAAACTAAGTATTTAATAAGCTCAAAGCCTTTACAAACCATATCAAATGCAAAGGATTCATCTATTCCAACTAATTCAATACCAATTCACCAATCTTACTAGTAGTAAAATTTAAGACAGAAACTTAGTGAAATTGCAAAGAAGTAAATTCCTCTATTCACTAAGTGTTAAGTTGTAGATTTTACATCTTTTACTTATTTCAGAGTTGTATTTTTATAATAGTATAGAAGGAAAATTCGTCTATAGAAGGAAAATTCGTCTATTTTTATAATTGTATAGTTGAAGAATTCACCCATTTTTATAATTGTATAGTTGAAGAATTCACCTATTTTTATAATTGTATAGTTGAAGAATTCACCTATTTTTATAATTGTATAGTTGAAGAATTCACCTATTTTTATATTTGTATAGTTGAAGAATTCACCTATTCTTATAATTGTATAGTTGAAGAATTCATTTATTTTACTAATTTGTTAACTCAATCCATTTTTTATCCAGAAGATGTCTTTATTTGTGACCTTTGCTTCTTTTTTTTTTTTAACTATTTCACTCTTAATACTAATTGTGACATTCTAGAAATCATCTATATTACTAATTGCAGAGTTCTGATTTATATATAGTGTCATAGACTAACTTATATTGTACTGTGAACACTCTATTAGTGGACAAACAAAAACTAAGACAAGGGAGATTAATATAGACATTTTAATTTACCAACACATGAATAGAGAAGGGATAGGTTTTCTTCATAAAGCAAATTTACTTAAAAAGATCATTTTTTGATAAATTTGTAGATTTTGATTAACTTTTGAAAAAAATATCAGAGAATTTGCTTTATGTGTAAAAGGTATAAAAAAATCACGTCACACCAAACTCAACTCTAAAAATTGGACAAAATCAAATGAGAATCTTACATAGGAATGAAAAAATAGATAATCCTGAAACAAATACAACATTGATATACAATATTATTTCTATATATTATATTACAGACATGCTTGTTGTTTCATATTAATAAGCTTTAGGGATATAGATCACATGGTATATTGTTCTTGTTTCTTAATACACAGAGTTTTGGAGAATACTTTGGATTTTCAGCCTCCGTTTCATTGCATTTTAAAGCTTATAGACAGGTGTGCCAATAATCAATTAGAGGAAAGAAGGCTACATTTTAAACTAGTTTTCAAATCGCCAAAATGAATTGTTTTCTATCTTCAGTATATTACAGCAACTACTAAACATTAATATAGTATTACATTAAAAATAGTTACAAAATTTAAATAAAGATACACATAACTATATAAATATATACATGTAAATATATATATGTCTAATTATTACCTGAACCAGAACTGGTTTGACTCAAACCAGATTGAGTACTCTCTTGTTTATTTAATGGTAAATGTTGTGCCGAGGGCATTCGGATTGGTTTTGGAATATCACCTGGTACTGGTGAGGCAGAGGATTGTGGTCCATTTTGTACTCTGACTGAGTTCTGTCGTTCATTTCCACCAACTTTTTCTTCTAATTCACTGACTACAGCTATCTCTTCCTATAATTTAAATAATACTTAATAATTTACAATCTATAGAGTTGACAAAGGTCCAAAAATAATCATAATAGAGTAAAGGACATAAAGTTGAAGGATCTTTGGAAATCTACTTTTAACTCTCGACAATCTTGACAAGTTACATAGAAACTACACAGAAAAGGTTTGTAATAATAATCAGCCACATTTGAATATGAAAACTATGTATTGGGAAAAGTTTTGACTTATAATGTTGAATTCAGGGGCTGACTAAATATTAAAGGAAGTATAATATATGGAACAATTCTGTACACTCAATCAAACTGGTGTTATAGAAGTTCAATGAAGGAGGGGCCTATTGATATATTAACAAACCAGACATATAGCCATACATGACTGGCACAAAGTTCTACAAAAATAACTCTGACTCATTCTTATATTTGACTAAGTTGTTACAAAAACACATTCATCCTAATTGGAAAATCTGATCAGTCAAATGTTTTTTTTATTTTCCAAAAACACAAATTTTATATTCAAACTCATTCATACAGAATCTTAAGAATTCATTTTCCAACATTTATTCCATTTGTAAAACATTGACAATATCATTATAGTACACAAATATAGTCAAGTCAAGATATTTGTAAACAACCAGGTTAAATCCAAATCATAAACACAGCAATCCACTTAATTTCAGGGTAAGTTAAGTTATGGTCACTACTACTGTAACTACCCAAAAGTAATATAGACTGGTCATGTTAATGTATTGAGTTGGACCCAAATGTGCTCAATTATCTTTGCTTGACTATCCTACTGTATTTATCATGCATCTGATACATAGTAAACAATATCTGAACACACAAATTATCATGCAATCATAGAAATACCTAACACAAGTCACTATTGAACACAAGTATATTTCATATATGTTTTAAGAGATTTACAGAGCCTTTGGGTGAAGTGAATAATTAAGATAATTGGTCCATTCTGGAATTTCATATAATTGGCATTTTTACCATGAGGTCATAGTCATGTCATAATAACACAATATTCCACTTAATTCACTTGTATTAAACTGTTATCTATCATATTCAACACAAACAATGATATGAAACACACACTAATGGAACTAAATGTAATGTTATGTTTTCTTTTTGTCACCATGTCTTTCATTGATATTTGGAATATGTGATCTAGTCTTAAATATCTATGATGTAGAAAGAAATATCAATCCTATTATACATATACAGCTAGGAAAACCTTGATCACTGACAAGCTCTTGCCAGATGGCCATGTTGATGATTGTCTAAATTCGCTGCCAAAAGTCAGTAAAGTTATTTAAGCACACACTGTACAAGATTCAACTTTATCATGCAATGTATATTATTTATATTGAAATATTAGATACAACAATGACTGGAATAAAACAGAACATTAAGAATAATTGTCTACAGAGCTTTATAAATACAATATACATCATTCAAGCCAAAACTGAATATCACTTACAGTAGCTAATTCATCCTAATTTTGAAAAAAAAATAATAACAAAAGTTTGAACAAAAAGTCAAAAAGCAATGATATATGAGAACTGAATGTAAAGAAAAAAATATTCATTGTTGGATAGGAATTTATTTCAAAACAACTGAAACAGTCACTATTCAATTGATAAAAACAGATATAAGTTATCTGTCTGTAGAAAAATTGCACACATTTCAGTCTAGAATAGTTTCCTTTATGAGCGAAGGTCCAAGGTGGAGCTAGATTGGTATGTTCGACATAGGTTCTTTCTGTTCTATTTCTGGCCTTAATCGAACTGTATGGAACCTGACATGATACATTCCAAATTTTCCCTTTTATTCCTTTTTCTGCAATTTTTAATTCTGTCTACACCTAATTTTTTTCGTCACATGGAGCACATTCTATACTCTGTTCAAACTTGTTGATTCCTGAATTAGTAGAACACACTAATTGAGCTCCACCTAAGATTTGTTCAGAAACTGCTAGATTTAGCCAATTTCATGTTTTTTAATGGCCTTGTTCATTATAATTGGATGAAAAATATTTAATGAGAGGGTTTGTGAAAAGAACCCTTAGAAATTTTATGTAAATAAAAATATAAAATAAAAACTCTCATGTATGAATGATTTAAAATTGTATGTTGTAAAAACAGAAAAAACCTACATCCACTTCAAAATCTTCTGTTAAAGTAGCCAACTGTTGAGCATGCTTTTCCATTTTTGACTGATATGCTATTGGATTGATCAAAGCTTCGGCAAACTCTAAAAAATACAACAACAATGAATATTATAATAGTTTTCAGAAATATTAATTTTCATTTGAAACTTTTATCTTCTAGTTTAAAAAATCTTTTCAGATAAGAACTCAAAAGGAGAGCTAGTTATCAATATTTTACATGTAAAATTTAAACCTCAAACAATCAGTCTTAATAAATTATTAAAATAATGACATGAGTCGACAAAAAATGAGATTGGATTAATAAGCAGTGACATAAATATACTTGAGAACTATCTTCATCAAGGCAAAAATAAAATATCTAAAACATTCATGAGTAGGCACTGTGTTGATTCTACTCCTCTCACTTACTAATTACAAATATACATGACATGATATGTGTACATCTGTTTTTCTAGTGCTCTCTTTCCACATACTATGGAGTTGTACATATTTTATATATCATAATAAGCATCAAAATGATGCTAGAATTTAGTAACATGAATCAAGTTATCAGAAAACTAATCAGTATCAAAGAATATTCAGTTTTGATATTTCAGTATAATGGACAGATGTACGACTAAGCTTCTGCTACTTACAAGCTACTTTTTCCAAGAATCTTCTATATTTCATTCAATGCTAAAACTATAAACTCATATAAAGAATAAAGATATCCCTTATATAAAATTTTCAAAAATATTAAAAAGATACAAACCTGCCATGGAATCAGGAACGTAATCCATGATGCTTAGATGAACAAATAATGTTTGTAGTAGTAATGGTTGATTACTTTCATTACGTAGTGGAATATGTCTATATCCTAAAATATAAATAGTTTTAACTATCATATTCAACAATCTATTAATATTAAGATGTCATAGCTTAAATATTATGGTGTTGTTACCTTTCATTTTTACATCTCACAGCATTTAAGCTATTGATATCACTGTTAAACTAGAATTTAAGCTCCTCAACTAGTTTTCATTAAATGATTGAAAGAAAAACTTTATAATATAAACTAACATACCTGGCCGTAAGCCTTCAACGGGCAATATACGATGACCAATCAAACGTCCTGTTTCTTCATATACTGCTATACGTAATGTTGCTAAATTTGGCAATACAACCTAAAATGATGAAAATTACACACACTCAAATGCATGGAACTGACAAAATATAAACAATAATCCCAGAAATTGAATAGGTCATCGATCAAATTTTCACTTGTTATACTTACATTTAACGTATTCAAAAACAGTAAAATACTTACTTTTTTGAACACAAAAGGATCCTCATCATAAACAGGATTAATACCGTTAGCTGGAACAACTTTTGTACGGAATTTTTTCCTCACAGTGTCAGTGGGTAAACCATACATATCAAGTTCAACATATGTTCCTACTTTTTTATCAGACAAAAACTGGCCGGAAATTACCTACAATTACATTTTAACACTTCATATCATTCAAATACAGGATACCACATGCATATCTAAAGTATCTAAAAATGCCTAAAATCAATAAGCATCATCCAAATTTCTGTTATAGATAAAGTGAATACAGTTTTGATACTATGGAAAGACACCAAATCCAAATGATAGGAGTTGAAAGCAATTTCTTAACAATATAGAGAGAGCACAGGTTTGGTATTGATATGACTTATAAGCTGACACCAGGTCCTCTCTCTGAAACACTAGATGTGGAAAATTGTTAAACATTGAGTAGGAATCCACAGCACCTCATCGCCAGACAATAATTCAATTCATTACCGACTGAGTTTTTCCAGTGACACAAAAAGACAATGTTCCAACCCATCATTAAAATACAACTTGAATTATTAATTACTTTGTTACAAGCTCATCTCTAAAAACTATTCTAGCCTATATGCTAATGAAAACTTGTTTACATATTCATGTTTGAACTATTGATAAGAAAAGTATAAAAAAGAGTACTTACTCTAACTTTAACAGTTCCTGCAACAATACCATCTACTGTTGATTCTGCAAATGGATCAAAGTGACGATCTTTTCTTCTCATAAAATCAGGTTTCAATATATAGCCACACCTACCATTATATTCGAATATACCTAAATTAAGCTGCATAGCCAGATCTGAATTAAAATAAAACATTACATATCATAAATATTGGCTTGAGAATTGGAGGATCATTATAGCTTTAACGGTATTCATTGTCATACAGGAAACAATAGAAAGCATATAGAACTACTATTTCATTTATTTTAACAATACAATAATAAATTATTTTCACTGTTAAAATAGTGCTCAATACAACAATTGTAGAGCGAACCTTCAAAACATGTTGCTACTCAGACTCTTCAGACAACTGACCTATATAATTCAGTCTGCGTTCCCACTGAAATATATAGGTCAGTTGTCTGAATATCGCATGGCGTGAAACTCTGAGTAACAACATGTTTTTTTAGGTTCTGTTTTGCTATTTCTGATTCAACTATGCATATAAGTTTTCTGTCAAAATTACAAAACCACAGAACTTACATATTCTTTTAAATGATACAAGTCAAGATTAGATAATCAGTAAACATACGAAATTGAATTACCTAATGTTTGGAAATTCAAAGCGACTAACTGACATCCAGCATTCCAAAATACCTATAATAATACAATAGATTATCATTATTATGTCATGAATTCACTTCAAATTATAGCAATAACCACACAATTTTTTAGTCGATTTTTATTTTGAAACTGGCTCATTAAACCAAGCAAGAAAATAGCCTTATAAATGATAATGAATATTGTATAGTGAAGAAAAGAGTCCATATGTTAATTCCACTGTGAGAAGAATTGAAATGGTAAAAAATAAGTATAATGAAATATTCTAACCTGAGGTAAAAAATTACTGGAATCAACTCGTGTACCTTTTGGATAAATACGACTCAGTTGTCGTTTATTATAACTTTATTAGGGTTAAGACAAAAATAATAATAATAAATTTCATATATAAATGACAGGGAATGAATAATTCATTGTCAAGTTTTGGCAATAAACTAGCTGATTGAAAGGGCATGGGAACATTGAAACTTTACTCAACTTAAGTTAAAAATTGTTGTATGCAAATTTTGGTAGCCTCAGCATTTAGTCAAAAATAATTCTTATTAACAAATCTGAAGAATCGAGAAAATTTTGTAACCATAAGTCCAAATATTGCTCAATCTTTCGTTTTTCGTTTAGTTAATCAACCCTCTCGCTTCAGAATATTTTCGAAAAATGCACCCCAATACTCCTGAAAATTTTTTTTAGTTTGTCATAACATTTAAAGGATACTTGACAAAATCTACTGGATATTCCTTTAATAAATTAGTTGCTTGAGTTTCAACAAATGATGAGATTTCATAACATCTGCCTTTTTCTATAAAAGAAAATACAGAAATTTTAATACATTCTGCAGCTGGTGGTCTAGACATTGACTTTCACAGCCAGGCATTTGGCAAACAACAAAAAGTAAAAGCAGAGATGACAAATATTAAATCTATATAAAGCATCCTTAATGTCATATTTTAACTGAAATATCTTGATTACAATATAATACACATTTGTCCCGGATCTCATGTTTTTATTGCATTTAAGTGAAAATCTCATAGATAATGACAAAGATTTTAAAGAATATATGAAGAAAAGAGTCTTACTTTCTGAAGCTTCAAAGGAATGAAAATGTACAGGTTGTATATAATTCACTAACAAAGACATTTCCATTGCAGCTTCTGCTTCTGAACCTGCTGTACCCTGCAAAGGTCAATTAATATTTTATTAATTCAAATAGGTATCATGTGATAATCATAGGCACAGTGGGCCAGAGGCTAAGTTTAAAAAGCCTAAGGTAACTAAGAATTAGACTCCTCATGTATGAACCCTAATTTTGAATCAAAGTACAATTCAGCCTCCCCATTTTCATGGAAAAATCATCTAGTCGTTAAGATGGCCGTGTGCTACAGACTGTGCACGTTAAAGATGCCTCGACATTTGCAAATCAAAAAAGAGCAGGTTAATGCCACTTGTCCTGGCAAAATTTTCCTCATTGCACCCTGCACGGCGTTGTCCATCTTCATTAGACCACATGATGAAGAAAAGTGGGACATAAAATTCATTCATTTTCATTTTTTCATCATATTATATTTATATGATATTATATTTCAAGATATTGTTCCACTCTTTTGTTCACTTAATGGCCTCCAACATTGTTACTCTCACCCTACCAATATCAAATAGAAGTTTACCTTTTCTCTCTTTTCACGTTGACGTCTGGTTTTTTCTTCTTCTGATAAAACATCACCAGCTACAGCATCATCATCATCATCACTCTCACTCTCTGAACCACTATCAAATAATTCCATACCTTCAGCTGAACCCCCAGCCCCACTACACATCTTCTCTAACTGATTGCTTTTACTCTTATTTTTATCCGCACTATCACAATCACTAATTTGAGATGGCGGTCTTTCAGTCACACCGTTTTGAACAACATTATCTTCTGGTATCATTTGTTTTTTAGTCGGAGTTGATTCTCTTTCCGCTTCTGATTCACTAAAACTGACTTTTGATTTTTCTGATTTTATTGACGCTTTAGTGTTTGTGCCAAACCTTGCTTGACCTAAAATATAAAGAGTAAAAAAAAAAAATTAAGGGGATTGTGAAGAGATTTTATATGTGTATATAAGAGACACTGATAGCATCAATTTGCACCATTTCAATATTTCAATCAGATGTCTGCAATTCCTAAAAACTAAGTGTTTGGTGATGTAACTAATCAAGAAATATGCATTAGCAAATAAGGCCCTTCCTGATTATCTCATTTGGTCGTACTATGTAATCACTGTATGAACTCAATGGGTTTAATTTGTATTCACTTGATTCAATTTCCATGGGGGACAATACTTTTATTTAAACTCCAATCTTCAGTATTCAAACAGACGACCTACCCCTATGGAAATGTTTCTTTCTATTTTTGATGAGTATTTTTCTTTTTAAACAAGATAATGGTGGTAATGTTACATCTGGTTCTAGCTGTAATACAGAAATTTGAAAACATAAATTGGTAAAATTAAATGTCAGATGAAATCAGTTTGTGCATGGGTGATGTTCTAGAGCTAATCTCCTTTCTTTATCATTGCAGACCACTAATAATTTGATCATGGAGCTTTTTGCGATTAGCTTGTAGACAGAATTCTTCAGAAACTACTATCTTATCATTTAAAATATGGTTCTTTCTTTTCTCTCCTGAACACAATCATGCATACCTATGCCTTGTGTTTTAAACAGAGAAAAATTGTAACAACATTTCTTTGCTAGACTATACACCTATCTAGTACTGTTAGTGCCTTTAAAGATGTAATACTGACTAATTCAACCAACTTACAGGATAATCTTCAATAGTGGAAATCAACAACATATCACCAAATATTGAGCGACAATAGTTTGCCATCTTTGCTTGCTGTTTGGGTCTGAAGAACAAACAAAAAAACATAATTCATGCATTTAATGTTTTTAGAAATGTTTTTCTTATCATGTTTGTAAGTTGCAATAAAGTCTTTTAACTGATGCAAGAAATTTTAATTTTGTCTTACATTTGACTTACATAAAAGTATTCCAGATTTTTAGAATTATTGCCATTTTGTTAATGAAACCCTACCTAAATCTAACTAAACAGCAATATTATATCAGCTAAGCTTTATTTAAAGAACAACCATTTCAGATTCAAATGAGTGAAGTAACCTGCAGCAAATTATGAAATATCTTCAACTGGATTAAAGTTCCATATCAAGGGAGATAACCATGTTTACTTACGTGCAATGATTTTCAAACGACAATATAACTGGATATTCTGATGTTTTAAAGGCACTTTCTGCTATGGCCTCAATAACATCCTGTGAAATAAGCAAAAAGGTTATAAATAACAGTTCATTATAATTAAAACTGTTACACAGTTAAAAAGTATAACACAAGAGTAAACTGTTAGCTACCAATTGTCTACCATTGGGATATTGTTCATACAATCAACAATGTCTTTCTTGCCAAGCTTTGCAAAAAGTGGTTGGTGAAACAGAACTAGTTTTATCTACAGCAGATAGAGTCTTCATGAGACATCAGGTCCATATTTCTTTTGAAACACCATGCTCTGTGTAAAACATTTCTATATTCTTATCATTGTGCTTACTTTAAATAGAATATCTGTACACATAGTAAAACCATGAGTAATAATTGGTTCTTCATCTGCACCTCGTCCATCCCAACAATCTAACTCTACACACCGACAACCACATAATAATGACTGACGATATATTTCAATTGATGATTTACCAGTTAGCTGATGACCTTAAATTTAAGACATTTTCTTGACATATCCAAACATGTTCTTTATTAACTGAGTGTAACATTGTCAACTTACTGAGAAAAATAGTGTTGCATGATACAGAGATTAATTTTTACGTGTATTTTAATAATTAATATTTAGTTCAGGCAACTGTAGTAGTGTCCATTTCGCAAATGAAAACCAGTTCTTATTTTTTTTAGTAATTTTGAAGCTCCTTAAATAGCTGTTTTTAAAAATAAATACGGCTCTGTACACTTTTGACAAAATTTCAATTCATTTTTAAAATGGAATTCCAGATTTTGGTTTTACCTGTGAGGTATGTATTATGCGAGGAATTGATAAAATAATGTGCTAAAGGTTGATTCATATCTTCACTGAGATCAAGTTTTTCTGGTGGAATCAAATTATTATCTTCACTCATTAAAAACTTTAAAAATCCTTCTTGAGATAAATGACCTGAAAAGAAAATTTGTTACAAAATCTTAAAAATAGCATAAAAATATAATCCGCATTAGATTACATTATATTCTAAATGAGCCTAATCCTTCTTCTATTATAAAAAGTTATTCCAAGTTAGAGATTATTAATCATGTTATATAAAAAAGACTTTACATTATATTTCATAGTTATTATTATACACATTAAAACCATCAATCAAAATATGATATCATTCTAGTTCAAATCTAAACTACTTAGAAAACAATAAGTACAGAATAAGATGGGAAAGTCTATTTTTGGTTTGATGCAGGGCATAAAATACAATTAAAGAAATTTCTAATTCCATTCTCAAAATACAATACTACTCAAACTTTTTACATTTCCTTCATTTTTAAAAATTGTGAATAATATTTAATACAAATTTCTTTCGAGGGATTATGAAATGAAATGAATGGAGTTTTACGTCCTACTTTTCTGCACTCGAAGGATTACGAAACCCATCCTTACAAAGATAGCTTGTTGATTTGTTTGTTCTTAACAATCATGTTTGATTTTATCCGGCAAGACTGGGGCTGTATGGATTTTTCACAAATCCACAAATTTCACAAATCCATAATGAAAATTGGTAATAAATTTAAATCAATTGAATTCAACACTCATACTCTGATAAAGTATAGTAAGAACAGAAGAACTCAAGTTTTTTCCACTCTGACTTAGATTGTGATAACCTCCAGGGTTAACAATACAATAACCAGTTCTCATTTCATTGAAATAAAAATTTCTATTTCACAGAAGAATCATGCTCAGTTTTACTATAGAACTACAAGAGGTATCTAATAACATTCCAAATACAACCACAACAACTCTATATTCAACTCAAAATAACAACAACAAAAATCTATTTCAACTCAAAATAAATCTGTAAACAAAACATAATGAAATCAAGGTTACAATAACATAATCAAACATAAAACAGAACATAAAAATGATAATGATGACATATTGATATAAGTAACATGATATGTTTTATAATTACCTTTATCTGTAATAATAATATTATATTTTAATTATTAATTAAGCTAGATATATTGATGGATGTATGACACACTTTTGAACATAGACAATGTCATGTGGTAGGCCTCTTTCAGTCTCTTGATTCATAAAATATCATAAAAAAAACTGCAAATACATCTATAATATTTTACACTGCACACTTTGTATAGCTGAACTCATCATAGATCTGATATGTAGGTTCTTTCATCTAGCAAATAATATCTAATATCAATTTAAATATCAAATCATCAAATTAAGTTATTAACCTATTTCCTCTACTTGTGACTTCCACCAATGCCCCTATAACATGGTATCTTTGAGTCAATAGTTAATATAGATCAATTGGTATATTCATCATGATGTTCATTATGTACAGTACATAAATAACATTAAACCTTTATGACTTTTATTCTGTACTATCATTGCTGCCTAAAAGCAAATAAATATTTTTACCTTTTTCTGCCATGCCATGTTTGTTTTCAAACATTTCAATTAATTCTTGAGCCTGAACTTTTGAGTAAAATGGATAGAGTATTTCATTTAATCTTGGATCTCTTTGTTGGTTGTTTAAAAAAGTCTGAAACTGATCAACTGTTAAATAAGGCTTCTTTTTTGCTCCACTGAAAAAATCAAGAAAAAATAATATTAGTATTCTTGGACTTAATATATTTCCAAGTAAACCATAAAATAGTGGGTAGTTATTTACTATCTAATTACTATATGCCACTGAAAAGATGTGCCCAGGTAATTTTTTAGATTTTATTTCGATACCTTTCCTTGAAGACCCATGTGCATCAGGTTTTACACGATAAAGACGTTTTAACAATTGAGAATCAAAAAAGGCATATTGATGATAGTCTCCTGGCCAAACTTTCCTTCATCTTTTACTGCTTATATTAAATATACAGTGAGGTGATGAAAAGACTGTCTAGCATCAATTCAAGGATTTACAACCAGTGTATAAATATCTCAGACAATGAAAAAAAAAATATTGAAAATAAATACTGTAATCAAGTGAAAAAGCAAACAATTTCTTCATTCAAATGTCATTATTGATAATTGCTCTATAATCATTGTTTTTTTTATCATCTCAATTGACAGTGTTGTGATTTTTCAAGAAAAAATAACAAAAACTTTTCTTACATTTCATCAAAAACTTTATCTACTTCAGTCCTTCCAACTAAATGACGATAAAAGTTAAAGAAATGTTCAAAAGTAAAATCTTTTGGATCTAAGGAATCATTCTGAAAAAATAAAAAAAACAAATGAACAATTCTTTAAAGCACACAATGAAAATGTTATATAATATCTACAGAGCTAGAGACTTTCCTTGGACATTTCATGTGTTGAAGAGTTTTTTTTTCACAACAATTTATTCAAAAGCCCACAATTCAAAAAAAAAAATGATAAAATAGTCAAAATAGTTAGACCTTTAATAGTGTAATTACTTGAGGAAGAATTAAATTTCACCTATCCATATCACTTTTCAGAATGCAATCCTGACATCTGGTTGTTATTGCAAATCTGCATAAAAACAAATGCAGGAATGACATCTTTTGGAGCATGTTCATGATGAAACACTTATGAACTTTATTTTGAAAATTGATACAGATAGCTGGAACTGAGCTAAATGATTAGAAGATTTAAGTTTTTGTAATTGACAGATTAATTTTTTCAGAACTTCCTCATTGAATTGTATAAAGATAATACAATACTCTTCTAATAACAATCTTATATACAGCTTAAAAAGTTTAAAAATTAATAATAAAAAAATAAAAAGTTAGTTTTAAAAATGATATAATGGTTTCCTGGTGTATTTTTTAAGCTCTTTCCCCACGTGAACATGAAATATTCGCATTTCTCAAGTTATAAAATTATTTTGTGGTTCAATCCAAGAAAGGTATATGCCATAATATCTTGATTCCAGTTTTAGAATTGAAATTTGTATATACCACAAATATTCACATGACATTAAAAACTACAACTTAACTTTAACTAATTACAGCTTTTAATGCCATATAAATAATTGTATTATTGAAAATCAAAATAAATTTGGCTTTAAATTTATAAGTCAGACAAAAGTGTCAATCTAGATAAAAAACTAAAGTCATACAAGGTCATTTTAAATTTGTAATCAGACATGGTTGACAGAATAAGCTATTTCAACACTGGGGAGTTGCAGGGAAGCCATGCTGGCCTCCGCCAGAAAAAAGGCTAGCATGACTTTGTTTCTTCCGCTTTCATTTTTCTCCATTAAATATGGGGAAAAATTGCCTGTGAGCTATCATTGATAATTCTATGGCCCTAATTCAGCCCCCCTCACCTAATGATTCTTAGAAATACCACTGTAACCCAATCAACAATCCTTGTTTTTAAATCTTTGAAAACACTCCTTGCTAGTTGTATGAAACTGTATATAAGTAGGAAAGGTTGTTAAATGTCAATAGATGTATGATATATAATAGGAATTCATTATAGTACTATCAAATCTCATTCATAATTCAATACTCTCTTCTCTATTATAAATACTTTATTTTCAAATGTGGTTTAAAAACTCTCAAAGGAGGTGTACCAGATTTTTCATCCGAAAATTATTTAGTTTGATATCAAAGACAGGTTAAGGCAAATGTGTTTAAATGTGGATAAATATTTCTGTCCTAGAATATGTGTCCTTTTTTTATCAAACTTACTATTAACAATGTCCAAAAACCAAAAATTTAGTCAAAATTGTAAAAATAGCTTGCCTTCTGGCAGCTTTGATTTTAAATAAAAATATTTGGCAGTACAGTAACTATTACAAGTATGAAATATTCAACCTTCAGTCTTACATTTCTTTTGAACTTTTGGGGTGATACTGTATAACATTACCAAGTTTTGCCAAAATTTGTCTAGACTGTTAACGGGCTAAAAAATGAACGTGTTTTCCAGAACAAGGGCAATTACTACTACTCATGTGGGCGTATAAAGAGTTAAAACAGACACAATGGCATTTAAGCTGACTTTTCCCAAGTAAAAAGGACTACCAATTAGTTGCAAGTACAAACTCAACCAAACTGACCAAACTTGGTGACAATAGAATAGAATATTCTTCCTTACTACTTTCATTCATTTGTCAAATTGGGCAAAAATTTGAATGATGGAGTGATCTTTTAAAACAATCTTCTATATATTAATAAGTAAAGTAATATAACATTTTATATGTATGTAAACAATATTTTGATATGTCAGTAAATGTCAACAGTTCAAACTATCAACATATAATGGTTAATATTTCTATATGAGCACTGACATGTCACGTAGCACTTATCAAGTATTTGTCAAGTAAAGATGTAGCATTTATACAATATACTGGTATGTACAGATAAAAATCACAGACCAAGTTGTGACGATTGGTTCAAAACAGATTTATTTCAACTTATAACTTATAATTAAAAAAATTCAGTTATAAAAATGTAAGATATACATTTTCCTTAATACCTGTAATTTTTCTATTATCAATTTTAAGATAAAAGATATAATAGAAAAAAATTTAAAAGTTTTTTAAAAAAATATATATTTACGAAAAAATAAACTTTCACCCTAATAAATTTGCTGTTAATATTAGTACTTCTTTTATTTCACAAAAAAATGAATTAAAAAAAAAATGTTACATTACAACAGGAAATACCTGATTACAATACATTGATGTACTTAAACGGTACTGAAAACAATATCAATATACTAAATACTTAAATACTGAAAAATACCCAAGAGGTTTTCTGCTAAAAGAAAATTCCAATTAATAATTCACAATCATTCAAAGTTAAAAATTCTCTTTGAATATTAAATTGATGGACATTTCAAAATTAGTAAGACAAAGTCATAAAAATAGTCTATTTAGAGTTATCAGCTTGAATAAGAATATAATTAAATGCAACTACAGCCACAAAACATTTAAAATACATCATCTTGTTGCAAGATTACCATTAACACTTTCATTAACACATAATTTCTTTGCCGAACAAATTCCTTATAATTTTGAATCATTTGGGTCTTTTTTTTTTATTAGATTTTTGTGGTTTTGAATAAAATTATTGAAATTTTTAAAGAAAATTTAATTTTCAATATTAATCAAATCTTTCTTCTACAACAAAACAATTTAAAAAAAAAAAAAAAACACACTGTGTAACTATTTGTAATTGTAAGATTTCATTGTCATTCACAAAATTATAGCAAAGATTTTCTAATTCATACTTGTTAATCAATATTAGGAAAAAATGATTTCAACTTAAAAATCAAAAAGTCACCTTTCATTCAAATAGTAATTGGATCTCTACACTTTATTTAATTTAAAATAGATTTTATTTGGTTTGTATCGCTTTCCAGTTTAATTCAAATAATACCAAACTTTCATCCCAATTTTTATCATCTTTTATTTTGAATTTAACCACTTCAGTTAGGGTCTTAAGGTGCCTTTCTTGAACATTCATCTGTTTGATAATACCCCCAGCCAATCAAATCACAGTGTTGGAGAGGGAAGAGATTTGATTGACTCGCAGTGTCATCAAATGTCATGATGAATGTTCAAGAGGTCCAACCCTAACTGAAGTGGCTAATAAAAATAAGAATGAAAGTATTTTGAGAAAGTAAACGGTCCTTATGGAAAAAAAATATGTTTAATTTTTGCTAATTATTGAAAACAGTTGTAAAATCAGACAAAAAAAAAATTTTATGCATATCTTTTTGAAACTTCTTTTATATTCTATTTTTTTTCATGTAAAATTACAGTTAGAAAATCTCTTCAAACAGGCACCTTTGTCTGTAACAATTTTAACCATAAGACAAAATGGCTGTTAGGAATTGATAATCATTTCATCATGTTGTTATTTTAATAGAAATACTATTTGTATCACAAACCTTTCCAGAAGCAAAGCCTGCTGCCCCCAAGGCATTCTCCACACGTCTTTTATCATCTCGATTCTGTGCAACCATCTTTACAATACTACAAGATAGAAATTCAAGAGAGTGTTTCAACATTCAACACAATAAACTAAAATAAATTACTCTGGATTACTTCTGAATCTTAATTTCTTAAACTTGAAAATTACATCTGGTGTCAAAATGACATTGATGAATGAAAACTCTGCCATTTGTAATATTTCTATTCGCAAATCTTTAAAAAAACATTCTTTCATTTCTTTTTGAGAGAAAATAAGATTATCACTAATCCTACGTTTCTGCTACATTTATTTGTTAATATCTCAACTTAATAATGGCTATTAATAACACAATTGAATTTCAAATCCGGCATTTATATCATTTCATTTTTTAATTTCAAGCCAACAGAATCAATATCTTGAGATTGAATTAGATAAACAAAAAGTGCAGCCAAATTTTCTGAAAGCTTTACTTCTTACATGAAACATAAATACTTGCACAGCCTGCAGGATGTAGATATTAAAGGAATTGTTACAAAATTATATTCTTTTCCTCAACAGCAAGATTTGAAAATGATACTTCTGAAATATTGTTATGATCAGTGCTGCAGCAAGGATATCTCTTATTGGAAATATCTTGAATATATGGTAGTTTTATCTTTTCTGCTGTACCGAAATTCAAATAAAGTTATTTGAAGGGATTGTAAAGAGATTTTTAAAACTATTTATATGTATCGGGAACACTGATAGCATTGATTTATATCATTCCAATTTTCAGACAGATGTATGTGGCAAGGCCCTGATTATCAGCAGTTTTTACAACATAGTGACGTCTTGATAATATATGGTTTTATCATAATTACAGGACCCACAAATTGGAATTATGCAAATAGAAGTCATGAATGGCCCTGATACACATAGAAAAAAAAGCTAGAAAACCTCTTACAAACCCTTTAAGGTGAAAATCTTATTGATTCTCTGTTTAATGTAGACTAACATACAAGAAGAAATCATTAATAATAAAACTTACTTTTTGACAGGCATTTTACCATCTGGTCCAAGAACTTTAATAAATCTTGTGTAGACTTTTTCTAAATAAGTTAAAGCTGAACTGTTTAAAACTAATAAGTTTGTGGAATATTCTAGTAATTCTTTAGCCCATTCCTGAAATATATAGTCCATCAAACTGCAACCTGTAACATTTACCTGTTCGTTAATAACGGTTTCATCATTTCATTTTGTTCTTTAATCACATTTGATTCTTGCAAACATAATCCAGGCTGATTATCTCCGAAACTTTGTTGTAGTGGATAAAACCATTGGTTTAAACCAATCTATTCTCTATCACATTTAAATGAGTTTCTTACTATTCCAATCCCTATCAAGTTTATAGAGAAACGGGATCCATTTCTGCTTTACAAAAAAAATTGGCATGACATTTTCATCTATTTATCACAATCTAAAAGCATCCATATTACTACAATTTTTTCTATCAATATCAAGAACTAGAATTTATGATTAATTTGATTTGAGGTGGCACTGTAACTTGATCAGATAGCTAAGCTTTCACTAAGATATGACAGTATTCTTTCAACTTGTTCCACCAATTTCTTAGTAGTTAAGCTGATGGAGTCAGATTTCCTTCCCTGAGTTCAATAGAGATCCGATTGAACCAACTTTAAGCTGGAGTATACAGAGATAATTCAAAAGTTTCCAAAGCTATATAATAGATTTTTACTTTCTCTACCCATTGTTGAACAGATTCTTATTGACCTTATATCTAGACCTTTAGAGCAGCTAACGAGAGTAATGGCAAAGGTTCCACAGACTTCCATAACAGACTGTAACATTACTTTGGGAATGCTTACAGTTATCTCATTTGATAAGGCACTGTAAATCTTATAAGAGCTATGATAGTTCTCTAGTGTTCTCATGTGACATATCTGTGATATGTGATATATCAACTGAACCTCCATTAACCATGTTAAAAAATCTCAGCTTGATTTTTGTTATTAAATTAACTTTTATTAAAATGCACAAAGCACTCACTTGAGCTGTATCTTTACTATCAGAAACAAAATTGATCCAATCAGTATTGACCATATCAGTACCAAAACATACAGATACTGTTTTATCTTCTAAACTGATATCTCCTGGTCCAATCGTTAACGTATCACGTAACTTGGCATCCTGAAAAATACACATTGAAAACTATATTACATACAATAAGAGATGGCTCCAACAGGATAACTGTAATTATTTCATTTCAGTAGGTTGATAGAGCTTCACCTTGTTTGAATGTATGATAACCATCAACATATAATAGAATTGATTTCAAAGTATATATATAATTGAAGAAATTACAAATTTAATTTCACAAGATATTTGGATAGAATAGTAGGCTTCAATGAAATAACAGCAATTGGATTTATTGGATACAACTGAAATAAAGCTTGACCTCTTAAGATATAAATGTAATACATATTGACCTCCTTAGATAACTGTAATAAAACTCAACATCCTAGGATACAAATAAAACGTAATAAAACTTAACCTTCGTGGATACAAATGAAATAAATATTGCCCCCCTTTAGATAACTGTAATAAACTTAACCTCCTAGGATACAAATGAAATAAATATTGTTGCCCTTGAATTACTGTAATAAAACATAAACCTCCTAGGATACAAATGAAATAAATATTGACCCCCTTGGATAACTGTAATATTGCTCCCACTTGGATAACTGTAATATTGGCCCACTTAGATAACTGTAATAAAGCATGACCTCATAGGATACAAATGAAATAAAAATTGATCCCCTTCGATAACTGTAATAAGATTTAACCTCCTAGGATATAAATGAAATAAATATTGACCCCCTTGGATAACTGTAATAAGACTCAACCTCCTAGGATACAAATTAACTCCCTTGGATATTAGTGTTGGATATACAATCAAATGACTCAGTTGTCCTCATTGGAAACAACTAACTTAAACATTGACCAAATAAAGTAATGCAATTTTTGTTGAAAAAAAATGTCAATCTCATTTCTGTTTCATGAGAATGGTCTAAAATTAGATGTTCATGTTGCTTTCATGAGACTTCTCCACGTTTTCTGACATTAACAATAAAAATGTTAATTATCTTACAAAAATTCAACAAGTCAATTTAAGCCAGGAAACAAATTACTTCAACAAAAATAGGAGATAAAATCAATATTTTTTCCGACATTTTCAATAAAAACTAATAAATTTTTTTCCAATTTGACAAATGTCAATTGCATCAGGTGAAAAATCATGATAAAAAAAGACCTAATAATATTAATAAATGTCAAGGTTTTACCAGTAATAAGTTTGTTAATAGAATAAGTCTATATTATAACATAGAGTAATTATCAATATAACATAAAATCAATTAACTGATTAGGGTGGTACCTGGTCTCATACTCAGATTATATTGACCACCTTAACTACTAATTACTAATCATATATCTTATATATCATCATTTTTAATTTCATACATCATGTTTCTCGTTTTGATATAAAAACATATCATACATAATCCTTCAGAGACATTTAGAGATAGGAACTATGATGTTTCTACAGGGGGTCGGGCACCCCCACTTTCAAAATTGTTATCATGGAAAGCATAGCCTGTGTATACGACTTTTTAGATTTATTGTTCACAATGTTTCGATGATGACAATGTAGATTGTTAAAATGTTGTGTACAATAAAACTAAGGAGTGCCATGCCATAAAATTTTGTTCCATAATTCTATATAATAAATAACCTCTTTAACAACAAACTGCAAAGAAATTTCCTGTGGCAAAAGTGCAAAGGTGGGTAAACTAAAGTTAAGAGCAATAAAAAAAGGATTAGCTTCATGTACAAGTAATCTTCATCTAATGTCAGTGTTTGCCAGTAATGTCAAAATCTAGCTGGGTTTTTCAGGAAATACAGGAATCACAGATGTCGGTCAAGAAAGTGGAATGGCTCAAATATAAGATATAATTTTCCATGTTCAACACAAAGAATTCAAAATCAATGTGCTAATTATTGGATGGCCAATTAAGCAATGGTTACCATATCACATCATAGCTATAGTTTTCAGACCTAAGATCAGTCACTCATATAATATCAAACCATATAACTTCTCTTTAAAATGTTTAGGAATTGGGAACTCATCTGCATATTAAAGAAAATTACAGACATCACCCAACACTTTATTACATTTACATGTTACTTTACTTTGGTGACATCCTGTATCTAAAAGGAAAACTCTATAATCGTTATGGACCGTAAAAATACCATTACAAAAATGAAGAATTAGGCTTAACATTACTTTAAAGTATATAAAATAGGACCAATAAATCAAGAATAATAGAACTCAGATAGAAACACAAATAGGACTAAAATGGCAATAAGAATAGGATTAGTACGTCAACATGAGTAGATCTCAGGTGACCAAAAGCACATAAGGATTACTAAATGAACATGATCTAGAGTAATACAACAATTTACATGTGTTACTTGTCATTCTACAAGCTTTAAGTTGAAGCTGTAAACTAGCATTGAACCCCGTCATCAGAAGTGAATTGGTGCTGGGGGTTGAATTTTCTAAGCTGTTGCAGGTGGGGCCAATGGAAACAAAGCGCCACCAGTTATACAGGCTGAGAAGCTAGGGGTCCTTCCCCATGAAAATTTGTAAAGTTTGAAGCCCAGAGAACTCATTTCTGATGATTTTGATGTTCATCTTTTTCATTTTGTAACTGCAAATTAATCAATCTCTGCTGAAGTAAAAAAGGTTCCCCCAACAATGGGGTTGTTGAGCTCCACTCCAAATACACTCATATACTTTGACATTTGTTTCTGGTGAGGCAGGGCATGGCCACTATTTCAGATCTCCTTTTTGAGAGTCTGTCTCATTGATAATTCTATTATCTCAACCGTCTATACAAAGCATAATGACCTTGCAAGGAATGAAAAAGAAGACTATATCGATTAGAATACTGAGGTGGGATGATTTACACAGACATGGAATAAAATAAAGTTGAAATTCAAGTATATGATATGATATTATAAAAGGAAAACATGTTCTAAACCCAACCATCTCAAAAGGTTTCTTTTATCACACTTGACTAATTTAAAAACCAGAAGACTAATAAAATATCAAGAATAGGACTCAACCAATACATCAACAATTTTAGGACCAATAGAGAGTGAGAAATGTTATAAGACTCTAGTGTAAATGTCAGTAGATATGTGAAAATTGTTATTCAACTGATAGAATTATAGACTACTCAACAATATACTTGATGTCTGACCAAACATAAACATCAATAAAATAGGCTGAATGTCAAGCCAGCCAATAATCAATAGCTACACCTTATTTATGGTAGGTAGTGAGTCAAGCAGGCAAATAGAGAAGAGAAGGTGTAAGGAAAGGAAGTCTAGTTGGGTGACTTTGTTCAAGTTTAAGACTGATCAATGATTCCAATCCTAATGTTTCCACACACTGTGATTTTCATTACTAAATCTAGTTATAGTTTATTGTTTATTCTAACTTATTAAACCTTGACTTTTATAAACAATAACTCAACCAATCTTCTATTTTTTATTGCTTGTTTATCACCTTATTAATACAAGACCCTTTTCACTTTCAGACAATTACACATTTTTATTTCTAGTCAAACTATTGGAACCACAGAGGCTCAGTATGTTTGACATTTGCTTGCTAACCTTGCTGATTTGGATGCGTCTTTTTTACTATAAGAGTTTGTTCAGTCGTTTACAAGGGACAAAACATGCTAAAAGTTTTTGCACAAATCAGTACGGCAATTGGAATAAGAGTATGCCTGTACTTCTGTTCTGGTGAAATTGCCTTCTCTTTACACTTCATAGTGTCTGTGTTGATGGTTATTAGCCCAATGGCAGGCAGGAATGTAGGAGGGAAAAGAAAAGTTCAGTTCTTTCCATTGCCTAATTGATTATGGAGAAGATGAGGAAACATTTACTTGACATTTCCATGCTGGTGAAATGTGACCTCAAATGGAGACATGGTAAATGTCACGAGTACATGCCACACAGAACAATGACAATATTTTCTTTTTAGATAATCTTTAATATCATATTATAATAGCATGTCTAGTTTATCATTTTATAGATCATCAGGTTAAGATTTTTGGACTCTTCATAATGTTGAGTATTTCCTACTTTTCAAACATTTTTTGCTGACTTGAGGACATTTGACAAACTTTCATTTGTTATCTCTTAAACATGCCTTGTTTAAAATGCAATTTCTCCACATTTTCATAAATTCATTGTATTTTCTGAGAATTTTTGAGTACTTTCTATGCAAATGATGCATCGAAAAAGAAGCTTTTGCCTAGTACATTGACTGTATTCAATATTTGTAACATATTGTCAGAATTTAATTTGAAATGCTTCTAAAAAATTAACTAATTTTAATCTGTATGATAATTAATATGAATATAAGTGATGTCCTTGAGTGGCATTTAGTAATTGATGATATTAACATGAACACAATTATATGGATAACAATTACTTTAATAAATAACTTGCGACGTTTCGGCGATTCTTTCGTCTTTATCAAGCAATGATACAAAATTGTTATCCATATAATTGTGTTCATGTTAATATAAGTGAGGTTTCTGATGGTCTGTTCTGTTAAGAACTTTCATGACAATTCTATTTGAACAACCATACCATATTGTAAGAAAAAACTACATGAAATAAGCCAGACATAGACTGATCTTATTATTTCTAGAACATATCAATTATAATACACAATCATATCTTTCTAACAATTCTAATTTACCTTCTGTCTGTGGGTTAATAGATATACTCTATTCTGACAAGATGATACTTCTAAACTCTGTCTCAGGTCTGCTCTGGTGGTCAATTAAAATATTTGTTATCATGCATTAATATGTCAGAATGGGCTTTAAAGGGATAAACTAGTGTTAGGGTGATATGAGAATTCCCATAAAAAATACAGGCCTAAGTCATCTAATTGTCTGCTGAGCTGTTTGAAACTCAGCTACATATAGTGTTTTCAGAATATAATCTAGCTATATATAGCGTTTTTAGAATATAATCTAGCTATATATAGCGTTTTCACAATATAATCCAGCTATATATAGCATTTTCAGAATATAATCTAGCTATATATAGCATTTTCAGACTATAATCTAGCTATATATAGCGTTTTCAGAATATAATCTAGCTATATATAGCGTTTTCAGAATATAATCTAGCTATATATAGCGTTTTCAGAATATAATCTAGCTATATATAGCGTTTTCACAATATAATCTAGCTATATATAGCGTTTTCACAATATAATCTAGCTACATATAGCGTTTTCACAATATAATCCAGCTATATATAGCGTTTTTAGAATATAATCTAGCTATATATAGCATTTTCAGACTATAATCTAGCTATATATAGCGTTTTCAGAATATAATCTAGCTACATATAGCATTTTCAGAATATAATCTAGCTACATATAGCGTTTTCAGACTATAATCTAGCTACATATAGCGTTTTTAGAATATAATCTAGCTACATATAGCGTTTTCAGAATATAATCTAGCTATATATAGCATTTTCAGACTATAATCTAGCTATATATAGCGTTTTCAGAATATAATCTAGCTACATATAGCGTTTTCAGAATATAATCTAGCTGCATATAGCGTTTTCAGAATATAATCTAGCTATATATAGCATTTTCACAATATAATCCAGCTATATATAGCGTTTTCAGAATATAATCTAGCATCCTGATCATCCTCTATAAAGTAGAAATTGGAATATAAGCCCATTTGTGCACAGCAACATTCATTTCATAGTTTAAAGGTTGGAAAACTTGATTTGTACACTGTATATCATCATCTATTCTAAATAGATGCAATAAAAAAGTGTAAAAGTGTACCTAGGTAAGCCTGCTTGAATCTGTCAACACATCATTGTCTGATATCTAATCAATTATAAGTAATTTACTGTCTGTTTACTCTTTCCATCATTGCTCATATCTGATATATCACAGTATTGATTACAGTTAAATAAAACAGATGTATTAAGTCAGTCCTTACATAGAACACTGTTATAATGGTCCTTGATTGAAAATGCTTGGTGTGACTATGAATACCTTTTTTTTTAAATCAAGTCAAGTAATACCATGATATGTTTAAAGGACACCACACATGAAGTTGTATAAGCCTTGAGCTATGAAGTATAATTTGACTGAAACTATGAAGTAGTATCTGACTGAATCTATGAAGTAGTATTTGACTAAAACTGTGGTAATTTGTCAACCCCCATGAAGTATTGTATGACTGAAACTATGAAGTGGTAATTGATCAATCCTATGAAGGAAGGATTATTGACACTATGAAGTAGTATTTGACTGAAACTATGAAGTAGTATCTGACTGAATCTATGAAGTGGTAATTTGTCAATCCCCATGAAGTAGTGTATGACTGAAACCATGAAGTGATAGTTGATAAATCCTACTAAGGAATGATCATTGAAACTATGAAGTGATAGTTGATCAATCCTATGAAGGAATGATTATTGAAACTATGAAGTGGTAATTTGTCAACCCCCATGAAGCAGTGCATGACTGAAACCATGAAGTGATAGTTGATAAATCCTACTAAGGAATGATTATTGAAACTATGAAGTAGTATCTGACTGAAACTATGAAGTAGTATCTGACTGAATCTATGATGTAGTATCTGACTGAAACTATGAAGTAGTATATTACTGAAACTGTACAGTACTTATTGATTAACACTATGAAGCAGTGTCCAGCTAAAGTTTAGAAATAAGTTTTCAAAATTAGCGACAACCATCAATGTCTTTCAGTCTTACAGTAAGAGTTTAATGAAGAATAACAAACCAGTTGTTATAATGTCACCAATAGGCCATTATCGATTTCAATAGAAATTTCCTCTCGCTTTTTTTTTCTCTTCCAGTTTTTAATCAAGTTTCAACCACACTATTTCTAGCCATGCTCTAATGATTTTTTGATAAGAAAAAGACTGGCAAATTATTGACAATGTCAAATCTACAGAGACTGTATGTTCTAGGGTAAACGAATGAATGGAAATTTATTGAGCACAAATTCCAATTTGCAAGTCTAAAATTAGTGTCTATAAAGACTGGGCTATAAAGACTGGGCTATGAAGACTGGACTGATAAGAAGTTGATACATTTCCAAAAAGAATAATGGCCTTGTTAAATTAGTCTACCTTTCTTATAATACATACTAAAATTGAAAATTTTGCAAGGAAAACAATCTAATCATAGTCAATAAAAATTGAATTGTTTTGCACAATCACTAAGAAGTGAAATACAATGATTAACTTTCAGTTTATAATCATATGCATCTGAATGAGTCAAAAAATTGGGCTGATTGTTTTCACTGAGAATGTGACAGTGTTAACAAATTTAGTAAAGTGACAGTGGTTTTCTAGATAACAGGATTGGTGCCAAAGCTTGGTTGTCTGATAATTGTAGGCTATTGCACCAAAATTAACCTGTTGATTATACACATCCATTCGGGTTTCATTTCAATTAGATGAAGCTGTAGAATAAAGGTGCAATAATCATAGATGTATCCAGAAGAGATCTGAGAATATGGAAATGTGAACTAGTTAAAAGACATGATGCACTTTTATTGAAAAAAAATAATTAAATGTAACTTAAGAACACTAGTTGGCATTGAGCGATTACTTTTCCATAATTGATTTTGGTTTGTTTAACAGAAAGTTAACTCATCCTGATAAATTCTCATCTACATATAATGACAGGGCAAAACTAATACATTTTACATATTAATTACTCTTTTTCATTAGACTAGTCTGGTTTGTAGTTAAAAAAAACTGGACGTTTAATCTTCTGCTCAAAGTTAATCAAACCAAAGGAATTGAGAGAGACAGGTTTCTGAAAATAGCCAACTCTCAATGACTCATGAAACACTAGTTTTTCCTCTAATTTGGCTCTGAGGACCTGAATTCAGGTGTAAATGTTTCTCACTAATTACCTCCCTTTGCCGTCTGCTATGTGATTAGTGGTATAAATATACTGATCATTAATCAATGTGCTGATGTTGATTGAATTGGTTAGGAATCAGTCGATAAAATAACAGTGTTCAATACCCTTAATTAAAACCACACTGAGTTTCAACGCTATAACCAATATTGTTAATCAAACATTTCTCTTAAATAACCTTTTTATTTCTATTTGATTAAAAATTCAACACAATATAGATGCAGGTATCAGATAAAAAAATCATACATCTCATGTACAAATGTAAACTTATCAATTTTGATATTTTAAATTAATTTTCTAATGTAGCCCACATGTACATGTTCACAGAAAATCAATTTGAAGTCATGTTCTTAAATATAGGAAATCTTTCTTACATGCTTCAACCATTTGTATATTTCATAAAGTTTTTTTTATTCATTTGTTTGTAAGAAAAAACCTAGAAAGATTGATAGTTGTAAAGTCAAAGTAGAAATAAAAACTGTTTACAAGTTAGTCATATTCTAGTCTGAATTCAATTAATGGTTTGTTTTGTGTCTAAATTAACAAAACTTAATCAGATGAATTAGCAATTTTATGAATTTTAATACATATCTGAGTATTTCAAAGATGGTAATTGGAGATATATATGGTCTGAATATACCTCAGAAAAGAAAAGGTGAGAATTTAAATGATATTTCGCAACATATGTTGTGGTGAATGTGGTAATTGTTACAAATACTATGACATATCAAAATTGTAATTTATTGAATACTTATGCATTAACACCAAGTGTAGACAATTTCTGTCTGTTGAGGTAATGAATGTAAACACAGATAGACTTCTTAGTAAAAAACATGAAAACTTTAAGAGGACATTCTTTGATTGATATGCGTGTTTGCTCATGTATGATAAAAAAGTGATTTGCATATAAATCCTAAGTTGGTACCCTTTTTAAGTTGATGTCACCTTTAAGTCAATGAATTGCATGAATTAAAAGACATGCGAACTTTGAGGGGATATTCACCGAGTGATATGCATTTATTATAACTTATCTTATTTGTAATTTGCATTGAAGTCAATGAGTTGTTCATTTTTTGAGCAGGAATTCCCCTTAAAGTGTCATAGCATGAATGAAGAATAGACAGATTTGTATTTTCAGTCATCCATCACCATGACAATTACTGGTCCCAATAATAACACAAGTCAGTAATTATTTCTATTATATTAGTAGTGTAGAATATATAGAGAAATTAATGAGACCAATGTCTTATCTCTAAACAAGTAATCAGAAGCAATGAATAAACAGTGAAATAGACAATCAAGATAAAGTGAATTCTGGTTTGAATCAGACGATCATGTAACCAACTCCTGGTCAATGTAATACAAGAAATCTACCTAATACAATTGTTACAGTCAAGAGAAGTTTCATAATGATTGAATTTCTTCCTAATTATCTTGTTTACTATCCATCTTGATTCATTTTCATATTACTAGAAATCTTATATCAGGCAATTTGCTTTATGGTGTTGAAGTCAACAGATCTTTATGGCTTGTAAGTAAAGTGATTTGTCATGAACACTACAGGACAATTCAAAATGGAATCTATCCTATTCAAATTTCATTGAGACTCCTCTCATGAAGTTAAAAGTTATTTTCATCTTCAAAGGAGGAAAGTATAGACACCTCCATTTTTGTTTGAGGATTTTTGAATTAAACATAAAGCTATCTTGTTCTGTTAAATGTAGGATAAATTAATTCTGGAGAAAAATTCATGAAATTTCAAAGATCTGAATTGTTCATAAGTCTTTGAAAAAGGTCAGGGAAAATTATACTTCATTGAAAGTGAAGAATCATTGGAGGGCGTGCAATCTTAATTATTATACAGTTCTTATCATTATATAAAATTTAAATTTCATGATAGCTTTAAAATGTGAAAATCTGTTATGATTAGTTATCAACTAAAAGTTATTTACCTTTGGTATTCGTGAGTAGCGTCCAGTTCTTGTATCTCGTATCAAGGAGATATCCAAATACTCCATTTCCTGAAGAATAAACAATTAACATACAGGATGAAAAATTTGAAGATAGCCGAACACCCTTCATGGTGACACTTCTTTCAGTCATAACGTGTTGCTATGGATTTGTATCAACATTATGGACGGTTATCTCAAATATTCAATATTCAATGTTAATTTGACAAGGCTCCTTATGACTATAAGATAAGGTTGCCAAAAGTTAATAGAATATATCAACATCCTTGATAAAGACCCTTCTTAAGAAGAGAGAAGTTCCGTGTCTGCCTGTCAAGAATAAATCTGTTAATATGTCAAATAGTGCTGCTGGTTCATATCAATTTTGAATATAAGAAATCATCATCAAATTTTCTGAAGAAAATATTTTACAAACCTTATTCTGATCTTTCCAGAATATGATGTGACCTTTAGAGTCAACTCGTAATGAAACTGGCATTCCATTTGCACTTCCCTGGAAAAACAACAAAATATATTATCATCATTTGTAGAGTATAAGAGTATTCCAATTTTAATATTATCATATAGTAATATATACTTCTTTAAAATCTCTTTCAGGTTTAACTAACAAGACAGCTGGGTGGTTGGAACTTATGACCACTATTTTTTATTCACATTCTTAACAACTTGTGATGTTGTGATTAGAATGCTCTTATAGGTTACAAATTGATAAAACAGTTGATTCAGTTAATTAATATTAAACCAAACTTTCATTCCCCATTTTATTAGCTTTTATCAGCCACTTCAGTTAGGGTCTAATGACTGGCCTCTTAAACATTCACCAAACTAACTTTTGACCTAATCTGATTCTTTAACCATTAAAATTCCTTCACTCTCTCACAAAATGCAAAAGCTGGAGAAGGCAAAAATTTGATTGGTTGAACAAGATAAAGTGAAAGAGTTGCTTTGACAAATGTCTAAGGGGCCTTTCTTTAGACCCTAACTGAAGTGGCTATATTAAAAATAAAAGCTAAAAAAATACAGAACAAAAGTCTGTTGTAATTTCAATTAGACTGCTGTTGATTTTGTTAGCGTTTGTTGTGAATAAAGATTTGACATGAACTCATATACTTTGGTGTAAGGGCCCCTTTAGTCGATATAAACTATTTCAGAATTCAAATTATATTTTCTAACTTTGTATGTGTATGCTATGGTGATGTCATAATCTGGTCAAGTCTTTCTGAAACTTGTGCAAAAAGAAACTAAAAGAGTCCCCAGTTCAAATATTAAAGAAATAAGAAAAATCAATTGAATTACTTTAATACACTTACCCCCTCCCACTTTCTAAAGTACAATAGACAGTATCTTTAATATTTTTAGATTTTCACTCAGTATATACAAATATTGTAATTAATTAAACAAAGTGAGTTAAGTGGAACATTATCTCTTATCATATATCCTATCATATATCTCCATTTATTCCTTTACCTACTTCTACAGAAGGTTTGTCCTTTAAATTACCTAATTATCATACAATATACAGTCCTATATGGACTCTCTGTGAAGACATGAAAAAACTAATTGTATGGGGACAAGTAGTGATATCCCAGCATTAAGGCCATACACCAAAACAATATACTGATGATTATAATTTGCCCAAAAAAAAATTCTTAGGGAACATCATGGCACCTGATTTATCTGTAGACCCAATATACAACACTTTACCATATCTTGTAATGGATTTTATTCAAATTTTACCACATTAATCAGGATTATCTAAATTTTGAATTGATCTTGAAATCCTAGTCTAGGCCTGACTAAACAACTCTCCAAAATTAATTTACCCATTTAAATTTGATTAGATCAGCCAGCATAAGAAATAGGTTTGATAAAAAATAAAGTGAGCAAAACTTTTTTCCCTGCATTATGCCAACACAATTTGCATTTATCAGCCATTCAGCATTAGTTCTTAACCTTGGATAAATTCTTTAAATTCAAGGTCATGACTGTTTATATTTCTTTATGGCAGACAGAAGTGAGAAATCTATAGAAAAAATACTAGAAGTGGGCTAGCAGTGACCAGAAGAATGTTTTGATTGGTGATAAACACCCTTCAAGATGTTTCTATAAATAGTTCAAATAGTCAATAAGCACCACTCAATAATCATCCGTTAAATAAACTGAATGAGTCTATAGCTTACATCAAGCATAATTTACACAAATAGCATATATACATTTACATATTCTAAAGTAATTAGGACTTCAATACATATATAACTATAGAGTCAAACTAACCGATTGTAAATTGCTGCTTTCTCGCTTCAAAGTTCACTTTTATTCCATATATCATTGACAAAATGTAATGTCTTTTTCATAAATTAAGAAAAGTTCAATAATAATTTTTTGCATATTTTTTTTTATTTTAATGCCATTATCATTTTTCAATCAGAAAGAAGTTATTTATCATTTTTCAACTTTTGCTGCAGAAAAAATCAGGACTGGCTATGGAGATCAGTACAAATTAAATTTCGAGGTGTTTGGTATGCAATCATAATTTCTGATGTAGTTGCCAGTGTTTTCAGAGTTGGCAACGTTTCAAGTCTGTATCCCTTATAAAGACTAAATTTATTTATCTATTAAGATTAATGAAAGAAGTCTTAAAATGTCGTTGGAGTGATGAAATTTTATACTGATTTTTTACAAAAGTGAATTGAAATTCTGCAATGTAAGTGTGGTAATTTGTTAAAATATGGCTTCAGGAAATTTCATTTAAAAATCTAGACTGCACAACCAACATTTGTCAAACATTAATTTCAGTCCCTCTCTAATAACATGATTTGTTAAGATTTCTGTTCTGTCCTTAAGGAAGTTACATCTTTAATTATAACAAAATACATAACCAATCTTTGTGTAGATTTGTTATTTTAACAGAAGCCTTGTAATAAATCAGAAGTGTCAATACACTAGCTAGACATGACTGGTTGATATAAGGCCTATTATACATTTGAAGAAGGAATCCATCTTATTAATTTCATAAAGACAACTTATCTTTTAAGGATAGGTATAATAACAAAGATCTTCAAAAACGCCATTGAGACTGAGGATAGGTCCTTGAAGACCTAATTGTGATTAAAGGCAATGGTTAACCAAATGTTGCTTTTTTGCCAAAATGGTTCTTATTCTGCATACATCGTGCTTCTGTTTTCACTAAGCTAATGAGCAACAGAAGAGAAGAACCTGATTTTACAAATAATTTCAATTCATTTTGTTTACAGAGGGATCATATTCTATTACTGCAAATAAATCAGGTAGGTTGAGTGCCTGACCTGGAAAAAGCAGTAGTTATGCAACAGGTTTAAGATATCTCGACAGGTGGAAATCAAAATAGAGTAGGCTAATGCCCCTGTACAGGCCAAATTTACCTCACTTTACACTGCATGGTGTTGCTCTATTCATTAGCCCGTTTAGGTGCAGAAGAGTAGGACATAAAACTCCATTTATTTCAGTTAGTTTTTAGTTAAATTCTTTAAACATAGACAATTATATATTCAATTTATACTATATATCAAGTTAATCTTTTCTCTTGCTCGAAAACCTCAGTAAATCAAAACTAATCAATCAAAAAATCAATATGCTATTCCAGCTGTCTTGATCAATTAATTAAGTATTCTTTTGAAGAAATTAATAAGGCTCTACTCAATATCCTATTCTTTATTTGTCAGTAACAAATCAAAGTTGAAAGTTCAGATCAAATTAACAGAAAGAATCAAAAGAGAAATGGGAAAAAAGTACAACAAAAGAGTTTATACATGTGACTTCTGTCTTGTTAAGAGTTGATAGATTTCAAAGCTACATCAACCTTGACTCTTTGCCTTTTAGCCTATTATTACAATATTAAAAAAGATATATCCTTCATTCTGATCACAGAAAACAGCCACTGTACCCGATGTTAGCCATTTGAACATTGGTAGTTTCTTATACAACTCCTGCTAGAATGTTATGTCATAGGATTTCTGGCATGAGACATGTGAACTTAGTGATTAACTCAAATCATATTGGTGCAGCCCAGTCGCCAGGAATGAATTGGGCATTAGAGGCGATGTGAACTCAGTGATTTACTTCAATAGATTCATATTGGTGTTAGTTGGTATACAAATTTTTCATGCAAGTTCATGGCATTATTGCTTCTTTAATTTTTATGTAAACTGACCACTCAGAAGATTGGTCAAACACTTACTGACAGGTCATAACAGAGCACTATTGGTACCCATGAGTGCACCTATTTCCTTCTCATAAAAAAGCCACCAAATGAATGGTAATAAAGTGTTTCGACCTTTCTACAAATGGAATTAAAAGGTGACAAGGGAGTGAGAATACTGGTTGTATTATTAATGACCTGACGGAATTAAAGCATGTCTCTAGAGAGTCAATAAGTCAGATGTACTACTAATTACCAGGCATTTCATTTGATAGACTTACTCCTTATCATATTACTATATAGTCATCCTATAAAGGGGAATCATTTATTTATTCTACACCAAATCATCACTCTTCATGCTTCATTTTTCATACAGATTGATATACTAGCCTATAGATATACAATAGTAGAATGAAACATTTATTCAACCTTCTGACAGGGCTATATTTTGTACCTATTGTTAAAACTCATCCACAGCCCATTGGTTAACTGATAAAATAAATCAAGCCCACTGAAGTTTCTACACTTACAAATAGTTTAGATACGTATTTGCAGACATGCCCAATGTCATATAGTCATTCTAAAAAGTGATAAAAGTAGCTAAGATTCAGTTTATCACATGAAAAGCTCACAGTAAAAGTAATATCACCAAGACATTTTACCATCATCAATACCCCGTTGGAGAGACAAAGAATTTGTTATGGGTTTGTTTCAAACGTCATAAGTCTGACATCAACTGAAAACTATTACTATTCAACAGATATACAAACAACCTGGTATTGATACAAAGATAATTCGACTCATTCGTGAAAATTATTTGATAAACAAATTACAAACCATGCATCCTTTGGGAATGAACATCCAAGTTGATTTCCAGAATATACCTTTTGTTATTCAATACAACAACACAGCTGGTCAAGTTCCCCGAATAATTATCCATCTTTACAAAGAATTGCAAGAAAAATTTCCAACAGTCTTTACAAATGATTTAGTGATCGCCTATATACCCAAAATAAAAATCTAAATGATATCTTAGTCTGTGGTAGATTACCTCTACTTCCATAGATTTAACTTCCCTTTTCCTTCGCTATTATTGCTTATTTATGTATTACTGATCATTGAATAATTTCTTCACCATTATTTCCCCCACAAAATCTTATACATGTATTCTATATTCATTTAATAAATGACGTTTTTTTGACTATTCAAACTAACTGCACAAACACTAGAGGCTACGCCTAAATGCCTGTGCCTCTGCTTTCGAAACATTACTTAACCACAATGTTACAACCTAAAATTCCTAATAAGATAGAATA